TCAGGTGGATGGAATAGTAGCTACAAAGGTCATGAAACATGAGGGTCACCTACCTAGGATGGCCGAACTGACACGGCCATACAAATGTGTAATTAAATAGAAATGTACGAATGTCAAAGTAGATTTTTTGCCACCTCCTCCAAACTCTCCCCTTTCTTTTTTTATGTATCCCTCCTCATTTTATGAAACAATAAAATACAATCTTTATATTTATTCTTAACTAATTAACATGGTTATTGACTAGCAAGCGCTGATCAGACACCACAGAACTAACACTGCTGAGTTTGTTTGTTTTTTTTAAACATCGGATGTTTCTAATCTTGTGCCCAGGGGGAAAAGTGCTATTTCTGTTCCATAGCACATTTATGTGTATCATTGGGTCAATGTAGAATAATTTATTTGTGTTTCTATGCCCATTCTGGGTCTGAATGACAAAGTCCATACATTGTTAAATAGAGGGAACAATGTCCCAATGTTTTAGTCTGAATGGCCCGTATGCAGTTGGATGGTTTTGCCCCACTCATTAGGGGGCAATCCAGACTTTAGTGAATAACCACCTATGTTTGTAATGTTTTAACATTTCAGTTTGTAATGTTTTGTTTTTGTGTTTTATTTTTTGTATATATTTTATTTGGTGTAACAGAAAGTGCATAATTCTTTAAAAAGCAATATAAAATAACACACTTTTCAGGGATATAATTTCTAATTAGTGGGGTAATAGTAGAGTAGATCTAGTGCTGCAATTTTCATGATCAAGAGGGATTTTTTTCCTAGTTTGTTGCAAAATTGGAAATGCTTCTAACTGGGGGTGGGGGGTGCCTTCTGTTGGTTCAACAGAAAAAAACAAATGTGAGGAAGGCTCTTTTCAGCCTATGTAACTATGTAACTATGTTTATTTTCAACCCCTCCCTACTAACCTGCTTCTCTCATACAATATGTCAATCAATTTTAACTTTGCATGGAATACATGCTATGTTCTTATTAAGAGAACTTGGTACTGAATGGGTTAATAGCATGTAACTGTACCAATTCCCTATCCAGGAATTATCCCATCCATCCTGCTTCATGTCTGCCCATCAGATCTCTCTGTTTCTCATTATCAGATAAAATAAAGATATTTCACGTCATTACATTACAATGCGGTGCCCCATTCTGAAATTAGTGTATCTACGGGTGCAGAGTAGGAGTTTACAAGTTTACAGTTAAACTAGGGAGAAATGCTCATGAAACATGGACAGGGGGATATCATTAAAGGAAAGTGTATAAAATGATCACACATTAAGCACTGCCTGTTATAATACCAGCAGTGTCATTACCCCGTGTCTGGCTTAGCAGCTCAGCACAAACAGCTATTTCTACTCAGCTCTGACTGCATCACTGACTGATACAGCACGCAACATGTCGTTGATGCCGCTATTTGACTCGTCCAAATTCCGGTACCATAAAACATTTTGCAAGGCATTTCATGCAGCCAAAAAAAGCAGGAAAAATGTTGACTGTGACTGTGCAGACATCCATAAACCTCTACAGTTACCAAAATTATATTATAGATAATAGAGAAAATCTAGTTTTATAAAAATCTATTGTAATCATTTTACTAAAACAGCAACAGGAGTATTTTTTTTTGAGGTGGGTTAAAAAATAGGATGAATACCAGAACCATCTCCACCACATTTTAGAATACTTTATTTCCCCATGAAAATGACTACATTCTGAGTTCCAGAGAAACTGTAATGTTTACATTTTAGCTCTAAGTCGGTCTCCAGTGGCTATCTACCAGACAGCCACTAGAGGGCTTCCTGGTTTAAAACAGACCTTTGGTCTGGTGTCTGACACTGGACATCCACACGCTCTACATGAGGACATCCAGCGTCAGATTTTTACCCATAGAAAAGCATTGATTCAATGCTTTTCTATGGCGAGGTCTCATGCGTGCTAGGCATTTTCCATGCATGCACATTAGCACCCGCTCATTGCAGGATGTCGGAGGGAGATTTTTATCCCTTTATTCACCCAGGCAGGGAAGCACGAGGCACGAGGCGGGGACAAGGGGAGATAATGCCATGAATACAGCTTTGTATTCCTGGCACTATAGTATCCCTTTAATATTAGGGACAGAGGAGAGACACTGCTCCATTTTATCATGACTGAGAGGGTGACTTGTTCAAGAGGGTATGTTATTCTATTTTACTGATATTGCAAGCATATACTTTAATCTTATAAACTCTTCTGTAAATTATTATAAAGGATTATTGAAGGGACACTATAGTCACCAGACTAACAACAGCTTATTATATTTAATCTTTTACAACCATATAATCATATTTTGTATGATAATTTTAATTATAATTTTGCATGCTGGCAGCACTAGCAGTCAGCAGGCAAATAGTTAAAATACCTTGACAATGCGAGAGTTAATTATGTGGTGGCTGGCCATCTATTTCAAGCCAGCCACCACATTATAAAAGTAAACCACAAATAAATGAAAAGCTTATAGGGGTTAATAAGGGCACCATATTACTATAAGGGATGGTTAAAATATTTGATTGGCGCATCGCGGCGATAAGACGTACAAATAGGGTTGCAACTTTTTCAGGGCCCACACCATGGCCAGGCATTCCTTCTCGATGGCGGCATAGCTTACTTCTCAAGGTAACAGCTTGTGACTGATGTAAGCCATGCTATGTTCTTTGTCATCGGGCCTGACTTGGCTTAGTACTGCACCCAATCCAAACATAAAAGCGTCTGTGTGGACGAGAAAGCGTTTAGTTGGATTGGAGGCAGCCAAGATTTACAAGTGCTTGTTTCAACTGTTGGAATATCTGATCATACTCCGGGACCCAGACTACTTGGTGGAGAAGGTTCTTACAGGTAAGGTCGGTAAGGAGTTTGACCAGGGAACCATAATTGGGCATAAACTTCCTATAGTACTCTGCCGTCCCATAAAAGCTAACACCTGTGTCTTCGTCCTTTGGGTTGGCCACTGGGACATTGACTTAATTTGAGTGGGTTTGGGATGCCCGCACCCCACTCGGTGACCTCGGCCATGACTATATGGCACTTAAGGGTTAAACCGCTTCTCTAATCCTATCTAGGACCGCTCCTACATGGGCCAGGTTCTCCTGCCAGGCATGGCTGAAAAAGGCGATATCATTGAGATACGCACAGGCATATTCCTGAAACCCATCTAGGAGGCGGTCCACCATCCGCTGAAAAGTAGCTGGAGCGTTTTTCATCCCAAACGGCATGACCTTAAATGGTACAGGCCGAATGGGGTGACAAACGCCGACTTAGGGATGGCTTCGAGGGTTAGAGGGATCTGCCAATACCCCTTACAAAAATCAATTGTAGTGAGGTATTGGCCCCTAGTCATCCGGTCTAAGAGCTCATCTATCCTAGGCATCAGATAGGCATCTGAAACAGTCTTGTCATTTAACCTCCGGTAGTCCACGTATAACCGGGTTGTAGCATCCCGCTTCGGTACTAGGACTACTAGGGAGGCCCAGGGGCTGTCATAGGGCTCAATCACCCCCGGTTGGAGCATCTCTTGTAACTCCTTTTGCATACTCTCCAGTACCGATTCTGAGATTTGATACGGGGGTTGGCGTAGTGGGAGTTGACCTTGTGTCTCTACCCGGTGAGTGGCAAGAGGGGTGTACCCGGGTACATTGGAGAACGTGGCTTTATTCACCTATAATAGCTGTTGTACTTGGGAACACTCCTGTGGGCTCAGCCGGTCTCCCAAATTGACCTCCTCTATCTCACCTGATTGACTCCCATTCCTTAGGAGGTTGGGTAGGGGAAAGATGTCAAAGTCCTCAGAGGCAGGGGCACAGATCACTGTCACCTCCTCTGCTCGCTTATGGTAGGGCTTCAGCATGCTCGAACCAGAGCAAGGGCCGATCACGTAAGTGGTGTCGCATTTTTGCTCCACCACTTGGTATGGGCCCTGCCAGGCAGCCTGCAGCTTGTTATTCTGGACAGGTTTTAAAATTAAAACTTTCTGCCCTACCTTAAAGCTACGGTCCCTGGCGCCCTGATTGTACAAGGTGCGCTCGTGGCTCTTTGCCGCCTAGAGGTTCTCTCGTACTGACCTAATCAACTCCTCCAGATGGTCCTAAACTTTCACCTGCAGTAATATCGGATACCAAATCTCCATTTGTTAACACTAAATCTAGTATGGCTTCTTTACTAGTTGGCTCCTCAACTACTTGTTTTAGAGACAATCCCAGTAGGGAGTTTAGAATAGGTGTACTCCTGGCACAAGCAGCTATTTTGGTTTTCAAGTTCACATCAGGAAGATTAAAGTCACCCATGATGATAACTTCCCCCTACATTGTCATTTTAGCTATTTCCTCAACTAGTAGATTATCTAACTCTTATATTTGTCCTATAAGCCCAGCAAACCAATCTGGCAAACTTAAATGTGTAAAAACTGAAAATGGGCAAGCTCTTCATTTGATCCTATAACTTTCACAAATACCAATAAATCTGTACATGGGGGGCATCGTTGTACTTCTGGAACTTCACAGCATACTAATATGTGTGTTTTATTCTAGTAAAAGCTACATTCACAGTTAAACTGCCATGAACCTGGAAAATATCACACTTTCTTAATTTCTCACACTTTTTTTAGATTTTATTTATATTAAATTGTGTTCCATCTATAAATATTTGATCGGAAAAAAAGCCCTGTTTCTTTTGAACAAAATGATATGTAATGAGTGCATGCACTTAATATGAAAGAGGTAAATTATGATTAAATATACATATAGTTCTAGGTTTTATTTTGGATTGGTTTTGGTCAGAACTTGAACAATTGCCTCGATGCTTATGGGGTTAAGACTTGGTATCTGAGAAATTCCATTTTAAAGAGTAAATAAGTAAATATTTGTGCTGGGATTTTTGGCAATAATACATACATTATTTATTTTTTCTTTATGTAGAAAAGCTTCAAAAGAGTTTAATCTTAACATATTAAGAGGATTATTGCAATGAAGTTAGCTTTTGGATTTCCCCAAGAGATGTTCCCTTGAGTTCAGCTCTGGTCTAAGCAATATAATAAAACACTTAGGGGCAAACAAGCAAACAACCAAGGCCCAGGTAGAGGACTGAATGGCAAACACCTCCATGGCCACCGTATACTTTCCAGTGGAACTAAGAGAAGCTGGGATATAAGACACCCAGACACTAAGGAAGGCCAGCATGCTGAAGGTGATGAACTTGGCTTCATTGAAACTGTCAGGAAGTCTCCTAGCCAAAAATGCAACAATGAAACTGATGGTGGCCAGGAGACCAAGGTATCCTAACATGCACCAGAAGGCTGTGTGTGAACTATCGTTACATTCAACAATGATAATTCCTGGTTTGGTTTGTATGTTGTCTATTGGGAAAGGAGGGGCATATGAAATCCATGTGATACACAAAATGAATTGTAAAGAGGAGGATGAGGTAATAATCATGTAGGAAACTCGTGGTCTGGCCCATCTCTTTAATCTGCTACCAGGCTTTGTGGCCATAAAGGCAAAAACCACCATGATGGTTTTAGCTAGAATGCAAGAGACACAAAGTGTAAAGACTGTGCCAAATGCAACTTGTCGTAAAAGACATTTCTCAGCCTGAGGGTAACCTATAAAAGCTAAGGAGCTGAGGAAGCAGAGAGACATCAACATTAGGAGAAGACAACTTAGAGAGAAGTTATTTGCTCTGACAATTGGAGTGTTCTTATAATGAATGAAAAGTCCAAAGATGGAAATTGGCAGCAAGGATGAAAAAGCACTTGTGGCAGCTAGAGCAGCACCCAAAGGCTCTTCAAAGGAGAGAAACTCTCTTTTCTTTTGGAGACATCTGTCTTTCTGGGTGCTGGGCCACTGATCCCATGGACACTTGTAGCAGTCACCTGAGTCTAAAAGTAAACATAACAGTAGCATGGTCAACCAATAAATATTTTTTTATTTAAGTGCATTAAGCATGCTTTTTCGAAAATATTAGTAAACATACCTCTACTGTTAGAAATCTCTCCCACAGGACATGGAACACATTGAAAACAACAAACAGGCATATCCCTCCTTAACACCTTCCTAAAACCCGCAAGGCAGCTCTGAGTGCAGACTGAAACAGGTACCTGCAGTTATGGATTAGAAATATGTAAAAGGGATTACTTTTGTCACTGCAATGCAGAACATTCTAAGTTTTCCAGGTAACATGTAGTTGACATGTATCAGTGTTTTGTTACTGGGAAGATCATAAGTAAAAAAAAATAAGCCTAGTACTGACTGAGTTTTCTTTTTATACTTAGTGTGTAAAACATACCATTTAACTTAAGCTCAAGTTAGTCCTGCTATAAATAGAAGTGTATGAAAAGATTTCAAAGTTGGTGCATCGACCAGCTGAGCTACATCTTTGGCGCATTTGGAACTTCATATCTCAACGAGGTCTAGCTTTCTAGAAATTAATGTGAAATTAAAACAGCTGTTGTGTTCCATTACACTTTAATCATCCGTCAAAAAAAAACAATAAATTAATTTAGTTAGCTATATTTTGTAAAGTTAAAAAAACTAAGTATATGGCAAAAAAGATGAATAATAGCAGCAATGGCACAATTATACCTGTGTATACAAGCTATGGAACAAATCAGAAGTCATCCAATTATTATGCAGATTCATCTATTTGTCTTAATTGCAAACGAACGAACAATGAAGTGAACAAAAAACAGATCACAGCTGTTAACAGTCATTCATTTTATTTATTCATTTGGATGATGGACCTGAGTTCTTTAGCCTACTGTGCTCCATAGTTTGCTATGATGTCCATGGGTTCTGGCCAATCATGTTTCAGGCCCCAATTGTCCAATAGTGACACAGAATTATCCATGTATACTATTAGGGGACAAACACTAACACGGTTATTCACAAATGTGAGAATTCAAATAAATTAATTTAAAATTTAAGGTTAAAATATTCAAACTGGAAAAAAATTCTCTAAGTCAGCTAAGCTTTCAACCTTAACCAATAATTGTGTTGTGCTTATGAATTATTAAAGTGCAATAAACAGCCAGTGTTTCATTGTGTAAAATAGTGAAGATAACTGGATGTTGTGAGTTTCATTCAGACTGAGCTCACCACTCCCCAGTACAAGCCTTTTTAATTTTTTTATAAGTTTAAATAAATTGAAGATATTACACTATGTGGGAACCCTGGGCTTGAAGAGTGGACATTAGCTTCCGATCATTATATTAATAGTTGAGCATTTACTTGTCACCAATGGGGGCTTGGATCGGGACATTAGGTACCTCAATTTAGATCATTGTTAGATCCATCTTCCAAGGCTTTTTCCTTCCATATTTTTTTTTATATCTTCTAGTTAATCTGTTTAGTTAGGCAGATAGTTAAGAGAGTTATGATTATTTTTTGCTAGAAATTTATATCTTCTAAACACCAAATAACAAATACAAGTAAAACGCCAATACACATGGCTACGTATTTTCACAAATATGCTATGGCACAGATTTGATGCAATTAAACTGTTAATAATACACCTACATTCAACATCATTTCAGTACTCTCCATTTCAAATGGGAATGGATCCCCAAGAGAGTCAACTGTCAGTGAAAAAGGCCAAGATTATGTCCCTCATTTACATAACCTACCACCAAGAGAGTAACTAGTCAACAAACTTTAGATCTTTCATGTACTTGGCACTTTGTTTTACTTGTTATTATTTGTAGTTAGATTTTCATGTTCTTATGTTAAAAACACTAAGCTGATATCAAACGTGCCGAGGACACCTGGAAACCACAGCTCTCTCTCTGTTCATTCCGATCTAGAATTCGCAACTCAGGCCCACACACCTGGTATATACAGTGAATGTACTGCTTATGGGGGTTTTCTTTTTTATCTCTTTCATTAACTACTGCAATGAACACTTGTGAATTAATGCAACGTGTTTTAACGGTACCACTTGTCACGTATGTAATTTGTACTTAACTGGAATGTAACGGAATGACGGAATGTAACCACCTCATATTCTCTGTTGTAATTGTACACATATCCTTATTTTGTGTGAAAACAATAAAAAGATAATGAATTAAAAAAACAAAAAAGAGAGTAACTGGTGGTAGGTTATAAAGGTGGAGTCCATAATTGAGGCCCTGTGCAAAAATAAAAAGTGGAGTGGAAGTCAGTCAATTAATGGTCATTTTTCTTGTTCATTTGTAAATTCTAATTCTTATTATTTGCAAAACCTAAAGAGAGTTAAATCCATGTTTTTATTTCATCAATGATCAAAACTGCCTTTAAACAGTGTACTATATTAAAATCTAGTATAGGAGCAGAATACATTATAATGATGAGCTGGTTGGGAACACACAATTAAGGCCAACAATTATTCTTGTAACAGTATACCTGTCCTTCACCATATGCCCATCGGACAGCAGTTTGGTTTATATGAAAGGAGTTTTCATCAAACTTAGTCGTATCATAGCTGCCCACTATGACATGCCTTGTTGTGCCATCTGAATTCACCTGCCAGTTTACAATATCATACACTGCAGGTGGGTCACTGTTCAGGTCAAAGAAGTGTTCCCGCCCATTGCTTAACTTCACTCGAGCATTTTGGATGTAGTATGACAGCTGGAGAACAGAACAAGTGCATCTATTATTCTTTAACGGTTCCTATGCATTTCCATTTCTACAAAACATTAAAACATGCATATTATCAGCAGATAGAAGTTGCCTAGTCTGCTCCTTCCTCTATAGAGGTTTTATTATGATTTATCCAATTTAGAAACAATCTAATTATCACAGGTGTCCGAGATTGTTTTCAGTGATCAAAGGAGCCCTGAGACACAATGCCATCCATGAGTTAAACTGAAAAACAAAATATTTCATCTTTGTGACACTTAAATAGAATTTGCATAATAATTTGGAACAGTGTGTAAATCAATATTCAATATTTGCACTAGTGTCAAATAGCTTAATCCAACTTAAAAACACAATATTTAGCCTTTCCTGTATGTGTTTTATGTGTATATATATATATATATATATATGCATTTATGTATATGCTATGTTTGTGTTGACAGATATAGTCAGCAGTATAACATCTCTATACATCACTGTTATTTTGTGTATACACATTTTGTGATCCATACCTGCCATGGTTGGAAATGATGGATATCAGCACAGCTTCCATTATTAAATGGTCCTTTATCCTTCTGGCATGTTAGCATATTGTGTAAAGATTTAGCAATTACATGAATTGCAGTATAAAGGTTATAGGCACTTCTTAAGTTTGATACATCATAGAAAGTATTTTGGATATTCCCCTTACTCTCATTTCCTGTACACAATGTGGAATTGTACCAAGAACCTGTAAGGGTCATCTGTTGTAAAAATTTACAACCAAAGACTTTTTCCCAGAAGATTTTAATCCATGGATCATCTCTGGTGTTGATGGGATGAATATTGTTCAAGAGCTCTCCAAATCCTGGGATTATTGAGCTATGGAATGAGAAACCAATAGTTCCAGAGAGTAATGAAGAATATTTGTCCACTGTTAACATATTTGAGATGGACCAAGCTTCACTGGCCACAAAAAATTTACCCGTTACATTTTGCCTTAGCATCTCATCCAAAAGTAACATAGCCTCTGCATCAGTAGTAAAAAGAATAACAACTGTAGCTGTTGATTCTTTGAGAATTTTTGTGATGTGAGGAATTTGTTCCATGCGATTAGTCATTATATATTCTACAAAGGCCACACAAGCTCCACCCCTGAGGAGTTCCTGCATAATAACCTGAATGCCCAGACGTCCATAGTCATCATCCACAGCCACTAAGCCAACCCATGTCCAGGAAAAGTGTAACACCATCTGTGCTACACCTTTGGATTGAAAGACATCACTTGGGACAGTCCTGAAGAAGGAGGGGAATTGAGTTTTATCGCTCAAGATAGAGCTGGTCGATAAGTAACTTATCTAGGGAAATAAATTGGATACTCTTAAAAGGCAATGTGTCCAGTTTATATAAATTATACAAATATAGATATAATTATATGTAACTTTCTTGATTTATGCAAAATTTAGTCAGCATATACTTACCAGTGTGAGTTGTGTCTTAGAAATAGAAATGTAAAACATTTATAAAGTAAATAAAATAAAGTTTGTTGCAACTGTTCTCTAAACATTTAATTAACCCCTTAGTTGAAAAACAATGTCACATCCCTGTGCAAAATTCATATATATGTTATGTACTCTATATATTTAATTTAAAATATGTATATTTAATTTTCCTAACTTGTTTTTGACAAATATTGAATTTTTAGGAAATAGTTTAGGAAACAAAATATTCAAAAACAAAAACAAAACCTCCATATTAAATTTTAGAAAATGAATTGTTGGTGTAATTTTCCATAGTGTACTTGAATAACAGCACAGTAATAATTATTTTATAAATGTTTAAAAAATACACATGCTTCTAAAATTAAAATCATTTTGTCTTCCGAAAAATGTAAATTAAAATTTCTATACTGATTTTTTTCAATAAAAAAAAAGTAAACAAAATGTGTTATTTTGAATTTGTATCATCTACAAATGTATGCTAAAAATGCACAGGAATAAAATATCTATAAATACAAATATTGTAGGCATTTTGAAAGTACAAAACAAGCTATATTGTATAACTATCAACAGTTGGCAATATTATTTATACCTGTGGGTATCTGTATAACCCCAGTACGTGAGCATTGAGTACAGAGAAGGTGGAAACCGAGTGTCCGATAATAGAGGACACACGTGGCAATTTTGAGCAAATGTAATTTGGGACTCCCTGATTTTGACCTGTTAGCATCTTCAGGGTTCCATCCAGCTCTTGCTGAAGCCCAGCACACGAGTCATAGACTTGGAAGCCCAGCGTTAGATTATGAAGTAGAGTGGTATTCCTGTTGATTTCATCAAAAGCGAATTTCATGGCATAAAACTGCTGATATACTTCAAAACTAAACCTAAGAACAAAATTAATTCATTTATGTTTACATTCTGAAAATAAATATTTTATGTGAGAATGATATATAATATATCCCTAAAGCTATGTGAGAAAATAAATAAGAGATATATGAACAACTTAAAAATAAATGGAAATTTAGAGAAAATTCCAACAGTGGAAAACAAGAAAGCAAACGTAAATAAAAGGATTAAGAATGTGAGAAGAAGTTAAATGATGATGGGTTGAGAGGAGGTTCCAAAGAGCATGTATTGAGAAGAAAATAAAAAATGAACTGTTACGCTATAGTCTTACATATTGCAAACTGCCTGAGAAGGGCTCTCTGTGAATAGAATTTCTGGGTATTCTTTATCAAGGTGAAAGGGGAGAATTGCACCAATTACGATATCTCCATCCTCCAACACTCCAACCAGATCAGATCCGTGCAGTCTGCATCCCGAAAAATCACAGTGGGATGCTGGCAAGAGGTGGTACAGGACAATGCGCCATATAGTGATATACATTTTGGATTTCAGCCTGAAACAGATAATTTATACATGCAGAACACACAGAACAGTGATTGTAACAAACGTACAAACGCTGCTCAAATAGGACTACTAAAACGGTCTATGGTTTTATAAAAAAATCAAACTTGCAAAGTGAGAGAAGTGATATTGTAGACATTTTCAAGCATATTATTATGGCTGAAACCAATATTATACTTGATAGTAATACCAGGACAAGGTGAAATGCCAAAAGGGAATTCAAATATTCCAAGGATATCGATGGAGATAGCCTGTGTTTTTTTGTTTGTTTTTAACATTCAGCTAGTAATTAGTAATGCTGTTTTTTAAATTAGATTTTTATTTGATTTAATATATTATCAATGTCTTACAGAAATTTGTAGTCTCTGTTTTTACTGAATTACTTCTTTACTTTACTTCTTTAAAAATAAAACCTGCTTTTCATTCTTTTGAATTATTATACCTTGCATAGAAATCATGCTATTTTATTATGTTTAATAAAGAAAGCTTGGTACTGAATGGGTTAATTTAATGATGTCTAAAGTCTTAGCCTTTGGACAATGATTGTTCTGTATGCAGCAAGTAACTGTACCTATTCTCTCTCCAGGAATGATCCCTCCATCCTGCTTTGTGTCTGCCCATCAGATCTTTTTGTTTCTCATTCTTCTCTTTGAGAAACAGAGATTACTCTCTGTTTCTCAATGTGATGTCTCATTCTGAAAGCAGTGTATGAACAGGTGATACTTGAAAAATTTGAATATCGTGCAAAAGTTAATTTATTTCAGTAATGCAACGTAAAATGGGAAACTAATATATGAGATAGACGCATTACATGCAAAGCAAGATAGTTCAAACTGTGATTTGTCATAAGTGTGATGATTATGGCTTACAGCTCATGAAAACCCCAAATCCACAATCTCAGTAAATTAGAATATTGTGAAAAGGTGCAATATTCTAGGCTCACAGTGCCCCACTCTAATCAGCTAAGTAAGCCATAACACCTGCAAAGGGTTTCTGAGCCTTTAAATGGTCTCTCAGTCTGGTTCAGTAGGAATCACAATCATGGGGAAGACTGCTGACCTGACATGAGCTGTAAGCCATAATTATAGCACTTATGACAAATCACGGCTTGAACTATCTTGCTTTGCATGTAGTGCGTCTATCTCATATATTAGTTTCCCCTTTTATGTTCCATTACTGAAATAAATTAACTTTTGCACAATATTCTAATTTTTTTAGTATCACCTGTATAGGTGTAGGACAGGGTTTACAGTGTGAGTTAAGACAGGGTGAAATGCTCATGAAACATGGACAGAGGGATATAATTGAAGGAAAATCTATAAAATAATCACACATTGGGCATTACCTGTTATAATAATGCCAGCTGTGTCATTACCCCATGTCTGGCTTAGCAGCTCAACAAAAACAGCTATTTCTACTAAGCTCTGACAGCTTCATTGTCCTAATCTTCCACCTACACCTATCTCTTCCTGGTCCAAGTAAATCAGAATAAAACATTTCAGTTCAACATTCAAACTCCTTCATCAGCAGATAAACATCTTGGGTGTCAAATTATTATCTAAATAATCAGAGATTAAGAATTTATGTAATTTTAAAATAATTTACCCATTAATGACAAATGTTATGAAATAAACAATTTTACATGACCTAGTCTTTAAAGAAATTATTACATTTGTTTGCTAGTGAGGAATTAAGTATTAAACCAATTAATGAGTTGCCTTTCTAGCCCTCTATATCTGTGGTTTAATAGCCCTGTTTTAGATCCTGTGTATCGTATAAGTGTGAGATGTCTGTAGCATAAAGTCTCTGCTCTAAGAAAGTGTGATCGAGCCAGACAGACATACAGATGTTGATATTGCTTGTCACATCATTCCACTTACTTCATGTTTCCTGCTCTCCAGATCTCTGTCTCCTCTCTGCGTGGAATGAAATTTCTTCCAGTTTTTATACAATAGTGAAACTCCTGTGAGACACAAACATTTTAATTATATAATCACTGTCTTTCCACAACGATGTATGTGAGGATCTTAGAGACTTCCCAGGACACACAGAATAAAATGAAAGAAAATAGGATAATTAGCAAAGTGAAGTTGCAGACAGGACCAAATGTTCTGGCTGCATAAACTTTTCATTAGAATAAGCAAGTACTTAGGAGCTATCTATTCCACCATGTTACCATGATTATGTGAGTTAAGTGAGTGTCTCATGTATATATCTACATATATTTTTTACAGTATTTTCAAAATACTAATACAGTATTGATTAGATTTGTTTTGATTTGAAACAAATCATGATTTGCCCACATTTTGGACAATCAGTGACTGTTCCAAATTTTGCTACTCCATAACAACATATGAATGTATCACAAAACAGGAAATGGATGAGCCAGAATTCTGTCTTTGGTGTTAAAAATAGAGGTAGGAAATGGAAAAGGAGCTGTTTTTTGGGGTGCAAACATGCAGATTAGTTTGCCATGATGGGCAAGAGATCTGCCCAATGACATTGGCTGTATCTCCTGAAGTGAAAAAAGATGATTGATGGGGAAAAAAGATGAACGATGGTTAGGGGACAACCACTAAGTGTGCTATAGAGGGAGAAACAAGAGGAGCATTATCTATATACAAATCTATATTTTTGCAAGCAGAGTTCTTCCAGAACACTTTGACTTCAACTATTTAGGCAGATCAACCATTGCTGTGACTGGGTGGGTGTGTAGCCATTAGCCCCGGCAATATTTGAGCCCATTTTACATTGCAGTGCACAAATAGGTGAATTCTTTTGCTCCATTTTGGTTCTTCTCAATCATTATACGCAAAAGAATTGCATTGATAAAATTCCTGCAAACCAAACCGCCACATCGACAAAACAGTTCTTTTTCTTACCTTTTGCATTGCACAAGTCCAGTTGTGATGTGTATAACATTGTATCACAGACACAGTATCAACAAATGCTGGACCATTTTCCTATTGTAAGGTGATATTTGTTGGCAGACTTCCAGAGTAATTTTAATCTCTTGAGAAGCAGAGCGGCTGCAAAAAGATATGCTCATCTCTGGTTTTTGATAGAAGCAGGCTCTTTCTAGAAAATAAATTACAATGGTATCCTTACATTGGGGATAGTAAGGAGAATCCATGTCAGCATATTTGAATCCTTACTTATGTGGTCTGGCGTTTGTTACCTGTGCCTGGGGGTTCCTCCTTTTGCTATGGGGTGCTGATCTGGCACTACTGGTTTCCTATGATGGCCTCAATTTATATATTTTTGAATAAGCTTATAAAACAATTTCCTCTTTTTTGGAATAGAAGTTCTCGACAGTCTGGAGTCTACTTACCTCTATGGCTTGGGGAGCTCTCCTATCCAGTTCTTCCAAAGTATATTTTCTCCATCCTTAACGCTCCATTTAAATGATGACAGTGTATTTTACAGTGTATTGAAGGGCTACTAAACTGGTTCATGGATTGCAGGATAAAACTTACCAGTAAAGATTAAAGGATCTTAACATGTATAGCTTGGAGGAAAGACGAGACAGGGGAATATGATAGAAACATTTAAATACATAAAGGGAAGAGAATAAACACAATGAAAGAGGAGACTATATTTAAGTAAATTTACAATAAGAGGACACAGTCTTAAATTAGAAATGGTTTAAAAATAATATCAGGAATTATTACTAGTGGTAGTGGACGCATGGAATAGCCTTCCAGCTGAAGTGATAGATGTTATCACAGTGAGGGAGTTTAAGCATGCGTGGAATAGGCACGAGACTATCCTAGATATAAGATAAGGCCAGGGACTAATGAAAGTATTTAGAAATTTGGGCAGACTAGATGGACCGAATGGTTCTTATCTGCCGCGTCACATTCTGTTTCTATATTTCCATGTATTTATTTGTTTTCATGTCTCACTACGCATTTGAGTTTTTTAATTTAAATTAGAACTATTGCATGTGGGGGCAAGAAAAAACCTGGTTCAGTTTTTCTTCTTATATAATTTTGTTTATACATGTGTGTTTATGTATATGTGTGTGTGTATGTATATATAATACACAAAATCCAGTCTTTGTTAATAGCCACGTAGTCAAACACTGGTCAAAGTTAGCATTAATATTTGTTTGTGTGTGAAAAATGCAAAAAGCTATTTTAAACACCAATTTTGGCCAGTGTTTGTGACTAAGTGGCTACTAAAAAAGACTGGACATACCCCGTTTGCAATGGGGGTAATGTTCATTCCAGAGCTACCATACGGTCTCAAAGGCAACGTAACCAATCTGGCGAGTTTCAATGTGAAAAAACTGAAACACAAGCCTTATATTTGACTCTGTAACTTTAATAAAAAACCCCAAAAAAACATTGATTCGGAAAGTGACTTCTAATGATTAAGTGGCTGCTAAAAAAGACTGGAAATACCCCATTTTGAATACCCTGGGTTGTTTACTCTAGCAAATGGTCATGTTTAAATGGGGGTAATTTTAATTAAAAGCAATAAAACACACATAATCACATGTACAGGCTTTATGGGGTTCAGTAAAGTTACAGTGTCAAACATAACCCTTTACTCTTTTCAGTTTTTACACATTGACATTTGCCAGATTAATTTGCTGTAGACTGCTTTGCTTTGAGACTGTATGGAAGTCCAGGAATAAAAATGTACCCTATAATGGCATACCATTTGTAAAAGTAGACAAGCCAATTTATTCAAAATAAGGTATATCCAGTCTTTTTTAGTAGCCACTCACAAACCCTGGCCAAAGTTAGTGATCATATTTGTTTTTGCATTTTTACTGATCATATAATCATCATGCTACATTTTACTATTTTAAAATACTCATATCATATTATGTTAAATCTCCCAAGTACAACAGCACCCCCATGTACAGGTTTTTTTTGGTATTTGGGAAGGTTACAGGGTCAAATATGTGGCTTGCAAAATAAACAATCTGTAATTTCTGCCTGGGTTGTCAGGCAAGTCCCAGGATCTTGTTAATGATCTCAAGGCAGCATAGTCACCAAGAAAACAATTGGTATCACACTACGCCGTGAAAGACTGAAATCCTGCAGCGCCCACAAGGTCCCCGTGCTCAAAATTGAGCTCATTGGCATCAACTCGCCATATTTGGAGGAGGAATGCTGCCTATGACCCCAATAACACTATCCCCACCATCAAACATCAAGGTGGAAACATTATACTTTGGAAGTGTTATTCTGCTAAGGGGACAGGACAAGGGGACAGGACAACTGCACCGCATCAAATGGACGGGGGCCATGTACCATCATATCTTGGGTGAGAACCTCCTTCCCTCAGTGAGGGCATTGAAACTGGGTCGTGTATGGGTATCAGGGTAGTTAATAATTGTTAAAGGCATTTGCTACATCTAAGGGAAGTTGCAGGATTTGGTTATCCACTTTGACAGTGGAGGGTTGGGAGTGGATTGGGGAGTTTGTAATGTATTTATGACTCTCCAAAAGTTTCTAGGGTTTGATATGTTATTGTTCAGATTTTCACAGAAATATTGGGCCTTGGCCAATTTTGTTTTGTGCCTATATTTCGCTATCCCAGGGCCCTATTTAGCCTTGTACTGCAGAGAGCCCCAGATGGAATTTTTTCCCCAAGTAAGTGGGTTAATCTCATAAGAGCAGACATTAGGCTGTTAGAGTAGGACCTGCCAAAGATGGGGTACATTGACGTTGTGGCAGGTTTCTGCAATGTATGATCATATAATGTAACTAAACCCCCATTATTTTTGCCTAGATTAGGTTTTCTTAAAAAAAACAAATAAAATCTTTCAACATTGAAGTTACTGTTTAGTGGATAGGTGAGTGTGCTGTATCTTGTGTATTATATATATTCTTGACTACCCTTTGTGGTCTCTACCACCTGGTCCAATCCATATTCTGTGCAGATGTTCTGGTACACAATCCCAGCAACTTGGTTGTGTCTCTCTGTGTATTCTGTTCCTGCTAACATCTTCCATCTGGCTACTAGGTGCTGGTCTGTGTCAGAAGCCTTTTTGCTGTCCTCTACATCCTTATATTTGGCCTTCTGGAACTTCAACTCCTTCTGTCCTGATCATCTTCCCTCTTTTTGCTATCATCCGCAAAAAGAGGGCTGTTTGGGGATATAACACATGTGGGGTTCCTGTATAGTTTGAATGTAGTTTGGGGGTGTTTTATGTATTTTTTTTATCTGGTTTCCTGTAACTAAAATATAATTGTGTTACCATTCTTTGACTCGATTATCTCCCAGACACAAGGACACCTGGGAGGGGTTTATATTCTGTTGTATGGAGACCCCATGCCGGGAGTCTGTGTATAGGAAGCCGAGTGTGGCTCAATAAACCTCAGTTGTCTCCCAGAACTGCATGTTGTCCAGTTACTGGGGGAATAGGCTATCTTCACTAAACAGTGCTCCGCTACATAATCCTTATCATAATCCAACTCCTAATCCTACCCATACTCCAACACAAAATTCTACACATTATACTATTCATAATTCTGCTACTAATTAAACTCCTAGTCTCATCGCTTAATCTCACAATGTAATCCTCTTCAGGATTCAGTTAGTGACATCAGCAGAGGGCTTTCCTGTTCACACTGTACAGACATCATGATGCAGTTCCTGATCTGCGCTGGGCAGCTGGCAAAATGTAGAAGTTCCATCAGGAAGATCTCTTTTCAGACACTGGGAGTCTCCCGCATACTGGGGGCAGACTCAAAATCATTGTGGCTAAGAGATTTAAAAGGCCATGTGAAGCCCTCACTTTCAGCTCCGCACATAGTTTATCTGTCAGTCTGTGGCCACTAGTTATGGCCCCAGCAGACAGAGAGAACCGTAAGATATCCAATGATGCCTGGGGCAACTTTGGACTAGCAGGTATTGAATAGAATACACTGTACATGGCTGTCTATGCCACCCATGGTTGTTAAAGTCATATGATCATTACTTTTGTTAATAGCCCAGGTCTTATTAATAATATCACCTTTCAAGGTGACTTCAAAAATCATCTCTCATGTAGGTAAATAGAATAGTTATTGCTGCTAGGCTCTGTATAGCAAAGGCTTGAAAGGGACTAGTTCCAGCAATGGACCATATAATTTAAAAGTATACTTTGCATGTACAATGGAAAAAATGATGGCTGCCCTAAATAATAAAATGGAAGCATGTATTACGATCTGGGAAGCAAGACTTTAGAAACACCCAGATATATTTACACTTACCAACTTATTTATGCCAAATCCTCAGTGACCACTATGTTCTCTTAGATCAATATCCATGGCATGTGTTTTAAATAAATGTTTTGTTTGTTTTATTTATTTATTTAACTATCTATTTAAATGTACTTTTTTTCCCCTTTAGGGTGGTTTAGTTGTGTTTGTGCGTTGTTATTTAAGAATAGGTATCAGATTGATTAAGTTTTATATGTATGGTTTGATATGTTGTGATATTTTATGTATTTTGATAAAAATTATTAAACTTACTTAAAACTGACACATATTTACAAAAATATTTTATGTTTCTAATCTATATGAACAAACTATAAGCAATATTCTCAGAGAAAACGTTTTACTTTATTTTGTTTTTATTTTGTGGTTTTAATTGTAACTTTTAAATTTTCCCATGAGATGTTCCTTTGAGTTCATGTCAGGTCTCAACAATATAATAAAACATTTTGGGACAAACATACATATAACCAGGGCCCAGCTTGAAGATAGGATGGCAAAGACTTCCATGGCTACTGTGTACTTTCCTTTAGAACTGAGGGATGCTGGGATATAGGACACCCAGACACTTATAAATGCCAGCATGCTAAAGGTGATGAACTTGGCTTCATTGAAACTGTCAGGAAGTCTTCTAGCCAAGAAGGCAACAGTGAAACTAATGGTGGCCAGAAGTCCAAGATATCCTAACATGCACCAGAATGCTGTAGGTGAACCCTCATTACATTCAACAATGATAATTCCTGGTTGGGCTAGGATATTGTCTGTTGGAAATGGAGGAGCAAATAAGACCCACGTTATGCACAACACTAATTGTAAAGAGGTGGATAAGGCAATAATCATGTAAGAAACCCGAGGTCTGACCAATTTCTTTAAACTGCTACCAGGTTTTGTGGCCATAAAGGCAAAAAACACCATGAAGGTTTTTGCTAAAATACAAGACACACAAAGTGTAAAAACTGTGCCAAAGGCAACTTGTCGTAAAAGACATTTCTCAGGCAGAGGGTAGCCTATAAAAGCTAAGGAGCTGAGGAAACAGAGGGACATCGACATTAGGAGAAGGCAACTTAGAGAGAAGTTGTTTGCTTTGACAATTGGGGTGTTCTTATAACATATGAAAAGTACAAAGATGAAAACTGGCATCAAGGATAAGAAAGCACTTGTAGCAGCTAAAGTGGCACCCAAAGGCTCTTCAAATGAAAGAAACTCTCTGTTCTTTGGGAGACATCTGTCTTTCTGGGCATTGGGCCACTCATCCCATGGACACTTGTAGCAGTCAAGAGAGTCTGAAAGAAAACTTTAAAATGAAAAAACTGAACTGTGTCTCATGTTTAATTCTTAACAAGTACAAACAATATTTTATCTTTATTCATGTTGTTTTATTTTTACTTTTGTTATGTTTGTTTTACATTATAATATTTGAATTCTTTATTGATATATATTATGAGTCTGACTGATTTTATAATTTTTTTATATTATATTTAGAAGATCAGTAGATCTTAATACTAGAAACTAAAAATTCCAACATTTTTGTTGATAATGGTTTCTTAAATACACTTACCTGTCTTGTTGGATATGTCACCCTGGGGACAAAGAACACATTGAAAGCAACAGACAGGCAAGTCTTTCCTCAGCACCTTCCTAAAACCCGATGGGCAGCTCTGAGTACAGACAGAGACAGGAACCTGAAGGATAATATGAATAATGTTATGTCGCTGATTCCTAATGCTGAATGATCAAATGATCCTGGGCTAATACCTGGGAAATTACAAACCAGAGCATGAGAAATTAACATCTAAAATACATCATTTTTTTCCAAATATGCCCTTGATTGAATATTGTTGGATACATTTGCAAATGATAACTTTTACAATTATTTAATATTATGAAAATATTTTAATTGTGTGATATTTCAATATTTTTTTAATATATTGAAATATGTATTATGTATGTTTTGATATTTTATCAAGCTATAAATAACTTTAAATAATTACTTTTGCAGCCTCAATAAAGTAATATTATGTAAACAAAGTCTGGTATTATCATTCTACTTGTGTAGATGCAATCTCGCCTTTTTTGCAGTTTAATCTCATAGGGTAGGAGTCTCAAAAGGTTTTTCACTTCTTTCAAGTGTGAAATATCAGAAATTAAATTTGAATTCAAACTTAATTGAACAATTTTAGGCAAGACTAGCAAAATCAGAACATAGCTGAATTCACGCAGTTTGTCTTATTATTTGAAATTCACTTTGAATGCACTTTGGCTATTTACTAATTTGGTGAATAATCCTAGCTGTCTTCAAATCATGTTCTATATCTCTGGTTTTAATATTGCTAAGCATTTTTAGATCATTTGTCAATATTATACAATGTTATGAAATATATTAATGATTTATGAACTTACCTGCCCTTGGTCAGTTGCCCACATCACAGCACTTGCATTGATAAGAAAAGGATATCCATCTGCTTTTGTGGTATCGTAGCTGCCCACTGTCACATGCTTCATTGTGCCATCTGCACTCACTTGCCAGTTTACAATATCGTATATCGCTGGTGGGTCACCATTTTGATCAAAGAAGAGTTCTCTTCCATTGCCTAGCTTCACTCTTGAATTTTGGATGTAGTAAGACAGCTATTAACCAGAAAAGTTAATCTATCATTCAGAATGTTTAAAAAACGACATTGCTTGTTCAATACAAAGATCACTAAATAAATGGTTGGATTCAATATGTGTTGTGGCAAACCTAGCCACTTCAGATTATTCTGTTAGATGTCTAAAGGTTGTCCTAGAAAAGCTGGTTCAATTCTGTTAGTTTATGTATTAGCTTATAACTGTAATAGAGAGCATTCGAATGCTAGCGACCAAAAGCCGCTGGCATTCATATGGTAGTTTCACGAACAGTGACTTTCCACACTGTTCATGAAACGAATAAAGTACCGAATGGAAGCCCACACACAGGGGGTCATGTGGCTCCCATTAAACAATTGCAACATTATATCAATCGGCTGCTAATTGATTTCCCCGGTGGCCGTCATTCGGCTACTGACCACGAGACGGTGGCCATCTTGAATTTCCTTTTTGCCCAGCGGTGTTTGGTCGTCGAGTGCCTGGAACTAAAATCGGCTACTCAACGGCACGAACACCGCTGGACTTCCAGGCCGTTTGGGACCGCCGGTCTTTCGGTACTTTTTCCCCACTTAGTTATTCGTGACTTTTATGATGAATGTATGTTAAAGTATATTTCGTGCGGCGTTCGGCTGATTGTGTGGGGATCTGAGCGGTAGTTGAATTTTTTATTTATCTTCCAGGCCTCTCCCAGGATTTCATAACCTAATCTTGAGTATATATACCTAATTTCCTTCAGCCCTCTGTGTATTTCATCTATTCCCCTAGTGTTTGAGCCATTGTTGCCCAGTTACACACCATTTAATCTTGTTAGCTTCTTCTTGTTTCATTCTCAAAACAGCCACCCACTTAAGCCCTCTTGATCATATATTTACCCCACAAACTCACTGCCTTTAATACATCCCTCTATGTTAATCTAATGTTAGCCATCCCATCCCTTGAGCTGTTTCTCATGTGTTTGTCCCTTTGCTTTTCCCTTTCCCAAGGGCTATCCCATTTTTACATTTACTGTCCTTTGACTGTCTTAGGAGATATGAAGCTGACTTCATTTCCTTTGGAAGAAATAAGGGGTTGGACAAAAAGTGGTAAAGTAAAGTAAAGTGGTGGATTAAACATGAAGGAACCACTCTGAGAAATGTTTGGATAGACCATGTTGGGATGCCTGATTATTGTCATTTTATATCTGGTAGGGACTTTCCACTCATCATCATGTAACCAATAATCAAGCATACCAGGTTTGGGACTTTCACAGACTTCGAACTTAAAAACATTATTGGTCACCGACAATAAGCATCCAACAAAGATCCTTACCTGCCATGGCTTAAAGTTCTGGAGATCAGCACAAGTTCCATTTGTAAATGGTCCTTTACCCTTTTGACAGGTTTGCAAATCATGTAAAGATTTGGCAATGACAATGATTGCATTGTAAAGGTTATAGGCAGTACTTGAGCTTGATAAATCATAGTAGATGTCCAAAATACTCTCCATACTCTCATTTCCAGTACAAAATGTGGAATTATCCCATGAATCTGTAAGGTTTGTCTGGTGGTTTGTCAGGTCTAAAAATTTACAATCAAAAGCCATTTCCCAAAATATTTTAGCCCATGGATCTTTCCTGGTGTTGTTGTGACGAATAGTGTTCAAGAACTCTCCAAATCCAGGAATTGTTGTGCTATGAAGTGAGAGGCCAATAGAGCCAAAAAGTAGTGAAGAATATTTATCTACTACTAGCAAGTTTGAGATTGACCAAGCTTCACTGGCCACAAAAACTTTACCCGTTACATTTTGCCTCAGCATCTCATCCAGTAGTAAAGCTTTATCAGTATCTTGGGTAAAAGAAATTACAACCTTGGCAGTGGATTCTTTAATTTTTTTTGTCACATGGTAAATGTGTTCCATATTGTTAGCAGTTATATATTCTGAAAATGCCACACAAGCTCCATGCCTGAGAATCTCCTGCATAATGACATGAATGCCCTGATGTCCATAGTCATCATCTAAAGCCAATAGCCCAATCCAAGTCCAGCCAAAGTGTAACACTAGCTGTGCCAGCCCCTTGGATTGGAACAAATCACTTGGGACAGTTCTGAAGAATGAGGGGAACTGTGTTTTGTCACTCAAGATAGAGCTGGTTGAATAGTGACTAATCTAAGGTGACAAACAACATAATAAGTGCAAAGTGTACCATTTACTGAGATTATAAATACTTTTTATATCTTTTTAATGGGATATTTAAGATTATATGTAATATGTAAATATTTTGTGACTGTGGAATGTGGTACAATGATTGTATACCGATATAAATATGGACTATACAGCATTAACATCACAGCATTGCTCCTAATTCTTCTCATTTTCGTCTTTGTAATATAAACAAAACAGATCAATGTAGTTCAGTACCACAAACTGATATCATTATGCTTCTCACCTGAGGGTATCTGTATAATCCCAATACATGAGCATTGAGTATAGAGAAGGTAGACGTTGAATGTCCAATGACTGCAGAAACAGGAGAAATTTTCTTGCAATTGAAATTGGGGATTGATTGCCTTTGGCCTGTTATCATCTTGAGGCTCCCATCAAGTTCTTCTTGTGCTCCCACACATGAGTCATAGACTTGGAAGCCCAATGTTTTGTTTGGGAGCAAAGATGGGTTTCTGTTAATCAAGTCTACAGTATATATTATGATATGGAACTGCAGAATCCTTTTATACCTAAAACTAAGTTAGAAATTAATCAAAATAAACTTTAAGTCCCCATTATGAAAATTTTGAGTGTACAAAAAAATAGCACAAAAGGGTATGACATTGAAAATCATAAGGTGGCAAAATTATGGATGACTTCAATGAATGTTACATAAAGAGAAGATATATATGAAAAAAGTTAAATGGAAATGTTGAAAGAAAGGAATCAAAATGCATGTGGAGGGAATCAGAGAAGGAATAATATTGTAGTATTTAAAACTGTAGTGATGATAGGTAAAATAAAAGATGTGCACTCACACTTTCCTGGAGCTCAATACAGCTCCAGCATTTTTACAGATTGCTCAATCATTAAAGTTATGCTGTTACAACCAAATCCAAAAGGAACACTGTCAGCACCAAATCTACTACAGTTGATGTCTAGGTGCACCAAATCTACTACAGTTGATGTCTAGGTGTTACAGCATGACAAATAATGATTATGTGTTAGAGGTGGATATTAAATCTACAAGAATAATAAAAGGTGGGACTGAAAAAACTTACACTTTACAAGGTCCTTGTCGAGGGAGCTCTGTAAATGTGATTTTAGTCTTATCCAAATATTTATCTAAATGAATGGGGAGCACTGCACCGAATAATATGTCTCCATCCTCCAAGTATCCGGTCAAATCAGATCCATGCAGTCTGCATCCGAGATGATCATAGTGGGAGGTTGGCAAGAGGTAGGACAGGACTATGTGCCATATTGACCTATAAACAATAATTTTCACTCTGAAACAAACAGAAAGTAAACACAGCTATAATGTGTCAGGTATCATTTTAAACAAGGTTAAGATGTAGATGAGCAAAGCAAAGAATGCTAAAGGGTATTCAGCGTTAAGAAATAGCTGGAACAGTCCAAACGGCAGCTAAATCACCAGAGCCGAGGTGTCTCATCCCGTCCACAAACAGATGAAAGTACAAGGAGTGATGCAGTGCCTAAAGTGTCCTTAAAAATATACATAAAAGCAGGGATAAAAAAAAGGAAAATATATAGTGTAGTATGTCACTGTCCAAATAAATAGAATAAAACAAAAGAAACACACACAATTTCCTGGAGCTATAATTGTAGCTCCAACTTGAACGCCTGGGCGGAACAATCCCCTGTATAAAAATATAAAACAAGAAACAATGCACTCAAAGTGAAGTAGATAATAATAATAAATACACTTAATGCGTTTAACCTGGCAAAACACTTTTGAGAAAGCCTCTTGCCAGGTGAAATGCATTAAGTGTATTTATTATTATTATTATCTACATCACTTAGAGTGTATTTTTTCTTGTTTTATATATTTATATTAATTACCTTTCAATAAAAGTACTTTTTTATTGGACCAATTTTTGCTGCCATTCTGCTTGAATTACCGTATCAGTGGTGGGGATTCTACAACCCAAGCACGAGGGATAGAGAAGTCCACATCTGCTCCATCAAATGTGAGTAAATTTCTTACCACTTTAATTGTATTCTGTGCCTTACGGTAAACACAATTTTTTTTTTTACTTTTTACTTTTTCTCCTATTTCTGTTTCTGAAGGGAAAAATCGCCATCTATACTTAAAATTGGGAACTACACTATAATATCCTAAGCCCATATCCGCAGAGCTTCTTATGTTTCCACCATTTGAGTGACCACAACCACCAAGAACCACACTATATCCATAGGCGGGGATTGTTCCACCCAGGCATTCAAGATGGAGCTAAAATTTTAGCTCCAGGAAATTGTGAGTGTGTTTCTTTTGTTTTATTCTATTTATTTGGACAGTGACATACTACACTATATATTTTCCTTTTTTCCTGCTTTTATATATAGATTTTTAAGGACACTTTAGGCACTGCACCATTCCTTGTACTTTCAAAGAATAATATGACTGTACTGTACTGTTCAGCTTGGGATTTTCACAAACAGGATGAATCTAATATTGGGTAACATTTTTATAGTTAGAGCAGACTGTAGGTCATACATACAAAGAGAAATGCAAATCACACATGTCAGATATGAGTCTCATCAGTAAAATATGCACTTTTGTTTTCTGTAGCTTTTTGTAGATAGGTCACAGTTGTCTTCATAAATGTGAATAAATAAAGATATGTAACCAATCTAGAGTTGAAAGAGGAAGTTGAAGGATCGTCTGAAAACTAACCTAGGATAAGTATACCTAACCTAGGTCAAGTATGATGCCCATTTATTTGGTTAGTGATCCCCAAGCTGCTGATCTAATGTAACTTCCCCTGCTGCAAACATGCAAATACATCCTTATATATAGACACTTCTAAAGTTGAATACAGATCATGTTGTTAAATTGCCAAAAGTATCCTGACATTGGACAGTCCAGCCTTGCATATCAAAGAGTAAAAGACAATTTAGAAGATATGGAAGAATGGGACATAACATGAATTAACAATTTAACCTGTGTCAAAATAATATATCGAAGAAGAAAAATTAAAATTTGCAATTTACAATTTACATATGGACCAGACTAAAAGGGTGCTATTGGCTGGTGAGATAAGTTAATAGATTTCAAAATTGGAGACTACATTTGAATGTGAAATTAGTGGTGATATCTTATTACTTCGGATCAGAATAGTATGTTAGTAAGATATTACACTCCATAGATGTTATCTGCAGTCTGTGAATCTGAACAAATGTCCTATTTGAAATACTAAATATGTAAATCACATCAGTTTGTATTAATGGTCCACAAATGCCTCTCTTGATGTGAATATATTATAAGAATAAGCACTAGTGATTTTCTGAAAAAACAAGGTTACTTGGATATCGTATCAGTAATTCCACCATAGCTATATATTTTAGTGTTATAGTATTATAGGGCATCTAATAGACAGGTATTAGTAGGTATATGCAGGGATTTCTGATTATGCAAAAATCAGCTGATTGTGCAGCAAGCATGTATATGTTATAGATATATGCATAAAAGCACTATTACATGCAAAAGAACTGGTAGAACTGCCAATAGAGCACTGAACATATCCAGTGCAGCATATACTCTGAACAAATACAGTACATGCACTGATATTTTTTAAGTTAGCTATGATTTATTACGTTTAGAATATATATCTGCAAACGATTGCACTATGTTTGTATAAATGTATTTTACATTTTTCTTAAAAAAAAACTTTTGGATTTTCTTTTTTTTAGCATATCATAATTAATGTATTTCACATTTTCTTTGCAGAAACATTTAGCTATAGACTTTATATTATAACACATTTACTTCAAACTGCATTTGCTCCTTGATTTTCACTCTCCGTAATGTGCTATACGCAAACATATTCAGGATCCTGGACGCACAGTTTTCATAGGAATATAGATTGGGGATTCTGTTTAGTGAGTTCTAGTTAGTTTCTAACGGTCAAACTTATCAAATTCTTCACTTATTTAATATATAATCACTCTTCAGGATAAGTCAGATGTTAATGGTCTTTTCTTGAATTAAAACCCTGCACAATGTTTGATTGAGACACATACCAAAACACAACGCAAAACAATTACTATAAGGAACTTACCCAATCGCATTGCTCACCCATACAGAGATTCCTTAGCCAATATTATCTTTCTTTACATATATTTGCTGTTTTTGAACATGTAATGAGGTAAATAACCCTATTTTTCAAATTTTTGAGAAACAATAAAACTGAAGAAAATCTCTGTAACCTTTCTGCCCTACAAAACACAAGTCCAAGATGATGAGTCCATTTGTAAAAGTCCATGGGATCATCTCATCCATTGGAAATCCAAGATACTTCCTATATTATCTCTAAACGTAATACAAATTTTTACTGATGAGATGTCACCAGTTATGGTGGCTGGTGTCTTAATCTTGATGAACAACTCTCAGTGTATTTTTTCTATTTAATAGTCTAGTCCTGACAGAGACAACATCACATTCTTAGCCTAAGTATAAAATATTCTGGATCAAAATGTCTGTTCCCACCATGGTGCTGATTTGTGGCATTCACATTTCAATAAATATCCTGGTATATACCTATTGATTTATGTCTTTTCAGTGGCGTGGACTGACTGTAGGGTTGGCATTAAACAAGGCAGACATGTCAATGAATATCTGCAAAGAAGGAGACTCCTGTATAAGTGAAATTATTGTTTTTTTTGGCTGCAAAACTGGTTCATGAATTGCTGGATATAACTTACCAGGAAAGGTTAAAGGATCTGAACATGCATAGCTTGGAGGAAAGACGATACAGGGGAATATGATAGAAACATTTAAATACATAAAGGGAATCAACACAGTAAAGGAGGAGACGATATTTAAAAGAAGAAAAACTACAATAACAAGAGGACATAGTCTTAAATTAGAGGGGCAAATGTTTAAAAATAATATCCGGAAGTATTACTTTACTGAGAGGGTAGTGGATGCATGGAATAGCCTTCCAGCTAGTAAAGGAGTTCAAGCATGGCATAAGGCTATCCTAGCTACAAGATAAGGCCAGGGACTAATGAAAGTATTTAGATAATTGGGCAGACTAGATGGGCAGAACTGTTCTTATCTGCCGTCACATTCTATGTTTCTATGTAAAACTGACCTACCTCGAGTCTTAATTTTCAAGTTTCAGATTGCAATTTTCATTGTTATCTATACAGGGTTTAGTGTCTGTACACATTAACGTTTATGAGAAATATTAAATCATTCGTACTTCATACTTCCTTTCCTGCGAATCCCTGCAGCCTCTGTGCAAAGTATTAATGCTCAGATTTATATACTGAGCTAAATCCCCTGATACAAACATAGCAACCGATGCTAGGCTGCTAGTTGCTTTCTTAAATGAACAGCTTAGCAATAGAATTGGCTTGATGGACTTGGAGACAGGCTCACACACTCAATGTGGAAACATAATTAAATATATAAAAGACAATTGCACAGAGGAAATTTTCAATGTTTTTGGTCATTCGGCCCCTTCACCCTTCGATCATTACCTTCTGATATGGGATTATTATACCGATAAATTACCCTATTTATTTAAATTAACAGTGGATACATCTCTCTCCTATCTGAAAATATTTATCCCAAACCTTTGATTGGGGTGTGGGTCTGCAATTTTCCAATCTTTTAGTATTTTTTTGAAAGAAAATTGTAGTATCCTACATATATTCTCTAAATATTCCCCCCGATACTCAATTTTTCTCATAAACATGGTTTTGCTAAACAAGGTATCTTTATCTTTATATTTAGTGCCTAGAGGGATATTGGCTATACCTCACTGATGATGCCTAACAAGGCCGAAACGATCGTCTGGGGTTGCGGTATATCTTGTGCAGCGAGAGCCAGCCTATATTTTGGATCTGTTCTGCCTTTTTGGTGGAATCAGTCTGAGATGCATGGTCTGGTTCTCTCTGTAATGGCACAAGATGAGCTAAAACCAGCTTGAGGATTGAGCGTGGACCCACCGAAGGGCAGGGTAATTGAGCTGTTGTCCGTTCTCAGCACTGTCTTGCGACTAGTTTTTTGCTCTCCTTGAGTTTAAAGGGTAATCCAGACATGGTGCCTTGAGAGATATTGGCTATACCTCACTGATGATGCCTAACAAGATTGAAATGATCATCTGGGGTTGCGGTATATCTTGTGCAGAGAGAGCCAGCCTATATTTTGGATCTGTTCTACCCTTTTGGGTGGAATCAGTCTGAGATGCATGTCCTGGTTCTCTCTGTAATGGCACAAGATGAGATAAAACCAGCTTGAGATCTGTGCGGGGATCCACCGAAGGGCAGGCTAATAGAGCTGTTGTCCGTTCTCAGCACTGTCTTGCGACTTGTTTTTTGTTCTCCTTAAAGTATCTCTATCTGTTTCACCACATTAGAACTAATTTATGTTTCGAGGTATCCAGCTCATGGGTTACACTGGGAAAATGGACCCACAGTTTACTTTTCAGATGATGATTAGGATAACTCTGGTTCTCTGCTGGTCTCACTCATTGCACCCCCCATCTGGAACTCACAGATAAAATTATCCTTAGATGGCATGTAGTTCCTGCAAGGTTTACACACATTAATCTTCCACAGACCATTCGCTGCTGGCTTAAATATATCTGATGGGTATGTCCTAAATTGCTCCAGTTGTGGCACACAACATTCTCCCTTGATTCTGCAGTTAAATAAACTGTGCTATACCCTTCAACCTGATCTGGTTACTTTGTTGTCACTTTTTTTTTGTCAGTTAAGGAAGTTGTGTCACGCAGTTGGAGGTTGGATTTGATTGACTAGCTAATAGGCTATAAAACAAAAACAAAAAACAGGAACAAATGGTTTACTCTGCCAGTGAGGAGTTCTGTTTGGTTCCTTCCAATCTCAGCACTTTTTTTTTATAACTTTTTGTTTTGTTTTTGTTGTGTTTTTTTAAGTCCAGCTGGTATCAAAATTCCTTATGTGAGTGCTACAGAATTTGTTGGCGCTCTGTAAATAATAAAATAATGATACTAAAATAATAATAATAACAATAATAATATGGGGTTGGTAGGTTACTTCTTTGTTTTTCTTGTCTAACCTTTTCTCTTGTCTTTTGGTTTCATTTTCTTCTCATACTTTTTCTCTTTTCTTTTTCTTTTCTGATGTTATTCTTTGTTTTGTTTTCTTTTGTATGTAATTGTTGTTGGATCCTTTGTGTATTTAACTTGTCTCACCACCAGTGACATTAGATTTTAACTTTTTGAATTGTTTCTTTCATTGCTTAACTACACATGATTAGAATTATTTGTTGATATGTTTTATGGTGCTCACAGATATGTATTATTTGTTGATATGTTTTATTTAGAACAAAAAATAGTCACAGTGCATACATAAAAGCGATGGCAAATTATTTAAACCAACAACAGTTAAAAATAAGAAGAAATAAACAGAAAATCCTAATGACTCACATTGCTGTTATAGTAATGGTATCTTCCCTCCGACAGAGTACCATTAATGCTCACCCCAATTAGATTTGACTTCCAGTGAGCATATGGCTCAATTGCATTCCATGGACTTTATACCCTTTGCCCCAGGATTCTAAGTCGACCCTAAGGAGGTACAGGGTGGAGGTTAGGCATAACAGTAAGGACTCTAGGTTGCTTACACCTTCTCTCTCACCTTGTGGCCTATTCAAATGGTCTGCTAAGTGAAACGAAGCAAAGTGTGTGTAGTCAGAAAGTCTGAGTAAGAGTGAACTTGAATGTGCTTTGTGGTGCAGAATTTAACACCTGGGCACATGTACTAGTTTGGGTGCCTCCAAGGAAGAAATCTAACTAGCAAATATTTTCCTGTGATCTGACATATAGCCAAGTTAACCCTCCCCATGTTCTAATCAGTCATACTGTTATGGACAGATGAATTAAAATAAAATGGCTATTTACTAATGTCTATTTATTCTGTGTTCACTATGTTAAAACTGGCTGCTAGAGTAAATATTCCCTTCCCCCCCCCACAATGTGTTCAGTTGCTGTTTCCTCTGTAAATTCCTCACATCCTGCTAAGCATCCCCCTTCCCATCAAGCAAACCTCGTGTAACCAAAATTCCTGTGTTAACAGCTTCCTTTACTAACTCCTCCTCCACTTCCTTTGTGCCAGTTAACAGCTATATGCCACGTGTAACAAAATGGAGAATCACTGTTAAAGTAACTGAAAGAAACTACTCACTCCCCCTGTCATCGTGTATCCAGGAGCTGGAATATATGCGGGAGAAGTCTGTAATGACGACACTACATCCTGTAGGGGGGGTTTAGACAAGACCCCTTAGACTGTTAACCAATTGTTGAATGTATATTGTATGTTTAACTGTGACTCTGCACATGACGTATTTCTGCTTTAAAAGGAGCCCCCACTCCGGGGAATAAAGCATTCCTTGGTTTTTCACTGATCAGAAACTTTGTCTCCGGTGTGAATTACTTCTAGGGAAAGCGTGCACGCATTAATCAATCAATTTGGAAGGTGTAGATAGACAAATTATCAAAGTTTTCTTTGATCTAAAACAATACTACTTCTTCTAGATAATAATTTTGTGTATACACTATGCATATCACCTATATTAATAATGTCTCTACAGCAAAACAATGAATATGCATGGCATTGGGTACCTACGTTTAATTGGTGTCTCTGAACTGAGCATTTCTAAACTAAAGTGTATTTTTTTTTTAATTCAGTTCTTGTATTTACATAGGAATTGGTTACATTGTATCACCAGTCTCAAAATATCACACACAATGCCATTACAGCATTTTGTAACAAATTTATAATCCTGAATTCATGATCTAATTTTTTGTAGTATCTCCAAAATAATCATATCCCCAGCTAGTTTTCTCCAGAAATGTTCCATATGTTTATCGTTTATTAATTTTTGTGAAATTACATGACACTATTGGCCTCAAGTGGCAGCTGAACAGGCCACTATAGAAACTAGTAAAGGATACAAGCCAGGCCTTAAAAAAAAGTAAAATGATGAAGGCTTGTTCATAAAGCTCAACAACAGTAGTCAAAGGGAAACTATAGGCACTCAGAACCACTTCAAGTAATGAAGTGGTCTGGGTACAGTGTCCCTATTGTTCGTAGTGCTGGAATGTTAAACATTGCAGTTCCAGAGAAACTGCAATGTTTACATTGCAGCAATAAGTCTGCCTCTGGTGGCTATCTCCCAGATGGATACTGGAGGTGATTTAGACATCCAAACAGACCTTTGTTCTGGTATCTGACGATGGACATCCTCATGCTCTGTATGAGAACATCCAGCTTCAGATTTTTCCCCATAGGAATGCAGTGATTCAATGCTTTGCTTTCCTATGGGGAGGTATAATGCATGCACGCAGTGACGCCGGCTCATTGTGGGACATCTGAGAAGGTGGAGCCGCAACTGAGAGACAAGAGACATTATCGCTGGGGTAAGGTAAGTTAATAAAGGGGTTTTTAACCCTTTATTTACCATGGAGGAGGGTGTGGGGGGGAGGGGTGAGGGGGGCAGTGCGAGGCAGAGGGAGCTATAGTTCCAGGAATCCAGCTTTGTATTACTGGCACTTATAGTATCCCTTTAAGTGAAAGCTAATTGTAAGGGTTACTATAGATCATGGCATTGATTGTTTCAATTTGAGGGATAAGGATGGCAACTGTACTAACTGATGTGGACAGTGAGTAGATTACCAGATAATTCCATCACAATGAATGGTCTGGTTACTATGTACCTGTAATTTTAACCATGCAAGTGAAAACATTTCCACAGCTCCAGGTGGCATTTTGATGCCCCTCTACACTTTAAGGTGCCGGCTGTGGGGCCTAGGCCACCTGTCATGTTCTTGAGCAGGTCAGGTAAGAGACTTTGGCCAGTGTTAACAACAGAGGCTTTATTTGTGAGTTCGGACATATTAGAATACAACAGGTTATCTTATAAATCAAATAATAGGGAGAAGGAAAATAAGAGAAACAGAAAGGTTTAGGCAATATGCCTTATGTAAAAAACAGAATGTAGATAATAAGGGAACCTATAGATTAAAGTATAGGAAGAATATAGAGGGACAAGTATAAAAGAATAGAACAGAACGGAACAACAAGGTTTCAGAAAACTAGGAAAAGAAGACTTTAGAGAATCAGTCCCTTCGTGGAAGGAGGAATAATAACGGATGGAAATAACACCTTGCAATATTAGAGGTAAAGTCCAGATTGGTGTTATACAGGTTGTAAATATGATTTGGCAGAATTAAGCAGAGCAGAAGTGTAAGTTAGGTTGGTTTGGTGCAGGTCGGTCTAAAGCTGGTTGGCAGGAAAATGCAGGGTAGAATTGTAGGTTAGGCTGGTTTGGAACAGTTTAGTATCAAGATGGTTAGCAGGACAGAAGTGTAGGTAAGGCTGGTTTGGAACAGCTTGGAATAAAGATTGTTAGCAGGACAGAAGTGAAGGTTAGGCTGGTTTGGAACAGCTTTGTATGACGCTGGTTAGCAGGATAGAAGTGTAGGTCCACAGGAACGTTTGCAGGAGCCAGGAACTGAAGTCTTTTAGGATTAGCATCAACTTCCTTGTAAAGGCCCTGAGGTAATTTGGGTGTAGCTTTTTGTAGCTTCTTGATTTGCCCAGGCAGGTGAGGATGTCAAAGGTTAGTGGTTAGGGAGGCCACTAGTGGTGCAGAGCTGGAACTAGTCATTAAAGCAACAGGAATAAACAAACATAAACTTCGTTGTCAGGATAGGATCCTGACACCTCCTATTTGCATATATATATATATAAATATATCATATATCATCTACCCTAACACCAAAACAGCTTACACAACATTTGAACATCGTCAAGAGAAATCTAGTGTTACAACTGGAAATAAATGGATGACAGAAGAAATCAACCATATACCATGAGGAGGAAGAAGTTCCAATTCATACATTCTTACCTGAATTGATACCCCAAGATGGTATAACAACAGATATAAGGGAAATGATCCTAGAAAAACCAGCAGTCATTGACCAGTGGACAAGACTACCGAAGATAGCTGAAAAGTAGCCACCAGACAAGACGCTAGCTGCAGTTAATGAAGCATTGTCCACAATCCCGTCCTGCACCATCACAGAGACAAACAGCAGTAGTGGTCCTCCAGCTACTTGACAACAACATCAGGCTCAAAGAGAAGCAATGCCCATCATGGAGACTACGACTGGAAGCCAAGATAAAGACAACACGGAAGGAAGATTATAAGCTGGATCAAGTTAACAGAGGTGGAATGATCAAAGATAGATCCTGGCTGCTGCGGAAGTACAAGGATATGTCCAAACCAGAGGCGCTGGAAACTGCTAAGCAAAGACTGACAAAACTGGCAACCAGACTGAGCAGATACACTAGAAGGCTAAGAGTATCAATGCTCTCTTTACCAAAGAACCATCCAAGGTGTATGCACAGCTACAGGGTAACCACCACATCCCCTTGCAAGACACCCAAAGCTGAGACTGAACAGTACTGGAAGAATATCTGGGAGAAAGAAGCATCTCATAACACCGAGGCCCAGTGGCTACTAGACCTGAAAGCAGACCACTGCATGCTGCTAGAATAGGAACTGGTCCTCAAAAAAAGTCGAAGATATCCAACAGAGAGCAGCACACATGAAGAGCTGGTCAGCCCCAGGACTTGACATGATCCACAACTACTGGATAAAGAAGTTAACAGTGCTGCATGAACCAGCTACTAGCAACAGGCTCCCACCCTGACTGGCTAACACAAGGCATAACGATACTGGTCATGAAGGACCTTCACAAGGGAACTGTCAGGATCTCACCTGAGGTGGTAGACCGGTAGGCAAAGATTTGTACTTACCCTTGCAGATAGTCACAGTCCAAGGTGATAAGGTTAGAAGCCACCAGGACTGTGAATCTGTGCATGGAGGCTGTGCAGGATATAGCTCCAAGTCACAGTACAGGCAATGACACAAGCAGGAGGATTGTTGAGGATACACCAAAGTCAGAGGATTCCAGAGGTCAGGATAAACAAGGGTAAGCCAAAGTCAGAGGATGTCAGGGGTCAGGATAAATGAAGGTAAGCCAAAGTCAGAGGATGCCAGAGGTCGGGATAAACAATAAGATAAACCAAGGTCAGGAGCCATTTGGAGAACACTGGATCAAGAATACAAATACAGGAACCAAAGTCAATGAACTGACACTGCCCTCAGAGAGATTTGGCATCTGCATCAGGTGGACTGAGATTGACAGGAGCAGCCACAGGAAATGTCCAGCCCCCTAGTGCTGGAGATAAGGCAAGATCAGACTTCAGGCTGATACATGAGCTGAATTGTGGCTCAGAGATAAAACAGCAGGCCTGGGACACAGAAGGATCCAGGTTTGTATCCCCTGTTGGGCACTTCTGGAGCGACCACATCTGGATGTCATGGTGAGAACGTTGTCACGGAGTTGGTAGTTGAATGGTGACAACAAATAACCTGCATCCTCTCAACATGGAAACTCCTGTCAGGCATCATAGCCTCCAAGATCCAAGGGCATATGAGTCTATATATGAACAATACTCAGAAAAGGATTGGAAACAACACCAGAGGATCAGAACACCAACTACTGGTAGACCAAGCAATCACAAGGAACTCTAACACCAGACAGACCTATGGCAAAATTCCACACATATGGATACTGGAATGCTTGGATCTCTACAATGTCAGCAAGACAATAAGAGCCTTCTTCAAGCACTCGATGGGCAACTCTAGAAGCCAATTCCAGGACAATACATCAAAATAGGCATCATACCAAGTTGATGTGCTATCCCCAATGCTGTTCTACATAGGCCTTTTTGCCATAGGACAAGAATGAATTCCACATTGACTCACTGATCCACCTAACTAGGATATAGAGCAAGGACATCAGAATGTCGTTCGGAGTAGAGAAGGGTGGGCGGATGATAGCAAAAAGAAGTTCCAGAAGGCCAAATAAAAGCTGTAGAGAAGAACTGGTCAACATGGATGTCAAGACCAGAAAACTACTCACTATAAATGGAGGATTCCACACGAAATCCAGCACCCAGAGACTGTACACCTTCCGGAAGGAATGAGGTCGTGGCTTGATGATTGTCAAAGACACAGCCCATAGATCATCCACAAGTACAGCATGAAGATGGCTCCCAAAGATGAACCTGCTAAGGGAATGCCTAAGACTTCATCAGATAGAAGATGCAGAAAAAGAGGAGGTTCCTTGGTAAGACAAACCTCTCCATGGGGTGTACCACCGGCAGATAGTGGATGTGGCTCACATGACAACATTTTACCAGTGGACTGAAACACAGCACTAAGGCACTAATCCTAGCAGCACAGGAACAGTCACTCAGCACCAGGTCAATAGACCCAAGGTACAGTCCAGCACCAACAACCAAGTTATTGAAACATCTGTACAGAATATGGATTGGACTTGCCTAAGTCCAGATGGGAGATACCACAAAGGGTAGTTGAGAATGACAGGGCTAAGATCATGTAGGACTTCAAGATACAGACAGACAAGCAAGTGCTAACCAACCCTAAATCATGGTTGTAGACAAGGAATGAAAGACTGCTGTCATGGTGGATGTGGCAATACCGAGTGACTATAACATCAGGAAGAAGGAACATAAGAAGGTGGAGAAATACCAAGGACTGAAAGAAGAACTAGAAAGGATGTGGAAAGTGAAGGCAGTAAGAGGTTCCAGTTGTGATAGGAACACTTGGGGCTTCAACAGATTCCAGGTTGGATATCTGAGATTGCTGTCCAGAAGAATGCAGTTCTAGGAACAGCTGCACAGAACCCTCAAAATCAGAACCCAGAACTGCACAGAACCCTCAAACTCCCAGGCCTTTGGTAGAGGACTCAAGAATGTGGAATAAACATACCACCCAGGAGGGGTGAGAAAATAAATATATACATATCAAATAGGTTGTGGTGGGGAAAAAAGTGTGGATGAAAACCCCATCCACCTGAAGTAAATGGATAGTTAATACATTGCTAAACTAAAATACACACATCAATCGAGCCATAAGACTTGCTTTTCCACAAAAATCTCACTTTAACAGTGCTCTCACTGCTGCAAGGGATTCTGGGTAGGTGTATACAAATGAGCTCAACATCCACTACACACATAGTCTGCAAGAGACAACAAACACACACATTGCATCCACTGCACACACTGCATCTACTACACACACACTCTGCATCTACTACATACACACTGCATCCACTACACACACACTGCATCCACTACACATACATATTATGCATCCACTACACACACTCTGCATCCACTACACACACACTGCATCCTCTACACATACATGCATACACTATACAAACACTCTGCATCCACGATATCTAATTTTCACACACACACTCTGCATCCACTACGCACACACTTCATCCACTACACACACACTTCATCCACTATACATATGCACACATGCATTCACCACACACACTGCATCCCCTGCACAGACACTGAATTCACTGCATACACTGCATAACATAATGGATATGATGGTTTTTGCCCTAGGGGGCAACATTTCATCCTTGGACCCAGGCAGCACAATGTCTTTAACCAGCCTGGGAATACTCATTTGCATTTCTAACACTGTAGTTTCCATTTAACTTCCAAATTATTTCCTCATTCTCAATCACAGTGAAGTGGACATCCCACTCGCTTGACCACTACATAGCTCAGTAAATGTGTGTTCAAATATGTTAAAGGGAAAGGATGGGGCAGTGAGGTTGTAGGGGCAGAGTCTAAATATATTTACATACAATAATCTATAATAAATGACATGCCAGTGCAGTAACGTGTCTTCAAAAGAGAGTTCTCTGTGACTGTACTATAATTTGTCCTAAAGTTTTTATCTATTTCTATACTCTGTGCTACATTTAAATTAGTGGGGGGTCTACTTGTCAGCTATACTGGAACTGCACATGTTTAGTTATTGTTTATTTAAACAACACAGCCTTTACTTCATTTTATTTCGAAAAAATATACATATTTCATAGTTACGTAGCTGAAAAGAGATTTGCGTCCATCAAGTTCAGCCTCACATATGATTTTGCTATTTATCCAAAAGATATGTACATGTTTCTCTTTAGTAACAGAAGCTGTAGTTGTAGCCTCTCAGGGTATGCATTAAATTCAAGAACTTCAAAGGGGGTATTTTTTAACATGTTATGTATTTTTTAAAATCAATTAAAGTGGATCTAGGGCTTAATTCCAGTGTCCCTAGAAATAACAGAGATTCAATATTCATATGTTCAATTTCACAAATGCTACTAGATTTAATGTTTAGTCTTTTATATTTATGTTTTAACCTTTCCCGTGAGATGTTCCCTTGAATTCATCTCAGGTCTCAACAATATAATCAAACATTTTGGAGCAAACATGCAAGTCATCATGGCCCAGCTTGAAGATAGGATGGCAAAAACTTCCATGGCCACCATGTACTTCCCAATGGAACTGAGAGATGCTGGGATGTAGGACACCCAGACACTAAGGAAGGCCAACATGCTGAAAGTGATAAACTTGGCTTCATTGAAGCTGTCAGGAAGTCTCCTAGCAAAGAAGGCAACAATGAAACTGATAGTGGCCAGGAGACTAAGGTATCCCAACATGCACCAGAAGGCAGTAGATGAACCCTCATTACATTCAGCAATGATAATTTCTGGATGGGTATGGATGTTGTCATTTGGGAAAGGAGGCGCAAATAATATCCATGTGATGCACAAAATTAATTGTAAAGAGGTGGATAAAGCAATAATCGTGTATGAAACCCAAGGTCTGGCCCATCTCCTTAAAATGCTACCAGGTTTTGTAGCCATGAATGCTAAAACCACCATGATTGTTTTGGCTAAAATACAAGATACACAAAGTGTGAAAACTGTGCCAAATGCAACTTGTCGTAATAGACATTTCTCAGGCAGAGGGTGACCTATAAAAGCTAATGAGCTGAGGAAGCAGAGGGACATTGACATAAGGAGAAGACAACTTAGAGAGAAGTTGTTTGCTCTGACAATTGGGGTGTTCTTATAACACATGAAAAGTCCAAAGATGAAAATTGGCAGCAAAGATGAGATAACCCCTGTAGCAGTTATTGCAGCACCCAAATGCTCTTCAAAGGAAAGAAACTCTCTGTTCTTTGGGAGACATCTGTCTTTCTGAGCATTGGGCCACTTATCCCATGGACACTTGAAGCAGTCAAGTGAGCCTGAAAGAAAATTTTAAAATGAAAAAAACTGAAATGTGTCTTGTTAATTCTTAAAAAATGCAAACAATATACCAAGTATACTCATATTGATTTATTTTTAACTTGCTATGTTTAATAATAATATTTATTTATAATATTTGAATACATTATTAATATCCATTTATCCTTGGGGCATGATTTATCACTTTTATATTATATTTAGAAGATAAGTAGTTCTGAATAATTAAAACTAGAAATACCAACATTTTTGTAAATAATGTTTCAATAAATACACTAACCTGTTTTATTGGAAATGTCACCCTGGGAACAAGGCACACATTGAAAGCAACAGATAGGCAAATCTTTCCTCAGCACCTTCCTAAATCCTGCTGGACAGCTCTGAGTACAGACAGAGACAGGAACCTGCAGGATAATGTTCAACAAACTATTATTTTATAATATGAGTATTGTTATGTCCCTGATGACTAATTCCTGGAAAACTCCAAAACAGAACATGACCATTTAACATCTAAAGGACATCTATCTGATCTTTCCAAATATGTTCCTAAAACTTTACGCTAACTTTGTTTTTTTTATTGTTTTTTGTCTGCTTGTTATTTTTTTGTTTTGTTATTTAAAAGCCAACATTGTCAATTCCTTGACATCTAGGAGGCCATCATAAACACTACCAAAAAGTAATTCAACAAAATAATGAGACATTTTTCATATTGTCAGGAATTAAAGGGACAATTCTCTACAGTTTATTGTAGAGGTTTTGATGCCTAGGTGCTGTCCAAGCACTCTGACAATTGCAAGCATTGCTTTTTGTGAAAAAAGGCAATGTTTACATTTGTCAGTCAGACACTAGTGGCTGTCAGTCAGACAATTAATTGATCAATCAATCAATCAATCAATCAATCTGATAGTCACTTGATATGTCTAAACTTTGAATTCTGCCAAGCTACTCTATTTTTGTCTGCACATTTTACAATGCTATGAACGATATTAGTGATGCATGAAAATATTTTTAGCATCTTACCTGCCCTTGGCCAGTTGCCCACATCACAGCACTTGCATTAAGAAGAAAGGGATTTCTATCTGCTGTTGTGGTATCGTAGCTGCCCACTTTCACGTGCTTCATGGAGCCATCTGCGCTCACTTGCCAGTTTACAATATCGTATACTGCGGGTGGGTCACCATTTTGATCAAAGAAGATTTCTCTTCCATAGCTTAGCTTCACTCGTGAATTTTGGATGTAGTAAGTCAGCTATTAACCAGAAAGGTTAATCTGTCATTCAGCAAATTCACACTTTTCTTTCAGTATAATTTTTATTAGTTTTCGTCATTGCCACAGGACTCAACAGTGGGTATTGCAAAGCATTGTAACAATACAAGTAACATCGAATACATGGGTGATGGTAGGTACAATATACATTTAGGTAAGATGCAGCTTTATACAAGGCTTTATATAAGTTGTTTGGCGATATTAGGCATCACATACATTCGGATATCATGAATAGTTATTCCTTTGTGTATAGTCCACTCTCTGTGTTTGTGGTACATCATACGTGTGCCTACGTTAGGCATCGTATTCCGTTTATAGTGTCAGTTGATGGGTATTGACATGCATTCTGTTGCAGTTCTATACATTGTGTTTATGTGTGTAGTGGAGTGGTATATAAGATCATCTTTGTGGATTTATAAGCTCTTTACTGATTGTTGTCATGTAGGGTTAACCAGGGAGACCATGTTGTGTGAAATATTGTGCCTTCTTAGTATCTGGGATGGTCATACGTTCATATATGTAGTATTGTTGTATTTTGTCCCATAATTGGGCTCTGGTTGGGCATGTTGTGGATTTTCATTGTAAAGCCAGTAAGTTGCGGGCTGCTAGAATGGTGATTGCACTCAGTTGTTTGTGTGATTTTTTTGAATTGTGAAGTTAACCGCATAAGTAGGTTGATCTCTGGGGTGTTCTTAACATCTGGGATGTACATCTCTCCATAGGGGTTGGATGTCAGGGCATGTCCACCATATATGTATATATGTGCCTTCTGCTGCCGAGCATCTCCAGCAGATGGGGGACGTGTTGGGGTATATCTTGTGAAGTTTACTTGGGGTTCAGTACCATCTATAGAGCAGTTTTCTGTGTGCTTCTATATGGGTGTAGCATTTTGTCCATCTAGATAGATCATTTAATGCATGTATCCATTCTTCATCTGTGATTTGGATGGCACAGTCCGCCTCCCACAATATTTTGCAGTGCGGTGTAGTTTTGTAACATAGGGAGATGCTTTTTTTGTTTCGTAGGGCCTTTCCAGCATCTTTCTATTATCGCCTTCGCTGGTGGGGAGGCTTGATTGGGATTAGAATGTTGGCTATGGGCATGTGTAGTGAAGAGTCCCTTCAATTCTAAATATGTGAAAATAGTGACGGCAGGTAATTCCCATTTCTGTTGTATGTCTGTGAAGGTCATCACCCCTTGGGGTTGTAATAATTGGTGAATATGCGTGATTTCCGACTTGTGACCATGTCTGGATACGCATATCTGGTGATATAGCTTTTAGTGCTGTTAATGGTGCGTTAGGGTGGAATGTGTCCATGGCCCCCAATTTGTCTAAAAACATTGTCCAAGTCTGGACAGTCAGTTTCATGGTTGGCAATAGATCTGGCTTATTCGGTCCGTGCTTTCTTGGTGTCCATAGGAAATCTAGTGCTTTAGTTTTGTCAAATTGGGCTCTTTCCATGTCCACCCATTGAATAGTTCCCTCTGTGGTGTGTAGTAGGATGCCTGACGACAGGGCTGAAGCCTTGTAATATAGGCTTATGTTGGGCAACCCCACTCCGCCTTGTTTTGTATGTTTGTAGAGTATAGTGCTTGATATGCGTGATTTTTGGTTCCCCCAAATAAATGTGTTACATATGTTTTGTAGGGATTTGATGAATATTTGTGGGGCCGGAATGGGAAGCATTCTGAATATATAGAGTATTTTTGGCAGTATCGTTATTTTGTATGCGTTGAGTTTCCCTAGCCAGGATATGTGAGTTTGCGACCATTTATGAATTTCTTTTTTGCATTGATGAGGGAGTGTGAGGTGATTTAGTATAAGTATTTCACCTATTGAGGGCGCAATGTTTACACTAAGATAAGTAAGTGATAATTGTTTCCAGTCAAAGGTTTTTTTTTCTTTCAGCCTAGATTTGATGGGTGAGGTGAGTGTAATGGGGAGAGCTTGGGTTTTATCCTGGTTTAGGCTGTAATGTGATATGTCTCCGAATGCTTTCAGGGTTTCCATAAGAGGTATTACTGACATCTGGGGGTTTCCTAACATTACTAAAATATCGTCGGCGAATAGCGCCAGTTTCTAGTCACGTCCTGAAAGTTTGATGTCTTGTATCTTTGGGTCATCACGTATTTTCCGGGCCAATGGTTCAAGGGATGGAATGTAGAGGAGAGGGGAAAGAGGGCATCACTGGTGTGTTCCGTTTGAAATTGTGAAGGTGTCAGATAGGAAACCGCCGTGGGCCACTTTGGCTGCTGGCGTTGTATATAGTGCCATAATTCCTCTGATGAATTCTGTAGGGAATCCATATTTGTGGAGCACCTGTTGCATGTATGTCCAGTTGAGTCTGTTGTATGCCTTCTCCACATCTAGTGCTAGGAGGAGCCCCTAACTGACCCCTCTCCATTGTGGCCAGTATACTGAGCACTTTTCGGGTGTTGTCTGAGCCCTGGGCTCCCCTGACAAACCCCGATTGGTCGTTGTGGACCAACCTTTCTATTATAGACGCTAGACGGTTGCTTATGATTTTTGCGTAAATGTTTGCGTTGCTATTTAAAATAGAAGATATTGTTCTAACATTTTTGCAGGTTCTAGGGGGCTTGCCGGGTTTAGGTAAGGTTGAGATGTGTGCTAAGAGTAGTTCTGTTGGTAAGGTTCCCTTTTCGTTGCTGTTTTGATATAGGTTCAGAAGGTGGGGGGTTAGGACCCGGGAGAATTCTTTATAATATCTGTTTGGGAGACCATCTGGTCCTGGGGCCTTATTCAATGGTAGTTCTGCTATTGCGTTGGACACTTCGTCAGAGGATATCGGTTGTTTGAGTTGGCGTATGGTATTTTGTGTCAGGGTAGGTAAGTTTATGTCTGTTAAGAAGGTGTCAATTTCTGTGAGTTCTCTATGTTCCTTTAGATTATACAATTTGTGATAGTAGTCTGAGAATTTGTTTACGATTTTCTTCGGATCAATACTTTTTGTACCTTTACTGCTGTTTAGGAAGGCAATCCTGGAGGCGGTTGATTTTTGCTTGAGCTGTGAAGCCAACTTTGCTCCCGCTCTGTAAGTAAAATATTTATGTTTGTTTTTTGTAACAAACATGTGGTTTTAGCCAGTTCCAAATCTCTTAGTTTAGATTGAGCTTTTAGAAGGCTGCTTGTTTAGTAGGTGTTGGTGATTGTTTATTTTTATGTGTTAGCGAGGTTATTTCCTCCATTATTTCTAAGTATTGCGGTTGGCATATTTTTTGGCCTGGCTGGCATGTTTTATGAAGCTGCCCTTCATCACAGCCTTATGGGCTAGCCATACATAATCTGGTGATGTGCCAGGTTATACGTTTTCTGCGAAATTATTTTGGAGGTCCGCGGTAATGTGACATTATTACTGGTTCATTGAGCAGGGATTCATTAAGTCTCCAGGCCGACTGACCATTGGAGGGGAATTGTTCGGTCAAAGTCAGTGTAGTGGGGGCATGATCCGACCAGGAAATAATGCCAATATCTGCGTTTATTAGTCTCTCTAGTGATGCGGCTTTAATAAAAAATCTATCTATTCTAGAGTAACTATTGTGTGCAGCAGTATAGCAGGTGTAGTCTATATCTGCTGGATGTGATATTCTCCATGGGTCCACAAAGTTGTGTGCCGTTAGTGTTTGACAAATTTGAGATGTTTGTTTATGGCGTTGTTTTAAATTTGTAGTGGTTACCGTTTTCGAGGTGGATGAATCCGTATTTATGTCCAGTAGAAAGTTAGTATCGCCTCCAAGAATTACCTCCCCAAAGCTGTACCTTGACAAGAGAGAGAATACATTATCCATGAATACAGATTTGTTTTCATTAGGGCTATCCAGATTTATTAGTGTATATGGCTGGTTATTTAGACGACATTGGACTATAAGATATCTGCCCTTTTTGTCTCCAATCGTACAGATTAATTAAAAAACAACATTCTTATTTATTAGTATTGATACACCTCTCTTTTTCTTATGGTAGCAAGTGTGGTAATCGACTGGGAACCAAGAAGAGTTAAACCTGGGTTTGGATCCCCACTTGAAGTGGGTTTCCTGAAAGAATTCCACATGCGCTCCTTGACTTTTAGCCTCTTGGAGGGCAAGTCTGCGCTTCGTGGTTGAGTTCAGACCTTTAGTATTTAGTGAAAAGAATTTTAGTTGCATGGTGTCTTTTTCTTTGTCGGTGGCGTTTGTGTAGTTATCTATGACCTTGTCAAATGAGGAAGTAGCTTAAGTGTTATGTACTGTTACCTAGACTGGGGGGTTGGTTAGGGTGGGTTTGGTATGGGGGTAGGGGGAGGAGTAAAAACTATATACACTTGCCCGTTAGCCCCTAGGGCCTGATGCAAAGGTAAGCAGATGGGTGTCGTAAGGCTTACGTGATAAGCCGTATGTGGGGGTTAGTAGTGGCTACGTGTCACAAATGACTAGTATTAGTCACCAAAAGAAAAGGTAATTATGATTTTAACAATAAAGTTTTAACAATATTGACAACTCGCCAAGTGTGGACCTAGAGTTGCTGGCTACTTATGCGGTATCTATACACTTTTTGAACATAGTTCAACTAGTGAAACAAACAAACAAACATCGTGAAAAAGTATTATGTTATTTGTCTCGGTGCGTAGCGGGATGAAGTTTAAGGACGGTGTTTCCCTTGGTCTCGTTGGGTAGTTGTGATCCACAGAACTTGTGGCCAGTCCCTTGGCATTTTGCGTGGTGGCAGTATGTCAGATCTTGGTCTCTCGCTTTGTGGGACAGGAATATTCCATTCCTCCAGCAACTTTATGCCGTCTTCGGGAGTGAGAATTGATCGGTCCATTCCATTCCTCTTGATGAGCAGCTTGGTAGGGAATCCCCACTTGTACACAATGTTGGCATTTCTAAAGGCTGCAGTGATGGGCGCAAATGATTGCCTCTTGGTCATGGTGGCTGCTGAGAGAACGATGAACAATTTTATATCTGCATATTCTTCTGGAAGGGTTGTATTGACTCTTGATGTCTGCATTATTCGGTCCTTGACTGTGAAATAGTGGACTCTGGTTATGACATCCCTGGGAGTAGTAGTGGGCAGATGCCATGGTTTTGGTAGTCTGTGGGTTCTGTCTAGGCGGAGGTCTGCCTCTGTCAGCATTGGTATTAGAGACTTAAACAGTGTTTGTACAAATTGGGTGAGGTCTTGTGGACCTATATATTCAGGTATACCCCGAATTCTAATATTATTTCTTCTGTCTCTATCTTCATTGTCTGCAATTTCCCCTCTAGGTCTCTAATCTTGTTTTCCAGTGCTGTATGGGCCTGATCATTTTGTGCTTCCAGTAGTCCCTCCGTTTTTTCTTCTAGGTGGGCCGTCCTATCACCTAGTGCTTGGATGTCAGTTCTAATGTCTGACGCTATCCGTTGGAAATCTGAGCACAGGGCTGATTTTAACTTGTCACTGAGGCGTCCATGGTAGGGATCGAGGCTGTGGTATTATAACAGCTCTGATTGTCTCTTGCTTCGGATTCAGATGCAGGTGAACCGGGTGTTCCGGCGCCATCTTGGTCCCGCGAGTGCTCTGCTTGTTGAGAGCTTAGATGTAAGTCAATCATTTTTTGTTTAAGTGTTTTGTTCGATTTTGTTGTCATCGTTGTTGAGATATAATTGGTGGCCTGTTGAGCTGTTTGTAGTGGCAGATTTATTGTGAGTTACGCTGTTGGGCCCATAGTTTCGGCGGAACTCTTGTCTTATGCAACTGCTTCCATGCAGTGCGTAGCCACACCCCCCCAAATTCACACTTTTAAAAAAAAAAGACTGTGTTGCTTGCATGGTGCATAGATAAATGTAATTTGTGTAAAAAAATAAAAGTTTAATAGACAATGTTCAATGTGTATGGGGATACAGCTGTAAATCTGCAGAAGAAAAATCTGCAGAAGAAAAATCTGCAGAAGAAATATAGTGAAATATAGTTTTGAAAAAAATCATAATTTGCTGTTTTAAAAGCACTCACAAGAGGGAATGTTGATAAAGGTGCCTCATCTAGAATCCTTGGGGGGGAAGGGGGAGGCTATCCAATGTCAATGTCATATGCGTGCCAGATTGTCACCTTCATAGCAGCAACAATTGTGTCAGGATAGGTATCAAATAATTAAATGTATTATAAATTTAAAAAAATATAAAAAACAAATATTAAAGTGCAACGGTCCTATTAAAGTGTTAATAGGGAATAAAGAATAATCCTGGTAAGTAAACCTTATGAATTTGATTTGGAAAAACACTTTCTAAAGGTTATCTGGCATATTTTTATAACTTCTGAGATATATATGTTTCTAATCCACAAGAGGGTAGCAGAGCATCACAATATATTGACAAATATAGTGTAGGAAATGTTTATAGCAAGCATTGTTTTCAGAGCTATACAAATGTCAATGTGTTTCTGGTCTGCTAGATGGCAGTGACTTAGCGTGCTTCGATAGCAGAAATTTGAGAAAGTAATCCTTCTAATAAATGCGCTCATTTAAAGGTCTTTACCAACACTTAATTATTATTTAATCTTCACACATTACATAAAAGAAAACCACTGTGAGAAAATAAAATACTCAAGCTATTTTAAATAACCATCAGTGTACTATACCACACTGGTCTGAAGGTCCAATGGATAAAACACAGGGATATTTAAAAGGACTTGTTGAATATTCTCCACAGTCCGTCAGTGTCAAGGCATCAGCGAACGTACTTCAACCAATCACATGGAACCGCAAGTCTCTCCTTCCCTCTGCCTCTTCTTATGGCATTTCAGATGCCAAACGCTTCCTCTCTGTCTTATGACGAAGTCTACGTCATCGCTCTCCTCAACGCCTCCCTATGTTTTTTGTGTGTGGCTATGTCAAATCATTTTAATAAGGTGCCATGACAAGTGTTAGTTGCCCTCTTGTGCAATTAATTATCATGTACTATTATTCCTTGATCCATTTAGTGCATGTAGTTTATTGTGTTTTTGACCCAGCTATTCTTTTGACCATTCTGACCTCTGAGTAACTTGACCCTTCTTAGTTATCTCGTTGTCCTGCTTTCTGGAATCCCTTGACCGTGGTGAGTTATTCTGTGACCTAAGGACCAGTTCCATGACAGACAGTATTCCATGAGCTGATTTCACTGAAATTGTCTGTTACATTGTTACATAGTCACATAGTTACATCGTAGCCTAGGTTTAAAAAAAAAGACCAAAGTCCATCAAGTATTACCTTGATACCCATTCTTTTGTGCTGTTGATCCAAAAGAAAGCAAAAAAAAAACCACTTGTAGCCATTTAACCCCTTTAGACCAGAGGACGTACAATTACGCCCTATTTTAGGCGGCTCTAAACACCGCCGGGCGTAATTGTACGCCCTCCGGTTTTTGTTCACTTACCTGGTCGCCGGCGGTCCCACGCTGGCGATCGCGGTGGGGGGGACTCCCAGGGAGCCCCCCCGCGGCAAATCCTTCTCCTCCGGTGACCCCTGGCCATGTGAGAGTGGGGTCCTAGCGAGGACCCCACAATCAAATGGCCGGGGATAGCTGGCTTCTGTATTGCCAGCAGGGGGGCTGCCTGTAATGACAGGTGGTCCCCCTGCTGGCTGAAAATAAAATTAAAATTAAATGTATTAGAGTAAAAAAAAAATATATACTTAGATCATATATATATATTATATATATATATATGATCTAAGTATATATATACACAAATACATACACACACATACACTGTCTAGGTGTATTTTACTATTAATATATATATATAATTATATATATATATATATATATATATATATATATATATTAATGTCAAATTACACGTAGACTGATACTGGTTAAATATATATAATTATTGTTATATATATATTTATATATAATATATAAAAATTAAATATGTAAATACGTTAAAAAATAAAATTAAAAAAATAATTTAAAAAAATTAATTTAAAAATATATAGATGTGTGTTATTTCATTCTAACTGTATTGTGATATTAATATATATATATTTATATCAAAATACACATAGAACGAAATAATATATATATCTACATACATAAATATATACATATATATCACTATATATATACCTATATATAAATAAAAATATTTAAAAAAAATTATATAGATATACACATATAGATTCACATACGTATATATATATATATACATATATTAATTCTACATATATATTTATGTAATATTTTTACATAATTAGGTATCTTAATTAATTACAATTAGCGGGACCTTCATGACAACCCATGCCGAAAGTAAAGGGAATTTCATTGGCTAGCACTATATTTAACCCTATAACTTTCCAAGACACCATAAAACCTGTACATGGGGGGTACTGTTCTACTCGGGAGACTTCGCTGAACACAAATATTAGTGTTTCAAAACAGTAAAATGTATTACAATGATGATATAGCCAGTAAAAGTGACATTTTTGCATTTTTCATGCACAAACAGCACTTACACGGACGATATTATTGTTGTGATACTTTACTATTTTGGCTACAAATATTTGTTCAGCAATTTCTTACTTTTTCGTTGCTGATTTTTAATGTTACAGCGTCCAAATATAAGGCTTGCTTTCATTTTTTCACATTAAAATTTGCCAGATTGGTACGGTGCCTTGAGACCTATGGTAGCCGAGAATGAAAATTACTATGATGGCATACCATTTGCAATAGTAGACAACCCAAAGGTATTGCAACGGGGTATGTCCAGTCTTTTTTAGTAGCCACTTAGTCACAAACACTGGCCAAAATTGGCGTTTTTTGCATTTTTCACACAAACAAATACTAACGCTAACTTTGGCCAGTGTTTGTGACCAAATGGCTACTAAAAAAGACTGGACATACCCCATTTGCAATACCTTGGGTTGTCTACTATTGCAAATGGTATGCCATTATGGGTGTAAATTTCATTCCTGGCTACTATAAAGTCCCAAAGGCAACGTAACCAATCTGGCGAATTTCAATTTCAAATGTAACATGCTATATTTGACCCTCTAACTTCCCAAAACGCCATAAAACCTGTACATAGGGGGTACTGTCTTACACGTGAGACATCGCTGAATACAAATATGTGTATTTTATTGCAGTAAAAGCAAACAGTATTATGACATTGACCGTTAAAATGTCATGTAGAACTAAAAAAATAAAAAATAAATCGTATTTTCTCCCATTTTTTTCATATTAAATTATGTTCCATAGCTAAATATTTGATATTAAATGAAAGCCCTGTTTCCCCTGAATAAAATGATATATAATAAGGGTGGGTGCATTTACTATGAAAGAGGTGAATTACGGTTGGACAGACATGTAGCGCAAATGCCAGGTTTTGTTTACATTTTGTTTCGTTCACAACGTGTACATTTGGCTCCGTCCTTAAGGGGTTAAAATGATGCCACAAAATGGGGGGGGAAAGCCTTATTGATTCCATAATGGAAATCAGATTTATCCTTGGATCAACGACCTGTTCACATGCATATAATTTATGTCCTTGAATAGTCTTTTTTGCAAAAAAAAAGCATCCAAGCCTTTTTTTCTTAAATCTGATTATCTGTTAATACAACTTTAGGCAGCGAATTCAACATATTTTTATTGTTCTTATTGTAAAGAACCCTTTCCTCTGCTGTAAGCGAGACCGCCTCTCTAGTCTTCATGGGTGACCTTTAGTCTGTTGTATATTCCTGCTAGTGAACAGAGTAGCAAATAGCGGTTTGTACTGACCCTGAATATATTTGTATAGTTGTTATATCCACTCTGAGGGGCCTTTTTTTCTAAAGAAAATCAATGCAGTTGTTCGGGCCTTTCTTCATGACTAATATGTCAGAACATTTGTGTAAAGATGCATTTATGAATTTGTTTGATCATATATGAATACGTATATATCAAGATGGTTGGCGTTATTTCATTTCCAGTCAACCTAATTGGGAATTAAACTGTTAAGTATTTTGGGAATCTGCTTTCAATTACTTTTCTCAGGGTCAAAGTTGTACTTGACCATAGTATAACAAAACTGCAGCAATGCAATAGATTTGTTATTTTATCCTGAAAATTTGAGTTTCTGTAGGACTATTTAAACCAAAAACAGTGGATAATTGTCTAGTCTATAAACAAGCTGAAATGTTCCAATGATGTCTATTCTTTCTACTCTAAGACACTAAATATGTAGAACAAGGTACCTTGTGTGGACATAAAGTTTGTAAACAAAGACACCTAAATTGACTCAGGATCAGACCTGAAACTTTTGAACTCTTGGGAAGTTAAATGTTAACAAATTAACATTCATGGAAATATCTAAATATAAGTAATTGAGGATCATCTTAATTTCTATAGGATACCAATTAATACAACATTATTATTATTATTATTATTATTATTATTATTATTATCAGTCTGGAAACCTTATACAGAATATTATGAAACCAGAACATCCACCACTGTAGTTTTCCTTTAGTGATGAAAACTACTAATGTCAGCTGATATACAATGTTGCTCCATAAATAGATTTGTATGTGCATGTAACTGTGTGTGTGTATATATTTATGTACATATACATTCACAAGTCTAAGGTATGTGTATAAATATAAGGTATTAACAATGTGCCAAGGCAGCAATAGTCATAATACATTAACCTCCACTTGACATGTGATAAGGTAACAGAACCTCTTCCTACCAGAGGTAATCAGGTATAAATTTTTGCTTGTAGAGCTGAATTAGTTAAACCCCACCAGTGCTGTTACAGGGGGATAATGACTTATCAACAAGTGAAATTCTTGATTTGGTATTATATTACTGATAAATTATACTGGCTCTTGAAAAGGAAAACCCCAAAATATGCCACCTGTTCATAAAATGGTTGGCATATGTTACCACCATATCTGCCAAAGGTAGATGAGCAGGTTATGTGAATACAGTACTACCAGAAGGCAGGCATCCCTGACCAATCAAAATCAATACTCCCATTAGTAAACATATTTTGAGTGGCTAATGGGAAAATGGAGGGGGTTTTGAAGGAAATAAAAAGAAGTAGGGAGAATCTAAGAAGGAAGATTTGTAAGTGAAAGGTCTGGAGAGCTGAGGAGCAAGAGCTGGATAGTTGAGAGTTGACACCTAGGCATGCCTAAATATGCAGACATCTTCCATTCCGTCCACTTTGAGAAAACCACATTAAAGGATCATTAATCTTTGGTAATGTATAATATGACTAACTGGTATAACATTTTTGCCTTTGCTGATATTTTTTGTGTTATGTTGGATGGTTAACCTCTTAACATCGTTAGGGTGTACCATGCCTCCCTGAAAAAAGTGCAACATCAAAAATAGTTTAGTAATTGCATCATCATTATTTTTCACATTGTTTCTTTAGCGTCACCACAGTAACGGGATGCGTTCACTAAGATATTTTTGACATTGCACGCATCACGTCATCACGTGCACGTCCTCCCCGCATGCGCAGTCACTCTCATTGCACTACACGGCGCCAGGGCACAGACTGAGGTAAGAAAAACACCAGCATTGGGTAAGTTATTACATGTCAAACTTGATGCCTTATAAATTCACTGTACTTGTGTTTACACGTCTTGATAAAGACCTGCAGAGTGAAATGTTGATTTCTATCACTTGCTAAAATATAATGTAATATTTTTTTGAAAATCCATTGACTGTTCTCATCTCTTCATTGTTTTTATATATAACCCTAATGCTGTGCAACACCTTGATTATTTGGATCCAGACAATTTGAAGGTAGAGTGCCAGATCTCTCAATTTAGTTTTTTATAATATATATATATACATATATATCTTGCCATAGCAACAAAAAATTACATACATAAATAAATAAATACATAAAAATGTTGATACACAGATCAGCCACAACATTAAAGCCACTGACAGGTGAGGTGAATAACTTTCATTATATCATTACAATGGCGACTGCCAAGGAGTGGGATATATTAGATGGCAAGTGAACAGTCAATTCTTGAATTGTATGTATTGGGCGCAGAAAAAATAGACATTCAAAAGGATCTGAGTGGCTTGGACACGGGTCAAATAGTAATGGCTAAACCACTGGGTCAATGCATCTCCAATATGGCAAGTCTTGAGGACTTCATGCAGTGGTTAGTACTTAACAAAAATGGTCAAGGAAGGACAACCTGTGAGATAAAACCATGAGACAATTTTTGTGAAATCATCTCATGTAATACCGTCTTTTACACACACGGTCTTTTACACACCATTGCTTTTCAACACTACTGGTTATTTCAAACAGTTTTTATATTTATTTTTCTCACCTTGTTTTTCTTTCATGTAATGTTTGAAGATGGAATAAAGATTAATCATTGTATAAGACTTTTAAATGAGAAGTTTTATTTAGATTCCTTCATTAATATATCACAGAAACATAGAAACATAGAATGTGACAGCAGATAAAAACCATTCAGCCCATCTAGTCTGCCCAATTTTGTAAAAACTTTCATTAGTCCCTACCCTTATCTTATAGTTAGGATAGCCTTATGCCTATCCCACGCATGCTTAAACTCCTTTACTGTGTTAACCTCTACCACTTCAGCTGGAAGGCTATTCCATGCATCCACTACCCTCTCAGTAAAGTAATACTTCCTGATATTATTTTTAAACCTTTGTCCCTCTAATTTAAGATTATGTCCTCTTGTTGTGGTAGTTTTTCTTCTTTTAAATATAGTCTCCTCCTTTACTTTGTTGATTCCCTTTTTGTATTTAAATGTTTCTATCATATCCCCCCTGTCTCGTCTTTCCTCCAAGCTATATATGTTAAGATCCTTTAACCTTTCCTGGTAAGTTTTATCCTGCAATCCATGAACCAGTTTAGTAGCACTTCTCAGAACTCTCTCTAAAGTATCAATATCCTTCTGAAGATATGGTCTCCAGTACTGCGTACAATACTCCAAGTGAGGTCTCACCAGTGTTCTATACAATGGCATGAGCAATTCCCTCTTTCTACTGCTAATACCTCTCCCGATACAACCAAGCATTCTGCTAGCATTTCCTGCTGCTCTATTACATTGACTGCCAACCTTTAATTAATCAGAAATAATCACCCCTAAATCCCTTTCCTCAGATGTTGAGGTTTGGACTCTATCAAATATTCTGTACTCTGCCCTTTGGTTTTTACGTCCAATATGCATTATCTTGCACTTATCCACATTAAATGTCAGTTGCCACAACTCTGACCATTTTTCTAGTTTGCCTAAATCATTTGTCATTTGGCTTATCCCTCCTGGAACATCAACCCTGTTACATATCTTAGTATCATCAGCAAAAAGACATGCCTTACCATCAAGACCTTCTGCAATATCACTAATAAAAATATTAAAGAGAATGAGTCCAAGTACAGATCTCTGAGGTACTCCACTGGTGACAAGTCCAAGCTTTGAATATACTCCATTGACTACTGTTGCCTGTCACCCAGCCATTGCCTTACCCATTCAACAATATTGGAATCCAAACTTAAAGATTGCAGTTTATTGATAAGCCTTCTATGTGCAACAGTGTCAAAAGCCTTACTGAAATTTAGGTAAGCAATGTCTACTGCACCACCCTGATCTATAATTTTAGTTACCCAATCAAAAAAATCAATATGATTTGTTTGGCATGATCTCCCTGAAATAAACACATGTCCAATGGAAGCATGTTACTCCACTGCCTTCTAAAGGAATAGATTGTGTACAGTTTAGAAAACAATACTTGCCATAAAGATTTTCTTCACTATATATGCCAGTATATTAAGATGCTGTGCTGATTCCAAGACAAGTCTTTTGTCTGTCAGTACATTGTTTACCTAATTTCCCTTAGCCCACTATGTATCTTAGACATTGCCATTGGCTTTCACCACACATGTCCGCTAGTTACACACCATTTAGTCTTATCTTTTTTCATGTCACATTCCCTTAATAACTATATGGCCCATATATCACCTGTACCTAATGATGTAACCTTCAATATGTGCTGGACCTTAATCTCCTATTCTATGTAATACACCCTATTTCTCTTGTTTTTCATGTGTTGCCTTCTGCCCAGCACTGTGTACATTCCCACAAGCACTCATCTGTCTCTTGTGCTGTCTCCTGCTTATCCATTGCACCATGTTCCTTTCACTTGTGGTGTGTCTCCTGTGAGTACACCAGTCGATGGTTCTGTGTTACTTTCCATTTTGTGTCCAGTTGTCCAATGTTTTACCAAAAGAAGGAGCTGGACAAAAATGTAATATGAAGAGATAGATAAAACATGGTGGGAGCACTCTGAAGAATGTTGGAAGTGGAGGAAGATGGACCATGGAAAGATCCCTGACTATTGTCATTTAGTATCTGCAAGGGACTTACCATTCATCAGCATACATCTAATAAACATAGCAGGTTTGAGACTTTCACATACATGGAATTTAAAAAACATTTTCCCTTATTAGTTCTAACTGTCCAACACAAATCCTTACCTGCCATGGCTTAATAGTCTGAAGATCAGCACAACTCCCATTTGTAAATGGTCCTTTACCCTTTTGACAGGTTTGCATATTATATAAAGATTTGGCGATGACAAAGATTGCATTGTAAAGGTTGTAGGCAATACTAGAGCTGGATAAATCATAGTAGATGTCCAGAATACTCTCCATACTCTCATTTCCTGTACAAAATGTGGAATTACCCAATGAACCTGTAAGGCTTGTCTGGTCTATAAATTTACACCTGAAAGCCATTTCCCAGAAAATTCTAGTCCATGGATCTTCCCTATTTTTGTTGTGATGAATAGTATTCAAGAACTCTCCAAATCCTGGAATTATTGTGCTATGGAAAGACAGGCCAATTGAGCCAGAAAGTAGTGAAGAATATTTATCCACCGTTAGCAAGTTTGAGATTGACCAAGCTTCACTGGCCACAAAAACTTTACCCGTTAAATTTTGCCTCAGCATCTCATCCAATAGTGAAACTTTATCAGTATCTTTCATAAAAGAAATGATAACCTTGGCAGTGGATTCTTTGATTTTTTTTGTCACATGGTAAATGTGCTTCAAATTGTTAGTAGTTATATATTCTGAAAATGCCACACAAGCTCCTCCCCTGAGGAGCTCCTGCATAGTGACGTGGATGCCCTGACGTCCGTAGTCATCATCTACAGCCAATAAACCAATCCAGGTCCAGCCAAAGTGTAACACTAGCTGTGCCAGCCCCTTGGATTGGAACAAATCACTTGGGACAGTTCTGAAGAATGAGGGGAACTGTGTTTTGTCACTCAAGATAGAGCTGGTTGAATAGTGACTAATCTAAGGTGACAAACAACATAATAAGTACAAAGTGTACCATTTACTGAGATTATAAATACTTTTTATATCTTTTTAATGGGATATTTAAGATTATATGTAATATGTAAATATTTTGTGACTGTGGAATGTGCTACAATGATTGTATACCGATATAAATATGGACTATACAGCATTAACATCACAGCATTGCTCCTAATTCTTCTCATTTTCGTCTTTGTAATATAAACAAAACAGATCAATGTAGTTCAGTACCACAAACTGATATCATTATGCTTCTCACCTGAGGGTATCTGTATAATCCCAATACATGAGCATTGAGTATAGAGAAGGTAGATGTTGAATGTCCAATGACTGCAGAAACAGGAGGAACTTTTTTGCAATTGAAATTGGGGACTGATTGCCTTTGGCCTGTTATCATTTTGAGGCTCCCATCCAGTTCTTCTTGTGCTCCCACACATGAGTCATAGACTTGGAAGCCCAATGTTTTGTTTGGGAGCAAAGATGGGTTTCTGTTAATCAAGTCTACTGCATATATTGTGATATGGAACTGCAGAAACTTCTTATACCTAAAACTAAATTTGAAATTAATGAAAATAAACTTTACTTCTCCGTTCTGAAAATGAACAAGAGTGTACTAACACAAATAACACAACAAGGTTTGGCATTGAGAATCGGAAGGTGGCTAATTCTGTATAAATGGAATTAATGTTAGATGAAGAGTGGAGATATATGAAAACAAGTTAAATGCAGACTTATAAGGAGAAGACATTTCTATAATAAAAAATGTGAAAGTAAGTGAAAATTCAATTTTATAGCATGACAGGAGGCTTGTAAAAGATAGAGATAGAGGAGTGCAAATACAAATGTATATGGTATACTTAGAGACACTGGTCAGTCCTTCAGATGTAACCTATATACAAAAAGATCCAAACATAGTATAATACTGTTTTTCCAAATAATATAGTAAATAAATGTGGATTTTTCACTCACACTTTGCAGAGCCACGTATAGTAGGCTCTGACTATAGTTGCTCTTTGGTAATTCCCTGGTGTATTAAACTCCACCACGCCTTCAGGATTCTCCACTTGGATCAGGATACAGGAGATATAAAAATTCCAAAACAGAGTGGGGATACTTTTCGAAATTTAATAATATTCAGGGACATATATAAAGTGCATAAGACAAAATAGCAGCACTATATGTGCAAAGACATCTATAAAGTGCATAAAAAGAATAACACTAACGCGTTTCGACTAAAATAAAGTCTTTTTCAAAGTGCATAAAGTAATGGTCGCCATGTTGGGTATTTATATCCTTACTGGTGTTCTAATTTGGCGCCCAAACATCTCCGTCGTGGTGTCCTCCTCCTACTTCCTGGTTCCGGCGGGCGGCTTCCACGTTCCCGCCCTTTTTCACGTCACGTTGCGTCTGACGTCAGACGTTTTTCGCCGGACCGGAAGTACTTCATATTGAGTTCATGAAGCTATTGCAGCCATATTTGAACGTTCTTAAATCATATAGTCTGAATAAAGAGGTTCTGACACTAATCTTTCTTCAAATTTATGTGTCTCTTATCCTAAAACTTATTTCATTATAATCATACATTTGAATATCCAAAACATAATTACATATATCAAAATCTAATTAATAACATATTATATAAAATACAAGAGGAGATAAAAAAACGGAGAGAGAGAGAAATTTAGGGGGAAAGAGATATTATTAATCAAAAAGATATAAAAAACAATATAGTTGGAAAGTATATATTGTTAAAAAAGTGTGTATATTAATAACCTTAAATAAAATATTTAAATAAGTACACTCATCTCAAAATCCATATTGAGACCTTTGGGTGATAGTGTATCCAAATTAAAAATCCAGCCCATTTCACATTTACTTAGGTTAGAATTAATGTCACCCCCTCTCCAATGCTTAGTCACAGCTTGAATTCCATAAAACTTGATTCCACTTGGGTCTTGATTATGATGTTCTAAAAAATGTAAAGAAACACTATGTGTTTTGAATCCTTTTTTAATGTTGTATATGTGTTCCCGCACCCTCGTGGCCACACACCTGGACGTCTTGCCCACATATTGCAGGCCACAAGGGCATTCTAGCACATACACAACATTTTTAGTTTTACAGGAAATAAAGTTTTCTATCTTATGTTCTTTTAGGTTAACATTGGAGTGGAAGGACAGTATCTTCCTTTCTTTTATTTTAGATGTTCTACATCCCATACAGCTACCACAGAAATTAAATCCTTTTAATAAAGCTTTCTGACTATTTAAAAAATTATTGTCAGTTTTTTCAATAAAACTCGAAGTTAAAATCTGTTTGAGATTTTGTGCCCCCCTATATATAATTTTTGGTTTCTCCCCTATATAGGGTGCAATGTCATCATCCTGTTTAAGTAAATGCCAATTTTTGTTGAGAATACGTTTTAGTTTAGAATGATTTTTATTAAAATTAAATATTAGTGGGATCGTATCTTCATGTTTGTTATCTTTCTTTTGTTGGTAATTTAACAGTTCTTCTCTTTTTAATTTTCCAATTTCTTGAATAGTACTTTCAAGGTTTTCATTTTTATAGCCTTTTTCTAAAAATTGTCCTTTCAATGTAGAGGCCTGCAGGTTATATTTTTCTATTTCCGAGCAGTTCCTTCTCAGTCTAAGGAACTGACCTCTCGGAATATTGTCCAACCAAGGTGGAAAGTGACAGCTCCCCTTTTCAATAAAGCTGTTCACATCCACCTGTTTAAAAAAGGTGCAGGTTTCAATTTTATCTTTCTTTATATAAATATTCAGGTCTAGAAAATCAATCGTTTGGTTATTTATTACATGAGTTAGTTTAATATTCCACTGATTGATATTAAGATAATTTAAAAAATCTAAAACCAATGATTCATCACCTTTCCACCTTTCCAAATAAAAAAGATATCATCAATGTATCTTCTATAGAGGACCAGGTTCGCAACCCAGTCATGCTGGGAAAAAACAAACTGTTCCTCCCAGAAGGCCATAAAAAGATTAGCATAACTGGGGGCGAACCTGGTCCCCATAGCCGTTCCTCTACACTGCAGATAAAAATCCCCCTCAAACCAAAAAAAATTGTTGTTTAAAATCAATTGAATAGACTCTAATATAAAATCAATTTGCTCCTCCGAATACATTTTTGAATTTTGGAGGAAGGATCTTGTTGCTTCGCAGCCTTTATCATGTTGAATACACGTATAGAGGCTGGCCACATCACACGTGACAAGCAAGAAATCCTTTTCCCACTTAACATCTTTTAAAATCTGTAGTAGACTCATAGAGTCTTTAAGAAAGGAGGGACATGTCTTAACTATCGGTTGTAAAAAGGTGTCAACATATTTGGATAGGGGTGATAATAATGATCCTATCCCTGAGACTATAGGTCTCCCGGGTGGATTCTGTATATCTTTATGTAACTTTAGCAAAACATATATAACGGGTATTCTTGGGCATTCTGTATTTAGAAATTTATATTCCTTTAGCGTTAAGATGCCCTTTTGTAGACCCCTATCTAAGAACCAAACGATTGATTTTCTAGACCTGAATATTTATATAAAGAAAGATAAAATTGAAACCTGCACCTTTTTTAAACAGGTGGATGTGAACAGCTTTATTGAAAAGGGGAGCTGTCACTTTCCACCTTGGTTGGACAATATTCCAAGAGGTCAGTTCCTTAGACTGAGAAGGAACTGCTCGGAAATAGAAAAATATAACCTGCAGGCCTCTACATTGAAAGGACAATTTTTAGAAAAAGGCTATAAAAATGAAAACCTTGAAAGTACTATTCAAGAAATTGGAAAATTAAAAAGAGAAGAACTGTTAAATTACCAACAAAAGAAAGATAACAAACATGAAGATACGATCCCACTAATATTTAATTTTAATAAAAATCATTCTGAATTAAAACGTATTCTCAACAAAAATTGGCATTTACTTAAACAGGATGATGACATTGCACCCTATATAGGGGAGAAACCAAAAATTATATATAGGGGGGCACAAAATCTCAAACAGATTTTAACTTCGAGTTTTATTGAAAAAACTGACAATAATTTTTTAAATAGTCAGAAAGCTTTATTAAAAGGATTTAATTTCTGTGGTAGCTGTATGGGATGTAGAACATCTAAAATAAAAGAAAGGAAGATACTGTCCTTCCACTCCAATGTTAACCTAAAAGAACATAAGATAGAAAACTTTATTTCCTGTAAAACTAAAAATGTTGTGTATGTGCTAGAATGCCCTTGTGGCCTGCAATATGTGGGCAAGACGTCCAGGTGTGTGGCCACGAGGGTGCGGGAACACATATACAACATTAAAAAAGGATTCAAAACACATAGTGTTTCTTTACATTTTTTAGAACATCATAATCAAGACCCAAGTGGAATCAAGTTTTATGGAATTCAAGCTGTGACTAAGCATTGGAGAGGGGGTGACATTAATTCTAACCTAAGTAAATGTGAAATGGGCTGGATTTTTAATTTGGATACACTATCACCCAAAGGTCTCAATATGGATTTTGAGATGAGTGTACTTATTTAAATATTTTATTTAAGGTTATTAATATACACACTTTTTTAACAATATATACTTTCCAACTATATTGTTTTTTATATCTTTTTGATTAATAATATCTCTTTCCCCCTAAATTTCTCTCTCTCTCCGTTTTTTTTATCTCCTCTTGTATTTTATATAATATGTTATTAATTAGATTTTGATATATGTAATTATGTTTTGGATATTCAAATGTATGATTATAATGAAATAAGTTTTAGGATAAGAGACACATAAATTTGAAGAAAGATTAGTGTCAGAACCTCTTTATTCAGACTATATGATTTAAGAACGTTCAAATATGGCTGCAATAGCTTCATGAACTCAATATGAAGTACTTCCGGTCCGGCGAAAAACGTCTGACGTCAGACGCAACGTGACGTGAAAAAGGGCGGGAACGTGGAAGCCGCCCGCCGGAACCAGGAAGTAGGAGGAGGACACCACGACGGAGATGTTTGGGCGCCAAATTAGAACACCGTGAGGATATAAATACCCAACATGGCGACCATTACTTTATGCACTTTGAAAAAGACTTTATTTTAGTCGAAACGCGTTAGTGTTATTCTTTTTATGCACTTTATAGATATCTTTGCACATATAGTGCTGCTATTTTGTCTTATGCACTTTATATATGTCCCTGAATATTATTAAATTTCGAAAAGTATCCCCACTCTGTTTTGGAATTTTTATATCTCCTGTATCCTGATCCAAGTGGAGAATCCTGAAGGCGTGGTGGAGTTTAATACACCAGGGAATTTCCAAAGAGCAACTATAGTCAGAGCCTACTATACGTGGCTCTGCAAAGTGTGAGTGAAAAATCCACATTTATTTACTATATTATTTGGAAAAACAGTATTATACTATGTTTGGATCTTTTTGTATATAGGTTACATCTGAAGGACTGACCAGTGTCTCTAAGTATACCATATACATTTGTATTTGCACTCCTCTATCTTTATCTTTTACTTGTATGTTATCTGTGTTTTTTAAGTGGTTTTAAAACACTGTGGAGTTGCACTGTTACTTTTTACTACCACCCCTACACTTTGTGTGTTTTGCACGCTATTGTGTAAAATTTTGTTTTATATGACAGGAGGCTTCATATTTGTTTAAGTCTCTCTTTACTAGAACTCCACAGCAGCACATTAACAAAACACCAAAGACAAAAGAGTCAGGAATCCATAAAAGGCTCCTCCTAACCAACTATTTCCTCTTTCTTTGCTGCTCCGCAGTCAGTACAGGTCAGAGTACCACTGCCTCCTGTTATATATGGGTGGTTGTAGATATTTTACTGTATTTATATGTTTATTACTGTATTGATTTATTTATTTAGAGGGTATTTCTGCATCTACCTACTTAGTGCTGTAGGGTTTGATTTATTTAGCTATACTGTATTTTCTACACCTACCTGCTTAGTGCTGTAGTGATTGCTTGATTGATTTACTCTGTTTTTCTGCATCTACCTTCTTATTCCTGCAGGGATTTATTTGTTTAGAATGTGTTTACCTTCCTACTGCCGTTATGATTTATTTATTTAGATTGTATTTTTCTGTCCCTACTTTTTTGCTGTAGGAATGTATTTTCTATAATTACTTTTCTGCATTTTCCTGTTTTGGGCCCCCCTGTCTGGGGATCATTTTTTTCTCGGGTTTGGGGGGGTTTCCTTTTTCCCTCCCTCCCTCTACCTTTTCCGGATGGCTTTGCCCCCTTCACTTTTCATCCGTTTTGCGGCCGCCGGAAAGCAATCCTCCGACCGCTTTCCGTTACCAACCGCCGGGACCCTGGAGTAAGACTCCGGCGGTCCCACGTGTTGGATCCCGCCCACCGGCTCCATCCGCCAAGTGAGATCCTCTGCTTCCACCCCCCACCCGACCCTTGCTTCAGCTTGTGGTATGACTGCTCCCGCAGCGTCGGTGGGGGGGTGGTTACCTTCCCATGCAGTGTGGCGGCCCCGAGCATCCACTTCCCCACGACCGGCCAGTTACCAGACTTACCGCATTATTTCTGTTGATTGCAGGCACATGTGCTGTAGCTTTGACTGAGACTCAGCTATGACTTGGGCACATTGCACCCTCAGGCTGTCCTGGCTTTGTACCCCATTTGGCTGGCAGGTTAGGCTACTGGGAACCATAGTGGATGATATAGATCACAAGCATGCTATATAGAGCTGTGCACAACCCCTCAAGGATTACAGGCACAACTGGCAGTGTTACCACTTATACTCACCTCCCCCAACCCCCATTTTTGTTTGTTCAGATGATTGCTTGCAGCACTCTGTTTTATCATATTGACCAATGGAGCACCTCTTGTGAGGTAACTCAGTTGGTGAGTTCCCTGACTACAGGTGTACTCAATATGCAAGTTCACTATTTACAGAGTGTCAGGCACTATTTAACTGAAGTGCGTTATCTACAGTTACACAATGGGATGCTAGGTACAGTCACACAGAAGAATGCTATGTACAGTTACACAGTAGAAGGCTATGCACAGTTACACAGTAATATACTATGTATAGTTACACAGAAAAATGCTATGTACAGTTACACAGGAGAACGCTATATACAGTTGCACAGGAGAAAGCTATGTACAGTTACACAGGAGAAGGCTATGTACAGTTACACAGTAATATACTATGCTCAGTTACACAGAAGAATGTTATGTACAAATACCCAGAAGAATGTACGTAAAGTTCCACGGAAGAGTGTTAGGTACGGTTACACAGAAGAACGTATTGTATGTTTACACAGAAGGATGTTATGTACGGCTGCACAGAAGAGTTTTATGAACAGCTACACAGAAGAAGGTTACGTACAGTTACACAGAAGAAGGTTACGTACAGCTACACAAAGGAAGATTATGTACAGTAACACAGAATAGTGTTAAATACAGTTACACAGAAGTGTGTTACGTGCTATTAATCTGAAGAAGTGTTATGTACATCTTATCTGAAGAGCGAAAGGTACATTTTATCGGAAGAATGGAATGTGCAGTTCCTCACCTGTACATCTCTAAAGGTCCTGACTTGTCTGTGCCCCAAGACTTGGCCCGCTTTGTCCGTGCCTTACTGATTGGCCTGCTCTGCCTGTGCCCCATTGATTGGCCTGCTTTGTCTATGCCCCATTGATTGGCCTGCTTTGTCTGTGCCCCATTGATCTGGCCTGTGCTGTCTGTGCCAGAATGTCTCCATGCCAAGCCTACTGCCCCATACTCATGCTTGTGCATTGCATGCGCTGCCCAAATTGTCTCGGTCACTATATGGGGTACTGCCCCTATCTCCCTGCTGGTGACACTTGTCCTCTATACTCCTTGAGGTCACTTTGCCTGGGACCGCTGCACCTGAGAACCCTTACCCGGGTTAACAGCGCAGACAATGACTACTATGGCAGTGACCGCCTCCATGGAATTAGGCTTCAGCCAGGGTCCTCCCTTAAACTTATCAGGAGCGTAACGCTAGAGGGCCCACCTTTAAAATGGCAGGCGACTTGAATAAGTCAGACTTTCCTAGAGGAGAGCAGGCAAGGGCACATGAGCTCTACTGGAAGGGTGAAGGCCCTGAACCAGTGACTTGAATGAGTCAGACTCTCCTTGAGGAGAGCAGGTAAGTGCGCATGAGCGCTACTGGAAGGGTGAATGTCCTGAACCAGGCTCCCGGAAAGATAAGACTCCGAGGAGCGGCTAACCCCTCTGCAATCGGCCAGATGGCCCTGCCTATATGGCGCAGGGGAGGCGATGACCACAGGATGCGGCAGTGACCACCTTCTTAAAAAGGCAGACGACTTGAATGAGTCAGACTCTCCAAGTGGAGAGCAGTCAAAGGCGCATAAGCACTACGGGTATGGTGAAGGCCCGGAACCAGACGCCCGGAAAGATTAGACTCCGGAGATACGATCGGCCTTCATGACCAGACGACACTGCCTATGTGGCGCAGGGGTGAAGGTCCCCGTAACCCTCCCCACCATGTCCGCCCTAGCTGAATTGCGGGCGGACCTGTTCCCCTCGGAGGGAGAGGACGATGGGAATGTGGATTATGATGACGGTTCCTAGTGGCACCATGAGATGTAGAACAAAGTCCACTACAGGGGCCCCGACGACAGTGGAAGAAGAGGTCATCTCGTCGATTGCCTTAAACGAACCCCTGTTCGACCCTTGATCCATTGCTCACCTGTTTTTTTTGGAATGGTCTCTGCCTGATCACATAGCACCATCGGTGCGTTTCTGGGGCCGTAGACTGCTGGCTTGAGAAGCCCACAGGATAATTTGAGCGGTATTCCCAGCTGGGCTCCCAAACAAAGTAGCCGCAAACCCAGACATAGACACGATGGGGCACTGCGGTTTTGCTGGTTAAGCACCTGTCTAGTATTCAGGAGATCCTGAGTGCGGCCCACTGCAGTGCCTATACTATTAAGTCCGCATTGGCAAGCCGATTGTTCTTCGCTACACGAGTGAGTTGTGCTAGCGGAACATATGAGGAAGTGTAAGATGTGTCCTTTTATAGGGGATTGGACCCTTGACCCGGAATTTCACACTTGCCTCCACTTTCGGATGATATCCCAGACGGGGCCCCGAGTCTGGGGTGGCAGACGACCCTGTCCTAAATGCAATTCGGACCGCTGGAGGTGCTTGGGATAAAGGGATCTGAGCCCCTCGGAGTCCCAGCATGAGTCTACGATTGAACGTATATTCATTAGTTACTTTGAATTAGACATGGCCCTCAAGAAACTTCTAGGGACCGCACTGCCCAGTTCTGGTAAGATGGCCTTTATTTTCTCCCTGGTGAGATAGGTATCTTGTGCATCAGTAATTTGGGCAACAATACAACCTGGTTGGCAGGTTGGGAGGAATTGAGGACATTCAGGAATACCAGAACTATCTGAAGAGATCTTTCTCATTTTCCATGCATTGGGACCTGGACGCGACTCTTCATAGATATAGGACATCTTGCTGTACGGTCTACCTGGACGGGCTTGCCGAACCCCCTGCGAGGTACGTCCCAGACCGAAAGGTCAGACACTCCCTGCATTTTCCCTTGTTCGATCCCCTTGTTCCGAGTTCGAGTCCACTCAAATGGGTTCGGCGATTCGGACCTTAGTTGTCTATCAGCCTTAGTCGGACCCAAGGGTCATATTCTTACTTTGGTAGAGCTCCCACCTTTAGGCAGTGTTCGACGTCACCGTTTGTTTAAATGGTTCTTTTTCTCGCCCTTCATGTACCACTTGGTTGTGGTTGGCATTGGCGGGGCGTATAGGTTTTTTCGGTTCACTTCAGTCCGTAACACTGCCACTTCAGGTATCGACATGGTGGGTGTTTTTCTCCAAGACATCGTATGCTTTCCCGCCGGTTACGAGGAGCTATCTTCGCAGAGTTTAGATTGGTACGGCGGATCGTGTTTCTTTGGTCTTTGCTGTCCGAGCGTTAAAACAGCAAATATGAAGCCTCCTGTCATTCTATACAATTGTAGATTATACTAGCTTTAGTGTAACTATAATCTTAATTTTATTAATGACAGGAGGCGAATATTTCCCTCCCAGTTTCTCCCTCCCCTTGTTGTTTGTTGGTTTGACTTGTTGTTTTTTCACCTGGTCTCCTGGGCTAGGTTGGTTGTCTGGGGGAGTTAGGGTTTATCTGGGATATGGTTCCGTCAGTATTTTATGATGGGGATTCAGGTTTTTTCACTATTTGGGATATTATACTGTCAGTATTTACAATGGGGATTCATGTTTTCTCTGTACATTTAATTCGCTAATCAGTGTTTTCGACTCTGTTTATCTCGTTTCAGTTTAATGGCTCTTAGATCAGACTACTCTACAGGATAAAGGTCAAGGCTTCCCCCACTGGTTCCACAGTTTCAATTTCGGATGGCATTCATCGTTATGTTATGTTTGTTTCTCCTCTTATTGTATTTGTGGTGTATTGTTTATGTAATTTATTTGTCGCAGCGTGAAAGAGGAAATAGTTAGTTGGGAGAAGCCTTTTATAGATTCCTGATTTTTTTTGTCTCTGGTGCTTTTATCTCTATGTTAATGTGCTGCTGTGGAGTTCTAGTAAAGAGAGACTTAAGCAAATATTCGCCTCCTGTCATTAATAAAATTAAGATTATAGTTACACCAAAGGTAGTATAATCTACAATTAAACAGAATGCAAAATATCATATTAAATGTGAATTCTGTGTTAGCGATGGATATGAAATGGTACTGGAAAACCTACATTTTACAAGGTTCCTGTCGAGGGAGCTCTGTAAATGAAATTTTTTTCCTATCAAAATATTTATCTATATGAAAGGGGAGCACTGCACCAAATAATATGTCTCCATCCTCCAAGTATCCAGTTAAATCAAATCCATGCAGTCTGCATCCCAGGTGATCATAATGGGAGGCTGGCAAGAGGTAGGACAGGACTATGTGCCATATTGACCAATATACAATATTTTTCACTCTGAAACAAACAGAAAGAAAAACAGCTGAAATACATCAGGTATCATTGCAAAAAAGTGTAAAACATAAATGGGCAAAGAAATTAATAATATGATCTTTTTGCATAGAACATTTTTCAGGTGTAGGATGAATCTAACTTCCAGGAACATTCTTATGGCAATGTCAGACTGTAGGTCATAAATACAACGAGCAATGCAAACCCAACATGTCAGACATGGATGTTTGAAATCTCATGAGCCTCATCAATACACAGGGGCATAACTAGGAATCACAGAGCCCTGGTGAAAGAATCAAACAATGGCCCCTCTTATGCTCTCACTGGTACACATACACTGACATACAATAACTGACAGTCACACAGTAATTGGCACATACACACATTCACTGATACACATACACTGTCAGTTACTGTACGTGTCAGTGGATATATGTCAGACACACAGTCAGAATAAAAGGCAGAATATTGAGTACTGAGAATCACGAATCCTTCACAAAACATTCAGAGGAGATCAGCAGTATTTTGTCTAAACATAAGACAGACACCCTTAATAGGAAATGATCTAAATTTAAACGAGATACGATAGATTATCTTCATAATAAAGTTTATAATTGGCAATTTCATCGTCAGAGATCTAACACACCCCAGGGCGAACGCCCATTTGGTAGGAATTCTCCTGCCAACACTGACAGTGAACAATCCTCTACTCGATCAGCCAAACCTAGCAATTCTTTAGAACAGCGATGCCCCAGAGGAGGAGGCATAAGACCAGGAGAGGCAAGAGACAATGCAGTAAATCATCCCCCTCGGAGTTATCCAGAGAGGGAGAGGAGTCCATGGAGACATTAGTAGTGAATATTTCCAGGAGGGATTTATCAGTAAGTGAGATCTCGGTGCTTAATAAGGGTCTGGGTTTTGTCCCTTCTTTTGAGGGGGATAAATTGGACTTGGATATTGAATTTTACGAGTTTTTTCGTTCCTTACGTTTAAAAGTTTTTTTTGCAGGTGACAACTCACCTTTGGACGCTCAAATGGACGAGATTGAGATGGGGTCAATTCTGTGGACTTATCCAGATGTAAAAATAAAAGTAAGTTTACTCCACCTGTTACGAATTCCACAGTTGAAACTTTTATAAAGTTATGTCAATTGGAGATTTCCAAAATCAACTGGTTCCGGAGAGGTTCCTCCAACCTTACACAAGATGAGTGGAGGGCTGTCGGTGCCCTTAGAAGCGACGACTCCATCCTCGTCCAGGCCGCTGACAAGGGTGGGGCCATTGTCGTCATGGACATTGACAAATACAATGCTGAAGTTACGACACAGTTGTCTAACAGGGTTCACTATGAGAAACTATCCAGGGACCCTACGAAGGAGTTCCAGGAAAGGATTGAGGCCATTACCCTTGAGGCTTTTAATCATGGTTTAATTAATAGAAAGATTTTTGATTTTCTTAATACTTCAACACCTCGTTTACCTTTTCTGTATCTGTTGCCCAAAATTCATAAGGATCTTTTGAATCCTCGTGGCAGGCCTATTTCTTCAAGTGTTGGTGGTACGGATGAGGTCATACATACGGGACACCAGCGATTTTTGGGGGCAAATTGGATAATTTGGGATCATCATGCAGAGATGCACTTCTGTGTATGATGGACGTGTGCAGTTTGTACACGTCCATCCCTCACAGGGGTGGCATGGAGGCTACAGCACAGGCTCTTGGCAGATTCGAGTTAGATTCACAATTGGGTGACTTTGTTTTACAGTTACTGGAATTTGTGTTATCATGCAATTATTTTACATTTGGAAATGATTTTTTTCTACAGTTACAGGGGAATATGATGGGGGCCAGTATGGCTCCATCGTATGCCAATCTGTATATGGCCAAGTTTGAGGAAAATTTCGTCTATCCCCATCCCCTGTTCAGATTTGTGACTGTTTGGTTTCGTTAAATTGTTGTTTTTTTTGAATGGCTCAGAGGCAAACCTCCTATCCTTCAAAGCGGATTTGGATCAATATGTACCAAGTATTAAGTTTACTTTGGAACATGATGCCAATAGTATACATTTCTTGGATGATCAGGTAAGTAAACATGATTCAACCTTTTTCAAAAACCGACTGACAAAGTGGCATTCTTGGAATATTAAAAGCTTGGTGTCACGTTCTAGAGCCAAAACATCTTCTAAACCATCCACCACTTGGCTGGCACCCATTAAGGGTATGCACCGATGTGGACATTGTGCTAACTGCAGTAATGTGACTACTGGTCCTGAGTTTACACATCCCAGAACAGGAAAAATATTTGCCGTCAAGAAATTCTTCAATTGTCAGACGGACCGGGTTATTTATTTCCTTAAATGTCCCTGTGGTTTTGGCTACGTAGGCCAAACGTCTAGACCTTTAATCATACGCATTGGCGAACATAAAAGCACTATCCGCACTAAGAAATGGCATATCTCTTTTGCCAAACCTTTTATTGATTCAGGACACTCAGTGGCACAACTACGGTTTCAGGCTATTGAACGTATCAAGACACCTTATCCTTGTTGTTCCCTTGCAGATTCACTTAAGCGTGCGGAATTGTGGTGGATATATCGCTTGGATACATTATTCCCTCAAGGGTTGAATGAAGATTGTGATTTCAATCCCTTCAGGTAAAATGTCCATATGCAATTGTTTAATTTGCTATACACCGGGACAATATTCATCGTTTGTTATTTTTCCGATGGGACCACAACTTGGTGGTTCCCCTTATTTAATATCTCTGCAAGGGTTTTGCCGGATTTGTGATTATTTTCTTTGATTTTATTTTTTCTCTCTCTTTTTAGTTATGTTCCCTGTTTGGGTGTTTCACCTGTGGGTGGCCCTCTAACGATTGGACTCCTTTCATGAAGATCTGTCAGATTCCTGGCGACTTCCTCTTTGGGTCTGTCGGGATCCCGCGGGCGGCTGCGAGGGGAGGCTGCACTCCGCTCACGGCACTCACCCTCCAGCCGTCCGCGGTCCCCTCCTCCTCCTGGGTCCGGCGAGCGGCATCCTTCCAGCCTCGGATGCCGCCCGCCGTTCCCTCCACGTCCCCCAGCAGCAGCATACATGACGCTGCACGCTGGGAGACCACCCAAGTTTGTACACGCCGGGGTCAGTCACCTGACCCGGTGTTAAAGGCACAGTGCCTCAATCACAGTGGGAGGTCTAGATACCTCCCACGTGTGATTGTTAATTCTGATTGGAAACTATCCAATCAGAATTAACCTGATGGTTTAAATACTTACCTTTCCTGTTCCTCCCTGCCCTGTTGTGGTCTTTGCTTGCTAGTATTGCTACTTACCTTGTGTTTCTGGTTACGTACTCTCTGGCTTGTTTATCCGACTTTGTGACTTTCTCCTACCCTTTGACCTCGGCTCGTTTCACGTTATTCTGTCTTCTGGTTCCCCTTACTCGGCTTGTTTCCTGACTATTCTGTGTGTGCTTAGCCCGGCCACTCTAAGGTCCGGCACCTTTTGTGTGTGTGTGTGTGTGCCAGCGTGTTGGGTTCCCAGAATCGTGACAGGGTCCATATGACGGAAGAAACATATGTGCATAATCATTATGCATATTTTTTCAGTTTCTGTTATATATTTTTTCTTTTTTTTGTATGAGCTGGTTGTTAACTGCTTAATTATATTTTGATTTGCTTTGATGCATGTATATATTTGATATTCTGTTTCTTTAAGATGATGGTACTTTTTACCTGGAATCTTTTTATATGGCTTGAGATGCATTGACTATACAAGCATGCATCCTTGACTCTATCCTTCGGACTTTTTTCAAATAAGCATGTATTGAAGCATTCTTTCTTTTTTTTGATTTTTTGATTTATTTTTGGGTGTCCGACAACATTGATTGCGCTAGGGAACTACACTGTTTTTAGCCAATTTCTATTCTTATAACTGGATATTCAGTTGGTTTTATTTTGTATTTTTCCCTTTATTTTTATTTTCATATTATTATTATTGGGTTTACTTTCTTTTCCATTCACTAATATACTTCCATAGTATGTCAATATTTTGCCTCACATTTTCTTTACAATAGGGGTTGTAAGTACACTTTTGATTTGTGTCTATGCTCCCCACTGGAGCAGTATGAGGCTTTTACTTTTCATGATTTTCTCTTATAATATGGTCTGGATACTATGTATTTTATAATTTGGCTATTGCTTCCAACCTTGGCGGTCGGCGCTAGCGCCTGTCACAGATGGATTCACACACTGTCATATGCTGGAACGCACATGCGTTCCACCTTGTCCCGTCCGTTTTTGTGAGGTAAGACGCTTGTACGTGTTGCGCATGCGCATACACATTGATGAGCTTTCATAGCTCTATGTGGTGGAATGCATGTGCGTTCCATCTTCTGTTTACTTCCGGGTTCGGAGGTTTGAAGTGCCTGATGCGGCTCGTGCCTCTCTTTCACTCTGTTTTCCAAAATAAATTTTTGTTCCCAATCGGATCTCTTTTATCAAGTAGAGTTGGTTGTGGTATTTATGACTATATTTCTCAAGCATTTCAGTTCTTTTTTTTTTTTATTGCCATGTATTCTGGTACATTTGATATTTATACATATACATTCATCTTGATTCAAACTCAAACTCCTGTTTGTATCTTCATAATATGATGTTGTCATATGGTCCATTACATTTTTATTTTACATTTATGTCATCTAATTGGATATCCTATTTTTGACTCTGTATATTTATATGCACGTTTATATGTAAATGTTTCCGGTTTCCTTGGTGTTTATGGTTGGGAGGATCCCGTTTGTTATGGGTGGCCACCCATTCACTTCAGGTGTTTTCAATGTTTGTTTTTCTTTTTTGGATAAGAACAGGATCTAGTCTCTCTAAACAGGCTCCCTTGATAAAGGCACTTTTGCCGAAACGTTGGGGCGTTTTGGTGATTGACTCTGTCCCTGCTTCTCACTAGGTCTGGTATGCTTGTCTTTTTTTTCTTTTTTTTGTATTGATGTTTATGGGTTTTGATTATATTGGTGTGTCATTCTACTATCTAACATACTAACATTTTTTTGCTACTTATTGTGTATGCAATTGGTGTCTATATATACATATCCAGAATTGTTCTGGTTGTTACTTTATATTATGATATGACTCTATATCTTGGATTTTTATGTTATGAGATATTCCAATGTTCTGTGTGCCCATTTAAATTATTATTTTTTGTATATTTATAGTTATGGTTGTGCTCCTTACTTATTTTGTATCTACTTAAATTTGTTTTTTTGAGGGATAGAGCCCTATGTAAGTGAGCACCCTATTTCCAATTTTCATAGAGCTCCATTCAGGGGCTAGTTTATTTCTCATATTGGGAGTGCCCACCTTGTTTTATTGTTTACTAGACACACAGTCATTGACACACACACCGTATAACCAACACACTTTCACTGACAGACACACACACACACACACTCTCACTGACAGACACACACACACACACTCTCACTGATAGACACACACACACTTCCTGGCAGACCCAAATACTCACTGATGCACACTCACTGACAGACGCCTAAACACTCATTGACAGACACACACACTCTCTTCAATAGAAAAGAATGTATGTGCACACTCAGCTCAGTTGTTCCAGTGAGCAAACTTTATTTCTTGGTTAAACCAATGTTTAAGCTCTCACAATGACCCTTTTTCAGAGTGTGCAGAGTGTGCCACACATATAGTTATAGCTCATACAAATTGATTAATTAAACAATTGAATTACATGAACTAATTACAAAAGTGAGACTCACAATACAATTTGGTACAGCCGGTGCAGAATGAGGTACACAACAAAATTAGAAACAAAAGTGATGTCATACGTAATGATTACTTTAAATACTGCTTTAGAGCTATACCACACCTATCTATCTGCACCTGATTTTGGATTCTTTGTGTAATACATGTGCATCACCTTCTTTTGCTTTGATACACACGCAGCCACACACTCAATGACAAACTCAGTTACACATATACATTATCTCACACACATTCACATTTCAATTTAATTTATGGTATTTTTTTACAACAAAATTGAGGCTCACTCAGGCTCTCTACCTATCTCTCCCTGGGTGTAGTGTGGAGCTGCTTGAACCTTCTTGTTCTTCCTCGCTGCTCTCTCGCATGCCATTTAGTGATGCCAGTGCCAGAGTGGGTTTGTTAATGACACTACCCCTCTGGCAACAGAATAGGCAGCATTTCATAGTGACTTCACATACAGAACCCAGGCACCATGACCTCTTCAATTTACTGAGTTCTGTAACACCTTTTTGTTTTGTGTGGGATATAGAGAACTCACAGTTTTCTTAATCTGTGTGAATAAATGAAGGTCCACTTCCCTCAGGTGCAAATCCAATTAGTCTACTGTTACTGATCCTAAGGCAGATTTTAGTGGAACATTAAGTGTTGAAGTTGGGAGTAGAAAGCTCCTCTGATAACTAACCTTGAAAATGGCCAAGCATGAAGTCAATTATTTGGTTACAGATCCGCAAGCAGCTGACCTAATATACCTTTGCAACAATTAAGATACAAAACATGCAAACATATGCCCAGGCATCCTTGGATATAGACACTTCTAGTGCTGCATGCAGACACTGATCATCTTTTCATATGATTGGCAAAAGTATCCTGAGATTGGATAGTTCAGCATTTCACATAAAGGATTACAATCTAAAATATAAAATATGGAAGTATGCAACATAACATGAATTATAAATGAAACTTTTGTTAATGTATCACATTAAAACAAAAATCACAATTTACATTCGAAATATGGGCCAGACTAAAAAGTTGCTATTGGCTGGGGAGTTTAAGATTAAGAGATTCCAAGAATCTGCCAACTAATAATCTTTTGACTCTCAGTTAGAGAGTAATGTCAAGGAGAACCCTTTTTCTGTGACCAGAACTACTACTTTTCCCACCCTGTTTCTCCAGTCCCAGCCGAGCAGATACAGCCTGGCTGAGTGTCTCTGATTTTGGTCGACTAATGGTGGTACATACCTCAAGTTGAGCTCAGGAAAGACTCAATGGCCGGAGCTGACCGCCTGGTACTGCGCATAGGATTGGAGACCAGCCACAGTCTTACAAACCAATAAATGGGTGGCAATTGGAAACTGTATGTGCAAACAGGGTGATTTTTGGACAGAGGATCCGCTATCCAAATTGGAGACCAGCCATAGTCTGGCAAACCTTTAAATGCCATAGCTATGAATTAAAGTCTGGCAAACATTTAAATGAATTAACCCTAAAGCATTTTATTCAATAAACTGGGATATTATAGAAATTGAGAGAAAAATTTGCAAATCTTAAAACATATGATCCAAATTAGAAAAATATCTCCAATTCATCAATTTTGACCTGGAATTTGCAATCCATTTGTCTATTTGCCACAATTCATAGATTGGTAAATAAGCCCCTAAGTAATATACTCTGAACAAATAGAGCACATACACTGGTAACATTCAAATTAGCTCTTGTGTTATAGGAGATTATTTAAGTCTTTTAAGAGATCCCTCTCTACATACCTCAAAACAGAATGCACGTGTCATGGTTGATTATATATTTCCTGCCTGTTCTATGTTAAATTTTTGTATATATTGTGTATTAATATTGTTTTTGTATTTTGTTGTACCTAATGTAACAATGCAATGATTTGTGGACCCAGGACATACTTGAAAACGAGAGAAATCTCAATGTATCTTTCCTGGTAAAATATTTTATAAATAATAATAATAAGTCAAATATACTTTTTTTAAAAAAAAACAATTTAAAACCACATTTCAGTTGTGCTGTGTTTATCCTGTATTGAAAATCCAGCATGTGATGATGACACTTGCCAAACCATGCACCATAAACATGTTTTAGCCATATTGAGATTCCTTAGCCAATATAGGTTTTCTTCACATGTACTTGCTCTATTTAGACATGTAATGGGGTAAATTACTACCCGACAGCAATTTTATTCGAGCAATTGTTGACGGACGTTGTGACCACATAGGGAGGTTTCTCCTGGGCAGATACTTTGCAAAAAGTAAAGTGTATCAGCTGGAAAAATTACCTTGTGTTTACTGACAGATATCTAATCTTTGGGAAAAAATAGTTTGAAGGAAAAAAAAAACATTCTTTAATAAATATCTCTGAAACTCTTCAGTCCTACAAATCATAAGCCCAAGATGGCAAGGTCAATTGTAGAAGTCCAACAATCCCTTCATCTATTGAAAACCCAGATTACTTCCTGGTAGGAAAAGTTGGGTGAATGTTAGCAAGATTCTTAACATGACAAGGTAGGTGAATGTTAGCAAGATTCTTAACATGAAAATCCTCCAAATTACATTAAATTGAACAATATTATTTGTAAAGAAAGTGATTCCAAGCAACCAGATGTAGTAAATATTGACGTGATTGGTGTCATTATCTTGATGGACAGACTGTGGGTGTATTTTTGGCATTGAATGAACTAGTCAGGTTAGTGACAACAAAATCACATCTAATCCTGAGTACAAAGGAACAATCTGGCTAAGTCAAATTTCTATGCCCACAATAGCTGATTTGTGGCAATTCCGCCATTGAATAAAACATTGAGAATCACCTATTTTTAGAAGATGCTGCGTTTTCATTTTTATTAGTCTTAAAGATATAACACATTATATCAAATAATAGTTGAGACAAGGTAAAGCCGGGTATCATTGCAAATAAAGAGGAGAAATAGCACTGTTTTTTTTTTCCCCCTATTCTTGGTATGCTTTCTCTGTGCAGACTGCCAGGTGCAAAAGACCGAGCTTATAACAATGACTGACAGGGAGCTAAGATGGAGGCACCCAGTTGCAGGATAGAGTGGTGTGAATTTCCACATATAGTTTTATATTTTACACCTCACAGAAATCTATTAGTTAACTATAGGGATAAGTAAACATAATATTACAAATCCTGGGACGTGACAATTTGCACTTAAAATAATATTCCAAAGGCAATCCCAAGACACATACAGCGGTTATTAAATGACTCGGAAGGCAGGAAAGAAGGCAGAAATGTCAGTAAATATATGCAAAGTGAAATTAATGAAACACTGTCCTACCTTTTTTCCTAATTCTCAAGTTTTAGAACACAATTTTCCTTGTAATCTATACAGGGTTTAGTGTACAGTAAATATTTTCAAGTGAAAATGGCAATTGTTAAACATGTAACCATGCATTATATTTTCACACAGTTACATTTCTGAGAAATATTAAATCATTCGTACTTCATATTTCCTTTCCTGCGAAGCCCTGCAGCCTCTGTGCAAAGGATTAATGCTAACAGTTTTATACCGAGCTAAATCCCCTTGCTGACACAAACTTAGCAACTAATGCTAATTAATATTATTTATTTCCCCTAGTGATGGTTTTAAGGTGCTGTGGGACAGATTCACATAGATAGTCCGCATGGTAACATAATTTCCATAGACAAATAGTAATTAACTTTACAAAGACACATGCTTTGAGCAGTTACAGCCCTGCTAACAATAAATGAGGCTGGAATAGGCCTGGACTGACTTGAGCTCTATTTATTGGGCTTGTCTATGTTGCACGGCTTGGAGGTGCTGTATTGGTTATGGTGCCAGTAGTACCCCGGCATGCTTCCATTGTTAGTAGTGTCGCTTTATGCAAACCCAAATGAAAAACTCCCCATACCTGCACACTACCTAAAAAAGGTCATCCACAAAAATCTAGGAAGAGACTGGCGGGGAAGACAATAGGAGGCCATCGGTCATTTTGAAGGATCTACAGAAGTCACTGCAGATCAAATGCCTGTAGAGGAGGGAGATATGAAAGAAGCCATTGCTTAGAACCAAAATAGAGTCTGCTAAAAAGCAGAATAAGATATAAGAAAAGGTTTTGTGATTAGTTCAAGATTTTTGCCACAAATAAAATCATCAATAGAACATCCGTCTTGGACCTCTGACTCAGAAACCTCACAGCATCTGCTTCGCCAAAGACATTCCCTAATAACAAACCCCAGGGACCAGTTTGGATGGGCTCACCATCTCGCACAACTGCATGGCCCCAAAAAAGGCAAAAGAGAATGCCAACCGAAACAATGCCACTTCTAATGGGAAGAAACAGACCTGCAGCAGAACCAAGAATATGCCCACCCTAAGAGCGCCGGAAACTGGTCTCCGAGAGTCCGAATGCTTAGGCCCTTTTCGGCAGCCCCTCATAACCAACAAAACTAGGACATCCTTAGTAATGTCCAACACCCTGGTGAGCTTAAACTAAAAACTCAGCCCAGACAACTTCCCAGACACTGCTGAGGAGGAACAGCCCGAGGCCTCCCAGAACCAAATTAACTGTAATAAACCCTGCACTCACTCACCATCCAACCGAAAACCACCAAGCTGCCTTTTGAACACTAAACACTCGATCCATGCCTTACCATAATGCTACCAAGCAGATTCTGAGACTGAACCCCGGATCAAAGACATTGTTCGGTCAGTGCAAGGCTCCACAGATCCACTGGACATGGGAAACCCACCTCGTCTGCCTCGGGTGCCTCCATTCCTGAATTCCCGCCACTGAAAACATGATAGAGCATCCTCTGTAATATTAGCAACCCCGGGCATAGTACAGCATTACAGTATGCATTCAGCAGCAAACAGTGCAGCACCAGGCACCACAGAAGACGAACCACCGGAGGGGGTGAAGCAGACAAACTGTTGATGGCCTGCATAACCCCCATATTATCACAGTGGAAGACCACCCTACGATCCCTGAGAAGATCACCCCAGATCTCCACAGACACCATAATAGGAAAGAGCTCCAACAAAGCCAAGTTCTCAATCAACCCCGCCAAATGAAAGAATCTGGGCAAGGTTTGGCACACCAGTGGGCCCCAAAGATGGCCTCAAAACTCACCGCGCCTGTGGTGTCGGTGAATAAATGGAGCTGCCAATCAGTGATTAAACACCCCCCCCCCATAGGAATAATCAGGCACGCAATTATTATGGCACACCCGCACCGGGCCATGTTCCAGGCGATACGGTGTAGCATACAATGAGGCCTGGAACATGGCCCGGTCCGGAGCCACCTGGGAAGAAAGACCAGGTGAATTCATATCCCTACCCTCTTGACCCAGACTGGCAGGCCCACCCCAGCGGACGGGGAAGGCAAAGAATGCCCGGAAGGTCAAGACAGCACCCTGATGGAGGGCAGGGGGCTAGCAGAGCTACCAAGGGAAGGGATATGAGACATCTGCCTCACACTACTCCCAGCCACCACCCCCAGGGTACCTCTGCTACTGCCGGCAGGTGAGACGGCAACAATGTAAAAAAGTGTTTACAGGTTGTATGGTACCATAGCTGATTAAGTTGGGGAGTAAAATTCTAAAATAATGGTTTTGTGACATCACAGTCTAATTAGCAAAAAATATTTAAAAATAGTACAAAATATATTTACCTGGAAGGTAGAGTTAATGTAAACTACTTAGAAATGCTCCTGCTATAAGGGTAGTGCCTCCCTTTTAAAGGCACTCAAACGGCCAGGTACCAAGGGCTCTGGTAAAGGTGAGCACTGATTTACTTTTTAAAGTAATATTATCACTGGTCCATTATATGCTACACCATAGTAGTCTCTCTGCTTTTATCTTTTTTGAGGAAGATCTACATATCCAAAAGGGTTAAGTGCCACCATACGGCACAGAAGTGTTTGTGATCTGAGCCTGTCACTTTATAAGGCTCTGAGAGATGTGAGTTGGAATTTTCCACCACTTGTGTATCTTTAATCATCTCCTCCACAAATTTACGCTATATTCTATTTCTTTTCTTTTTATGTTAATAATCACCTGTAAATTGGATGTGAGTATTATTGTCCATCTCACTAATTTTCTATAAGTGCTCTACTTAGCATATACCAAGGCTGGGCATTTATCTAAACCTTGTTATAGGCAAACTTTTGTTCTATATATTTGTCACAGGGGGTGGGGGAGACTTCCCCTGGAGTGTGAAGCTGCTGTAAACGTATATTGTAAAACTTACTAAGCGCACCAGTCACGGTTCCTCTTTTTTATATATACTTAGAAATGCATTATACAGAAAACAAGCATTTATTTCACTTTATTGAGGGCAGAAAATGTGTTACAGGGACAATTCCAAAATGGCGTCATGGCCTCGCCACATGACTGTCGCAGTCACGGACATGAAGTATAAAAAGACTAAATAAAATGCCCACTGATCTAGGGCTTAAGGGGGCGGGCTCCCTAAGTATAAAAACGAAAGCTACAAGGGAGCATGTCCTCAAAATAAGTGGCTAGGCTCTGCCAAAATGGTGCCTGTCTGTAGCAATGTGTCGGATGGCCAGTCTGTAGCAAGTAGTGCTATAAAAGATAATAAAAATATATATTTTATAAAAAATTATGTAGATCAAAATTAAGACCAGTGGGAATTAAGGTTTTTAGATAAAAGACATATTTCATTTCACATTATAGAGGAATCTACCTGTGAACAAATTAAGTTTGTGTGTAATTACAATTTCCAGCGCAATATGTTTAGCAACATTTTAACCCCTTAATGCCGTTATGGCATTCTATGCCGTCCCGCATTAAATGGGCTTTAAAGCTGTTGCGGCAGCATAGAACGCCGTAATGGCTTTGAGCCCTACTTACCTTCCCGGCGCTCCACTTCGGGAGGACTGGCTGACAGCCCAGGCAGCCCTCCCCCAGCAAATCAGGCCCCCAGGGGCCATGTGATTGCTCTCAAAGAGCAATCACATACCCCCTATAGCTGGCTGTGGATCTGCCAGCAGGTGCACTGTCTGGAGTGTCAGACAGTCCCCCTGCTGATGGGGAGTAGTAAAAATAATAAAAATAAACATGTTAAAATTAATTAAATGTATTTTATATATATATATATATATATATATATATATATATATATATATATATGTAACGTCATATATAGTGTATTTTAATGTTAATATAAGTATATATATTAGTATTAAAATACACTTAGACTGACATTACATATATATAAGATATCTTATATATATAATACATATATATTTTATATTTATATATACACATATAATTACAAGAATAAATACAATAATAAAATAAATAAATAAAATATTTAAAAAAAATAAAATATTTTAAAAAAATTAAATAAATTATATATACATTTGTAATTTCATTCTAACTGTATTTTGTTATTAATATATATATATATGTAACAAAATACACTTAGAATGACATTCTATATATATATATATCTATCTATATATAATACAAATAACCACAAATATATTTATATAGACAAATATATATAATTACATAAATGATTACATAAGTATACACATAGAATTTAAATACATATATATGTATATATATTAAAATTCTATGTGTATATTTCAGTATTTGTTTAGCATAATTATGTGATTTTATTAATTAAAATTTTATTGACATACCTGACAACCCAGGCAGAAAGTGCAGAGAATTTAATTTGCAAGCACTATATTTAACCCTGTAATTTTCCAAGACACCATAAAACCTGAACACCGGGTACTGTTTTACACGGGAGACTTCGCTGAACACAAATATTAGTGTTTCAAAATGATAAATTGTATTACAAAGATGATATTTTCGGTAAAAGTTAAGTTTTTTGCATTTTTCATACACGAACGGCACTTTTACTGATGGTATTATTGTTGTAATATGTTTTACTGTTTGAAACACTTATGTTTGTGTTCAGTGAAGTCTTCCAAGTATAACAGTACCCCCTATGTACAGGTTTTATGGTGTTTTGGAAAGTTAGAGAGACAAATAAAAGGCTTGCATTTAATTTTTTTCACATTGAAATTTGCCAGATTCGTAATGTTGCCTTTGAGACCGTATGGTAGCCCAGGAATGAGAATTACCCCAATGATTGCATACCATTTGCAAAAGTAGACAACCCAAGGTATTGCAAATGAAGTATGTCCAGTCATTTTTAGTAGCCACTTAGTCACAAACACTGGCCAAATATAATTTTTTTGCTTTATTCACTCAAAAACAAATATGTACGCTAACTTTGGCCAGTGTTTGTGACTAAGTGGCTACTAAAAAAGAATGGACATACCCCACTTGCAATACCTTGGGATGTGTACTTTTGCAAATGGTATGCCATCATGGGTGTAATTGTCATTCCTGGGCTACCACACAGTGTCAAAGGTAACATTACTAATCTGGCCTATTTTAATGTGAAAAAAATGAAAAATGGAATGTGCTATATTTGACCCTGTAACTTTCCAAAACACTGTAAAATCTGTTAATGGGGGTACTGTTTTACTTGTGAGACTTTGCTGAATACAAATAAGTGAATTTTATTGCAGTAAAAGCAAACAGTATCATGACATTTACAGCAAAAATGTCAGGCAGAACTAAAAAAAAAAAATTAAATCTTAATTTCTCACAGTTTTTTTTTATTCATAATAAGTTTTGTTTCATATATGAATAGTTTATGAGACGTTAAAGCCCTGTTTCTCCTGAACAAAATGATATATAATAATTGTCGGTGCACTTAATATGAAAGAGGTGAACTACGGGTGAACAGACATATAGCGCAAATTCCAGTACTATTGACTCCGCACTGAAGGGGTTAAAACAAAAAGAAGATATAAGTCAGTATATAAGAGTAAAGCCTAATATGGGAGCAAAACATTTGAAGAAAATTTTAAAATTAATTATAAAAGAAAGCGAAAACAAGGACCTTTTTGTTTGCAAATTAAAAGTTTTTTTTAACCCCTTAAGGATGCTGGGAGGAAATTTTCCGTCATTGCAGCACTCCCCTTAAGGACGCTGGCCGAAATATTTCCGTCCAAAATGAAAATTAACCTCAGATTGCCACAATAGCAGCAATCGTGGGGTTAATGTTCCTGTAGTGTGTCTCTGTGTCGGAGGCACACTACCATGGGCAGTTTTACTTTCACAGGCCTGGACAGCTCACTAAGAATGCAGCTTCACAAAGAATGTAAAATGGATGCTGTCCAGGAGGTAGGAAGGTCTGGGAGGGAGGGTCTGCTGCTGATTGACTGGAATGTGTCTGCTGACTGTGAGGTACAGGGTCAAAGTTTACTCAATGATGAGTCCGTGGCGAACCGTTTGTGGCGAACCGTTTGTGGCGAACCGTTCGTGAACCATTCGCAAACCATTCGCAAACCATTCGCGAACTGTTCGGCGAACCGTTCGGGACATCACTAGTTACAAGTAAAAAAAAGAAAAATTTAAAAAAAACTTTTGAAAAGTTTAAGCAAAGTTTTAAAATAGTAAAATAAGTTGTTAAAAGCTAAATAAAACGTTTAAAAAGTTAAAAAAACTTTTAAAAAAGTAAAAAAAAATGTTTAAGAAAGGGGTAAAATGCGTATTATCTCTACACTTGGTACAGGCTAGCGAAAAAATGATACCACGCTAAGGTTTCAATTATGCCTTTTCAAACACCCTGGGGTGTCTTCTTTAGAAAATGGTATGTATTTGTGAAGTAATTGGAAAACACAACCTTTTAAAAAAATTCAAAAGTGGGGCATGGACCCAGCATAAAAATTAAAATGTAAATGGCTGTGTCTCAAATGTGCCCCTTCAACATTGTCATATACCTGGTAAAGGTACATAAGGGGTTATTGCTGTACACAGATGAAATAGCGGAGCAACATATGATGTATTATACTGCTGTAGCACACATAAGTTTTGCAAAATATATATTACAAACTCATTGTGTGTGTAAAAAAGCCATAAAAAATGCTTATTACCACTACACTTGGTATAAGCTAGCGGAAAGATTATTTCATGCTAAGGTTCAAAATACGTCTTTTGAAATACCATAGGGTGTCTTCTTTAAGAAATGGTATGCCTTTATGGGGTAGCTGGAATAATTAACCTACAAAAAAAACTCCCAAGTGGGGTATGGACACAGCGTAAAAATTTAAAGTTTGAAATAACTTAAATGGCTGTGTCACAAATGTGCCCCTTCAACATCCAAATATACCTGGCAAAGGTACACATGGGGGTATTGCTGTGCTCAGACTACATAGCTGAGCAAGATAGGAAGTATTATATAGCCGTAGCACACATAAGATTTGCAATATATACAGTACAAACTCACTATGTGTGTCAAAAAAGCAGAAAAAATGCTTATTAACACTACACTTGGTACAAGCTAGCGGAAAAATGATTTCACGCTAAGGTTCAAAATATGTCTTTTGAAATACCCTAGGGTGTCTTCTTTAAGAAATGGTACGCCTTTATGGGGTAGTTGGAATAATTAAAGGGACACTATAGTCACCTGAACAACTTTAGCTTAATGAAGCAATTTTGGTGTATAGAACATGCCCCTGCAGCCTCACTGCTCAATTCACTGCCATTTAGGAGTTAAATCACTTGTCACACCTCCCTGCATGTGACTTGCACAGCCTTCCATAAACACTTCCTGTAAAGAGAGCCCTATTTAGGCTTTCTTTATTGCAAGTTCTGTTTAATTAAGATTTTCTTATCCCCTGCTATGTTAATAGCTTGCTAGACCCTGCAAGAGCCTCCTGTATGTGATTAAGGTTCAATTTAGAGATTGAGATACAATTATTTAAGGTCAATTACATCTGTTTGAAAGTGAAGCCAGTCTTTCTTTCATGCAGGCTCTGTCAATCATAGCCAGGGGAGGTGTGGCTAGGGCTGCATAAACAGAAACAAAGTGATTTAACTCCTAAATGACAGTGAATTGAGCAGTGAGATTGCAGGGGAATGATCTATACACTAAAACTGCTTTATTTAGCTAAAGTAATTTAGGTGAGTATAGTGTTCCTTTAACTTTCATAAAAACTCCAAAGTGCGGTATGGACCCAGCGTAAAAATTCAACGTTTGAAAAAATCTTAAATGGCTGTGTCTCAAATGTGCCCTTCAATGTCCACATATACCTGGCATAGTATGCCTTTATGGGATAGTTGGAATATATAGCCTGATAAAAAACTCCAAAGTGGGGTAACGACACAGCGTAAAAATTCAAAGTTTGAAAAAAACTGCAATGGCTGTGTCTGAAATGTGCCCCTTCAACATCCACATATACCTGGCAAAGGTACATACAGGGGTATTGCTGTACTCAGACAACATAGCTGAGCAACATATAAAGTATTATAAAGCTGTAGCACACATAAGGTTTGCAAAATATACTGTGCAAACTCACTATGTGTGTCAAAAAGGCAGAAAAAAAATTATTATTACCACTACACTTGATACAAGCTAGCAGAAAAATGATCCCATGCTAAGGTTCAAAATTTGCCTTTTGAAATACTCTTGGGCGTCTTCTTTAAGAAATAGTATGCCTTTTGGGGTAGTTGGAAAAAGCAGCCTGCTAACATATTTCCAAATAGAATACCGACCCATTAAAACCCTCCATGTAAATTCACACTTAAAAACCTGAACTTGTCACGTCTCTTTTACAGCACTGTAACTTCAAAAAATAGTGTCTAGGTCATACATTGGGCATATTGTTTTACTCATAAGAGGTAACTGAGCATACATAGGGGTAATTTATTACAGTGGCACTTATCAAATGTAAGAAATACCCAGCGAAAACGCAACATGCATGTAAAAAAATTTAAAAAAAAATTTTCTCACCACAAAATTTGAAATAAATTGGTGAAAAAATGGTGGCAAGTTAAGATAAAATATATGCCTAATAAGAAACCTTGGAGTGTCTGCTTTCTCAAATGAAAGGCATTTGTGGGGTTATTTGAACAGTCAAATGGCTATAACGCCACAAAATCAGACATATGACCATCTATGAAAATTCTAACTATAGAAACTGAAATAGCATGGTCTCCTATATGGCATTGTAGCTTCACAGAATAGGGGCAAAGGTATACAATGGGGGTATCGTTGTACTTAGCAGATATAGCTGCACACAATTCTGTACAGGGATAGTACACACCAGGTTTACGAAATACACATTACAAAAACCTTGTTATATGTGTATATGCCAAAATAAAGAAAAAAACACAATTTTACTCCAATATTTAGCAGAGATTGGCGGTGAAATGGCTTCATAAAAAGTGTCAAAATAACCTTAGGTAAATAGCCTGTGATGTCTACTTTATATAAATATATACTTTTGTGTGGCAATTTTGTTTCCTGTAATGGGTATTAAACTTCCAAACATACCAACTTCTAAAATTGTTTCACATTTAAATGTTATTTTAGACCTTGTAGTTTGGGACCTGTAACTTTCAAAATAAACTGAAATCCTACACATAGTATGTACTTTGTAAATCAAGACACATAAATTAATTGATTTTGAATTAATTTTCCTAAGCTGGACATATTATTAACACGTTATTATTGCCAAAATATTGGAGAAAAAATTATTTTTTTTGTTTTTTTCCCCATTATTTTGCTTTTTTTTTTAATAATTGAGAATTTATATATTTATATGTCACATCAAATTAAAGCCCTTTTTGTTGTCTAAAAAACAGTATATAATATGTGTCGGTACAATAAACGAAAGAGATGCAAATTGCAGTTGAACACAAACAGCAAAAAATTGCTTGTGTCCTTAAGGGTATGTCCAGCTTCTGAAGCTGAGTCCTTAAGGGGTTAAATTGTGGCTGTTGTCAAGCTTGTACAAGGACAACGTTAATAAATAAATAAAAAAACGAGTGAGTTTGTTTCTAAAATTACTATTACAAAATGTGACATTGAATCTTTTATCACATGTAATACTAATATTTAATATTATTTATCTTTTAACATGTGATTGTGAACCACAAGGCCACTAAAAGTAAGGTTAGGAGAACATATTTGGAATATTAGAAATAAGGTCCTGAACCATTCAGTGTCAGCTCATTTCGCACAAATTCATAATGGGAACCCTGAATGTTTAAAATGTGTAGGTATTCAGAAAGTGAATAAACCATGGAGGATTTCTTGAAAAGTTTTAATAAAGCTGAAATTAGATGGATTTTTGTATTAGAAATATTGTCCCCTAGAGGGTTAAACATAGATTTTGAAATATACAACTATATCTGATGTTGGCACTGGAGTTACCTCTCTGCTGGTTATTTTATTGGGAAGTAGGTTTTATTATAAGATTTTATGTATTATTTTTTAGATACTTTGTGGTACATGTAGCCACTATATTATATTTGGTTCTATGAATTATATTCTTCTATTGCTCTTATTTCATGTGTATTTATTAATTTATTCATTGTTTTCTGTTACATGGACTTTACTCTTGCCCACTGTCGCATATGAGGATATACCTATTCCAAAATGGTAGGCGGAGCATATCATAATGTGGACATAGAATATCTTGACTACCAACTATAAGATGCTGCCGAATTTCAGAACCGAATTTTCAGAAGGTGCGCTGCACCTTCTTGATATATTAATTAATCTTACATACATGTTTTCTTTTTATAAACACCTATTACCTTATATGTTTTTGGATAATCTGGTATAGTTTTCTCTTTGTACCTTTTTCTTTATATTATTGATATTTTTATTATCAAATTTTCTTTTCGTTTACCTTTTGATTCACTAATAGCAATATTTTAAATAAATATATTAACCGTTATGTTAGCTAAAATGACACTAGAAGGCAAACCCTTCTCTATTTGTTACACATTTATTTTTGTGTGTTTTCTACTTGACATCTACGCTGGAACTGTACCTGATTATTGAAACTGCACAACCTTTATTATAATTCATTTGAAAAAAAAATATTAGTGCAGGATGCATTTTACTAAAATAAATAGTTGATAGCTCATAACAAAAGCTGAAGTTTCTATTGATAGGCATTGAATTCAAAAAAATTCATTTGGAGTTTGTGTAGTTTAATATTCTGTATAATTTTTAAACTGGTTTAATATTACAATAAAGCAATGCAAAATAATCTCAGGGTTAATTTCAGTTTTGATAGTCCCTTGGCATAACAGAGATTTGTATCCTTTTCAATTCCAAACTTGTAAAATGCATTATTATTTTTTACAGCTATGTTTGCTTTTTCCAGTTCGGTTAGTTGTCATTAAGAGAAAGACAAACACATAATATATTTTATTCAATAAATCAAATGAAACTTTAATTGGAGACATGCATTAATAATTTAGTAAATTTAAATTCTAAATTTCACATGTATGATGTGCCAAATCCCACCAGATGAAATGTTTTTGTTTTATGTTTTAATCTTTCCCATGAGATGGTCCCTTGAATTCATCTCAGGTCTCAACAAAACAATAAAACATTTTGGTGCAAACATGCAAGCCATCATGGCCCAGCTTGAAGATAAGATGGCAAAGACCTCCATGGCCACCGTGTACTTTCCAGTTGAACTAAGAGATGCAGGGATATAGGACACCCAGACACTGAGGAAGGCCAACATGCTGAAAGTGATAAACTTGGCTTCATTGAAGCTGTCAGGAAGTCTCCTGGCCAAGAAGGCAACAATAAAACTGATGGTGGCCAGGAGACCAAGATATCCCAACATGCACCAGAAAGCTGTAGATGAACCCTCATTACATTCAGCAATGATAATTCCTGGTTGGGATTGGATATTGTCTGTTTGGAAAGGAGGCGAAAATGATATCCATGTGATGCACAACATCAATTGTAAAGAGATGGATAATGCAATAATCATGTAGGAGAGCCAAGGTCTGGTCCATCTCCTTAAACTGCTACCAGGTTTCGTTGCCATGAATGCAAAAACTACCATGATTGTCTTGGCTAAAATGCAAGAGACACAAAGTGTAAAGACTGTTCCAAATGCAACTTGCCTTAAAATACATTTCTCAGGCTTAGGGTAGCCTATAAAAGCTAAGGAGCTGAGGAAACAGAGGGACATTGACATTAGGAGAAGACAACTTAGAGAGAAGTTGTTTGCTCTGACAATTGGGGTGTTCTTGTAACACATGAAAAGTCCAAAGATGAAAATTGGTAGCAAAGATGAGAGAACACCTGTAGCAGTTAATGCAGCACCCAAAGGCTCTTCAATGGAGAGAAACTCTCTGTTCTTTAGGAGACATATGTTTTTCTGGGCATTGGGCCACTTATCCCATGGACATTTGAAACAGTCAAGTGAGTCTGAAAGAAAGTTTTTAAATGGAAACATTTAAATGTGTCACGTCATTAGATCTTAAGGGGACACTCCAGGCACCAAAACATTTTTATTTAAAGAGAGTTGTTATGGTGCCAGGAGGCCCCTGGATGTACACTTTCCTTTCTCAAACACATCTACCCCAAAGTTGCCTCCAACAGCGATGCCCACTCCATCCCAGGCGGCAAACTGCTATAGCAATTTTAGATCTAAAATTTTAGATTTTAGATTTTAGATTCAGGAAGTACCTCCAGGCAGGGGCGCAGCTGAATAGCTGAGAGTCGTCAGCTGACGCACTCAGCCAATCAGTAATTCACCATTCACAAAACTGGCTTAGAAAGAAATGTACCTGAGTGAAGTTGCTGACCGCCTGGGGAGGAACTAGACATCGTCGCAGGAGGCAACAAAGGGGTTAAATCATTCAAGAACTGTTTAATCCCTTGAAGGAAGAGTGCCTCCGAGGTCCTCCTGACACCATAACAACTACATTTAGATTAAGTTATTTTGGTGCCTAGAGTGTCCTTTTAACAAGTACAAACAATATTTAATACATACTTGTGTTTTATTTTTACTTTTATTATGTTTGTTTTATGATATTTAAATACTTTATTGTTATCTGTTCTAAGTCTGACTTGATTTATCATCAGCTCCTTTATATTATATTTAGAAGATCTGTATGTCTGAATACTATAAACTAAGTATACCAACATTTTTGTTTTTAATGTTTCCTTAACCCCTTCAATACCAAAAACCGAGTATAAACATTTTTATTTTCATGTAAAGTATAGTCCATAAAGCATCACTCATACTTCAGTTATGATTACCAGCCTGTAGATGGATACATTTCTGTATCAGAAGCCACTAGACACTGATATAATGCCTGTTAAGGTGCTGAAACTGTCTGCTGACCCCCTGTTTTCAAACAGTACTAGATGTTTCTATGGGTGATAGCATTCTTAAAGTCTGGGAGGGGAAATTAGTAAATGAACTGAATGTGCTATGTGTTTAGAGTGTACTGCTAGTAATGCCCTTACGGTCTTTGGAAATACTAATAATCAAGGTTATTTGACCATTTTTATTTACCTATTTTTGTCACAGGCACTTTTGTTTATATACTAACATTTCAAAACATGTGTGAAATATCGCAAGATAAAGGACACAGTATACTGTCTAAAGTTCTTTCTTTTCCAAATATTTTTTATAAAGTATGAACAAAAATATGAAAAATACAAATTGTGTATTTTTGTGAATGTGATCTACTTGGATTTTGCCAAGGCGTTTGATACGATTCCATACAATAGATTAGTGTTCAAACTTGAAGACATTGGTCTAGATGTAAATTCTTGTTCTTAGGTAGAATATTGGCTTAAAAATAGAGTACAACGAGTTGTCATTAATGGTAAATTTTCAAGCTGGACAAAAGTGGTATGTGGTGTCCCTCAGGGTTCTGTTTTGGGACCGCTTCTATTTAACATATTTATAAATGATCTTGAAATAAGAATTAAAAGCCATGTGTTTGTGTTTGCTGACAACACAAAACTCTGTAAAGTAATACAATGTGAGCAAGATATTATGTTGCCGCAAAGGGATTTAGATAGACTGGGGGATTGGGCACTCAAATGGCAGATTAAATTTAATGTAGAAAAATGCAAAGTTATGCACTTCGGGGTAAAGAATGCACAAGCAACGTACACCCTAAATGGTAGTGAATTAGGGAAAACCACACACAAGAAGGATTTGGGAATTGTTATAGACAACAAACTATGCACTGATGTGCAATGCCAATCAGCAGTGGCTAAGGCCAGTAAGGTATTGTCATGTAAAAAAGGGAATACAATTTTGCCTCTTTATATATCACAGGTTACACCACATCTTGAATATGCTGTACAATTTTGGGAACCGGTTCTAAAGAAGGATATTATGGCACTAGAAAAGTGCAGAGGACGAGCTACAAAATTAATAAATGGAATGGAACATTTTATTTATGAAGAAAGGTTAAAACATTTATGTAGAAAATTAGCTGTTCGTGAGAAGTTTGTTTGTCACATCAAAGTTCCAATAATCAAATCAAAGTGTCTTGGAGCCAAAAATTTATATTTATTCAAACATACACACAATCTGAAAATAACACAAAGTATTGGCATACATCCAGACCAATACAGCAATGTGTATTCACTTCTAGATCATATCCATTGTTGATGTTAAAAAGCATTGGTGGGGAATTTCTAACTGCCAAATTTTTATATTTCTAAAATTCAGTTACTTAGGAGGTGTACACATAAGGTTACTTAAAACTTTAAAATGCATGCCCATCATAGAAAAGGGTAGTGGCTTAGTAACTTCTATCCAATCTATGATTAAAGCCATACATGATATAACTGATTATACTTGGGGGGCAATATATTATTTACACAAAGGACTTTCTATATACATTGAATGAATGCCTTTAGAAAGAGACTATTTTGCGTCAAAGGTAATTATCAACAGACCTTCATCAATCATTATCTCAACAAGAACCATATGTGGTGACAATTGATATATAGATGCATAGGGTCTCTCAGTTCTTGTGTCTGGAAGTAGTTTGAAATGAAATTAATTTAAACTAATACAAAAATTACTATATTCATATCACAAAGACAAAATCCTACAACAAATCAGATATTTTAAAGTTCATTAAATATATTTCAATTTAAATCTAGTTTATAAAAACGTTGCCTCAGAGGGGATATGATAACATTATACAAATATATCTGGAGCCAATACTAACCATTGTGTGGAAATCTATTCACAAACAGGACTTTACATAGGACACAAGGTCATACGTTTAGACTGGAAGAAAGAAGATTTTGTCTAAAACAAAGGAAAGCTATTTTACCCGAAAAAGTGGTTTTATCAGAGTCTGTACAGATGTTTAAAGAGCAATTAGATGTAGACTTGGAAAAACATAATATTCAATGATATAATCTTTCAATGTAGGGTAATAGCTTCTTGATTGAAGGATACATCTGACTGCCATTCTGGGGTCAAGAAGGATTTTTTTTTCCTAGTTTGTTGCAAAATTGGAAGTGCTTCAAACTGGGTCTTTTGCCTTCTTTTAGATCAACAGCAAAATAGCAAAAAACAGATGTGAGGAAGCCTGAACTTTATGGAAACTATGTATGTAACTATGTGTGCATGTATATAATTTAAATTTTTAAGTGTGCCTGCATAGAAATCTATTCAAATATTTGCTATGTTAGTATACAATTATATGCTAGCAAATCAACCCTTGCTTTAAATACATGTTATGCTAATATTATTTAAATCAAAAAGTGCTCGGTAGTGAAGGGGATAAATACACTCACCTGTCTTGTTGGAAATCTCACCCTGGGGACAATGAGCACATTGAAAGCAACAGACAGGCAAATCCTTCCTCAACACCTTCCTAAATCCTGCTGGACAGCTCTGAGTACAGACGGAGACAGGAACCTGCAGGATAATGTACAACAAGTTATTAGTTGAGAATATGAATATTGTGATGTCCTTGATACCGAATGCTGAATGATCAAGTAATGCTGGGCTTATAACTAGTAAATGTCAAATCAGTTAACATCAAAGGAGTTAGATAAATTCATAAAACACTAGGAGTAACTGTAAAAACAACAGAACTAATTATGTGGTTTTGGCACTGTTAACTATATTAACATTTTATGCTCATGATCAGAGTGATAATATTTATTTATAATTTTTTGGAACATGCATTTAGGTTCATTCGGTTTTAATTTTTTTGTGTGGGGAGTGAAAAGGTGCACCAAAAAGTCAATGACTCAACATCTAGGACATCCTCAGAAACACTGCCAAAAAGTAATTGAAAATATACAAGCGTAATAAGGCATTTTTCAGATTAATATTATTATTTATAAAGCGCCAACAAGTCCTGTAGCGCTGTACAATGGGTGGACTAACAGACAGGTATTTGTAACAAAACAAGTTGGGCACACAGGAACAGATGGATTGAGGGCCTGCTCAAGGAGCTTACGTGCTAGAGAGAGTGAGGTAAGAGTAGGGGTAGAAAAGTAGGTTGCGAGGATAGTGTTCGTTGAGGGCTTAGTGTTTTGTTTTAATGACAATTTCAGCAGAGGAATCAGGGTGCGGGGAGGGAAACTATTCACATTTTTTCATTGAAATGCTTTCCTAAAAAAGAAAGTTTTCAAAGATTTTTTGAAGGAGTGGAGAATGGGTGAAAGTCTAACAGAGAGGGGAAGGACGTTCCATAGAAACAGTGCAGCCCTAGAGAAGTCCTTAAGGTGAGCATCAGATGTAATATTGCACCCGGCAATATATTTTGCTGTGGATCCTTGCATTCAGGCTGTAAGATAAGAAACCAAGAGGGCTGCACTTACCTGAACATGCATACATTATAGGGTGCTGCTGGGGCCAAAATATATAAAATACACAATCCAGCGCACTCGCTTATTCACTAAACAATGCTTTCAAATCTTAGAGATTGTAATAGTTTTATTTAAAAACACCTCACCTAGGCAAAAAATGATGGGGGTTTAGTTACATTATATGATCATATATTGCATAAGCCTGCAACACCGTCAATGTACCCCATTCTTGGCAGGTCCTACTCTAGCAGACTAATGCTTGCTCTTATGAGATTAATCCACTTACTTGGGAAATACTTCCTCCTGGGACTCTCTGCAAGTCAAGGCTAAATAGGGTCATGGAATGAGGCACCTGTAACAGATAGAGGTGCAAAACCAAGGAGTTGGCCTGGGACTCCCAAAAATATAAGAACCCTATTTAGCGATGTTCGCCTACTCGAGTGTTTGATTTTAGTTCCAGACATTCGACGGCAAATCACCGCTGTTCATGCACTAAGATGGCCGCGAACACGTGTAAAAGTCCCGAAATGGCGGCCACCTAGGAACTGAAACAAAGAGTTTGTGCGTTTCTCATACGAATGGAATGTGCCGGTCTGGGAGGTAAAATACCACATAATTGAATATCAGGGTGGTCCGGTGTTCGGTAGTTTGTATTCGTATTTATGCCTGCTGAGTCTCTACCGCATGGGTCGCAGAAATAGACGAATATTGGTAAAAAGTCCCGAACTGTGATAAAAATAATCCACATGAACCAGGTAAGCATATTCCATTGTATTTACAGTCTCTGTTGTTGTATATGTACCTGGTCAGTTGTTAAAGGGCCGGTTAGTAATAAATATTCCCAGGCAAAAGGTAGGGTTCTGTTACATATATATATGTAGAATCGTTTCATCACACCTCTAAATTGTAAGCTCGTTTGAGCAGGGTCCTCATCAACCGATTTTTCCTGTAACATTTTATAATTGTCTCATTTATTGTTAAAAATTGTTAAAGTGCCATGGTATATGATGTCTTTTTATAAAATCTAATAATAATAATAATCACTGTAGTGGCTATTGATACTATTGTTTGTACTTAGATACTACTGAAAATTCTCAATAAATGTGACATAGTAAAAACAAATATTCATTTTTAGCATCTTACCTGCCCTTTGCCAGTTGCCCACATCACAGCACTTGCATTAATAAGAAAGGGATTTCTATCTGCTGTTGTGGTATCGTAGCTGCCCACTTTCACGTGCTTCATGGAGCCATCTGCGCTCACTTGCCAGTTTACAATATCGTATATCGCTGGCGGGTCACCATTTTGATCAAAGAAGAGTTCTCTTCCATTGCTTAGCTTCACTCGTGAATTTTGGATGTAGTAAGACAGCTATTAACCAGAAAAATTAATCTATCATTCAGAATGTTGAATTAAAAAAATAAAATAAAAATACAACATTGTTTAATACAAATATCACTAAATAAATGGTCAGATTCAATATGTGTGTTTGGTAATACACCATCATGTGATAGACCGTGGTCTAGAACAAAATTGACATAGCTTGATAAAATCCCCAAATTATAATGTTTTAAAACATTAAGTGTTGATATTATCATTTACGTTTATCCTTGTGTTACATCTCCTATTTAAATCCATGTATGTAGAAACACAGAAACATAGAATGTGACAGCAGATAAGAACCTTTCGGCCCATCTAGTCTGCCCAATTTTCTAAATAATAATAATGTCAGGCATTATTTTTCTTAAAAAGCCTTGTGTTGATGAAACGTGTTGTTGATTTATTTTAAAGCTGTTTTAATAAAGTGATTTTGGCTACTTTTACATTGTGATTGTGTCACTTTTCTTTTTACTGCTTTGGTTTATATTTTATTGCCTGGCATCAAGTCTATTTTCCCACTAAGGATCTCACTTAAGAATCCTAGGTGGGGACCATACCACCCGCGCCTATTTATTGAGTGGTTTGTCTGCTCAATCAAATGTGAGTAATATTACATTTTTATTTCACTCCTACTTTTGTTTATACAGAGACCACTATTGTAGTTTCCTTTTTATTTTGGGTTTTACAGTCTCCATATTACTGAGATATCTGCTGACCACAACTACTCTTGTATCCAATAAGTGGGGATTGTACCACTGTACACCAGTCATACTAGGGCTGGTAAAAGCTCTATTAAATGTTAGTAGGATTACATAAGATCTACGTACATATCATTTGAATAAAACTCTGTTGTGACATACACCATTTGGTTGTTTATTCTGCTTCCTGGTATATCCACAAAGATCCCTAGACTTCTCCTGACCTGGTACTGAGAACATTCCCCCTATCATACCCCCAAGGAGTTTGGCTGTCTTCTTTGCAAATTTATTTTGAATTTTTTTCCAGTTTTGTATTTAAAGAAAGATTTAAGTTGGCTTTATTACTTATTTAGTAAATTTTTTATTACCACTTCATTGGCGCAACCTTCCTCTCTTTTTGTTTTTATTAGTTTACATTATCGTATACTGTGGGTTGGTCACAATTTTGATCAAAGAAGAGTTCTCTTCCATTCCTTAGCTTCACTCATGAATTTTGAATGTAGTAAGCAGGGCCGGCGCGTCCTATAGGTGACTTAGGCAGTCGCTTAGAGCGCACAGGCCCAGGGGGCGCCAGATTTAAGTGACCGGCAGGAGGGAAGCACACAGCCCACTTAGGGAGCTCTTCCTGTCAGTCCGTTGGCGGCTGGGTACAGGAAACAGAAGTTCCTGTACTGCGGTCCACGCCGACCGCCACACTACATAGGTAGGAGGCACAATGGGTGGGAGGACCACTAAGGGGGGGAGGACCACTAAGGGGGGAGGGAAGATGGGGAGGACAACTAAGGGGGATGAGGGGGGGACTACTAGACGAGGGGTGAGGGAGGACCACTAGAGGAGGGGTGAGGGAGTGGACCACCAGGGGGATGAGGGGGCACTACTAGATGAGGGGTGAGGGAGGACCACTAGAGGAGGGGTGAGGGAGGACCACTAAGGGGTTGGTGGAGAGGGAGGACCACTAAGAGGGGGAGAGGGAGGACCACTAAGGGGATGGGGGGAGAGGGATGACCACTAAGGGGTTGGGGGAGGAGAACCACTAAGCAAGGAGAAGAAGGAAGTTCACTAAGGAGGAGGGGAAGGAGGACCACTAAGGGTCTTAAGGTTGGGGGGGAGTGAAAGGACCACTAAGGGGGAGAGGAGGGAGTGAGAGGACCACTAAAGGGGGGAGGAGGAGTGAGAGGACCACCAAGGGGGGACTGGAGAGGACCACTAAGGGACATGTGTCACATATTCAACCTCACCTTGTGGTGTAGGCAATAGGAATTGCCTTTCTAGCAGTGATGGAGGTGCCGGCGCTGGTATACCTGACTGCTGCAGCATATGCATGCACGTTTAGGGGTTAAAGGCCAGTTACAGCCAATTGGATCTGCAAGACAGTTATTTAAACCAATTACTCCTTTCACTCATTGCCCTATCATGGTTTCCTTTAGTTGGTGATCCGAGAGTGTGATCCTGAGCGTTTATTTCTGGTTATTGACTTTGGCTTTGTTTTGACTTCCCTGTATTCTGGTATCCTTGAACTTTGGCTTTCCCTCATTGTTGTGTCTCCTTCTGTGTCCCTGACCTCGGCAAGTATTCTGACTATTTTCTGGTACGTTAAGTCCGGCCATTCTAAGGCCCGGTAAGATGTTACCTTTAGTCCTAGGTGTGATATAATTCTATGTGCTGGATCAACTAGTAATCCTAACAACAGGGAGGGGAGAGCACTATGGGACAGGGAGGAGAGAGGAACACTGAGGGACTGGGAAGAGAGGGGAGAGACCACTAAGGGACAGGGGAAGGGGCAGGTGAGAGCTCTAAGGATGGAGGGGTAGGGGAGCTCACTAGGGTACAGCGGTTATCACCAAGGGACAGGACAGCTGGGGAGAGCACTAGTGGACTGGAGGGGAGGGAATTTCACTAAGGGACAAGGGGCCAAGGGAGAGCACTAAGGGACAGGAGGGGAGAACACTAATTGATAGGAGGGAAGAACACTATAAAAAAGAGCCGCTCCCCTCTCAGCCCCTATCCTACCCCACAAACCCTGTCTTTTACACTACACACATACACAATGCATTCTTACACATACACAGAAACACACAATGCATCCTTATACACACACACAGAAACATACAAAGCATCCCTACTCACACACAGACACACCAAAACACACAATGCATCCTTTACGCACACACACACACACACACACACACACTGTTTGTCTTACACACACAGAAACAAAATGCATCTCTTACACACTCAATGTACCTCTTACAGACACACACTGCATTAAATTATATACACAGAAACACACCTTGCATTCCTTACACACAAACACACACTGTATCCCCTATACACACACTACATCCTTTACACAAATTGGTGTCCCTATACACTACATACATCACATCCTCTTACAACAACACATAACACATACACTCCACTCCATGAGAGCTAACTCATGGGTGGGACATGTAGGTGGACTTATGGGCGGGCCTTGTAGGCATACTCACAGTCAGGACCTGGGGGCCCAGACCTTGAGCTGTTGTGAGAATTGTTGTGAGCACAGTTACAAACAGCCTCCAGAGAGCCTCTTCTACACCAGACCTGTGGAGCCAGAATGCAGCCTGAGCCCATCGTCATCCCCTTGTCCTCATCTGGTGGTAAGTAGGCAATCCAATATATTATTAGTGGCACTAATCTCTAATTTACCTCACATTAAAAGGCCACTAATGTAGTGGTTCTGGTGTCTATAGCCTGTGCCTGCAGGCTTTTTAATGTAAACACACTGCCTTTTCAGTTTGTGCAGAACTGGCATTGGTCCATATGGCAGATCATATGGGTGGGGCATTGTGATGTCACATAGTGGGCAGAACATATGGGGGGGGGGGGGTTGGCAAATATTTGTTTGCCTAGGGCAGCAAAAATCCTTATAATGTTTTAAAACATAATGCATAATGGACATTTGCCTATTTAAGCCTTGGTAGTTCCTGGACCTTTTTCCCTTTCTTGTGACATAAAACACAATGCCTTGATATTGTCATTTGGGAATCTCCATGTAACCTTCAACTTAACAAGAGTACCATATGCTTTAATATATATATTGTAAATGTAATACTTGCATGCAAGCCCTTGGAATTTACTGTAAGTCCCTTTACTTGAAATATGTAAATTATGTAAATATAAGTTTTTATGTTTTCAATCCCATCTTAACATTTGTTTGCCCCCCCCTATGCATATCAACCACACCTGGAATATGTCGCAAACCAACATATCTAAACCTCTTTAAATGTTTGTCAATTTTGTCAAATTCACTGATTGACTCTTTCTTCCACCCATCTTCTGTCTTTCAGATACCCATTTTCCAAGATACAGCTTATATGAGTCAGTCCTCTATTTTTGAGCCATGTTTTACGCCTCGCATTTTTGTACTTTTCCACAAGCTCTCATCTGTTTCTTGTACTGTCCCCTATGTCTTGTGTTATTAATTGCACCATGTTAACTTCAGGTGTGTCTCCTGTGATCACCCCAGTGCCTGGTTCTGTGTTCCATTCCATTTTGTTTCAAAATATTCACCTATTCTGTCCCCTTTGCTTTTCCCTTTTCCATGTGCTCTACCCTAATTCTACAAACTGTCCATTTGGACCAGAAGAAAGAAAAGGTAGTGTGAAGATATTGCAAAAGGTAGTGTGAAGATATCGCTTAAACATGGTGGGAGCACTCTGAGAAATGTTTGGAAGTGGATGGAGATAGGCCATGGTGGGATGCTTGATTTTTGGCCTTTTATGCTTGGCATGGACTTTGCATTCATCATCATATATACAATAATCATACCAGGTTAGAGGCATTCACATACATGGAACTTACAAACGTTTTCCTTCATCGGTTATGTGTCCAACAAAGATCCTTACCTGCCATGGTTTAAAGTTTGGAAGATTAGCACAGCTTCCATTAGTAAATGGTCCTTTACCCTTTTGACAAGTTTGCATATCATGTAAAGATTTGGCGATGACAAATATTGCATTGTAAAGGTTGTAGGCAGTACTTGAGCTGGCTAAATCATAGTAGATGTCCAGAATACTCTCCAGACTCTCATTTCCAGTACAAAATGTTGAATTATCCAGTGAATCTGTAAGGCTTGTCCTGTCTAAAAATTTACACCCAAAAGCCAATTCCCAGAATATTTTAGTCCATGGATCTTGCCTATTTTTGTTTTGATGAATAGTGTTCAAGAACTCTCCAAAACCTGGAATTGTTGTGCTATGGAAGGAGAGGCCAATTGATCCAGAAAGTAGTGAAAAATATTTATCCACCGTTAGCAAGTTTGAGATTGACCAAGCTTCACTGGCCACAAAAACTCTATCCGTTACATTTTGCCTCAGCATCTCATCCAAAAGTAACATTTTATCAGTTTCTTGGACAAAAGAAATGACAACCTTAGCAGTGGATTCTTTAAATTTTTTTGTCACATGGTAAATGTGTTCCATATTGTTAGCTGTTATATATTCTAAAAAGGCCACACAAGCTCCACCCCTGAGGAGCTCCTGCATAGTGATATGAATGCCTTGACGTCCATAGTCATCATCTACAGCCAATAACCCAATCCACGTCCAGCCAAAGTGTAGCACTAACTGTGCCAGCCCCTTGGACTGGAAATAATCACTTGGGACAGTTCTGAAGAATGAGGGGAACTGTGTTTTGTCACTCAAGATAGAGCTGGTTGAATAGTAACTAATCTAAGGTGACAAACAACATAAATAGTGCAATGTCTACCATTTACTGAGATTATAAAAGCTTCTGATATATAATGAATATAAATATAGTCTGACTATTTAATTACAACATATTATATGTAATGTAAGTATGTAACATACGTGTTAAACACATTTGTTCATTATGGAATGTGGCACAGTGATTGTGCACCTATCAAAATATATAATATAATATAACAGAGAGAATAAACATCACAGCATTGCTTCTAATTCCTTTTCTGCTTTGTAATGTAAATAAAACATTTCAATGTATTTCAGGACCACAAACTGCTATAATTATCCTTCTCACCTGAGGGTATCTGTATAATCCCAATACATGAGCATTGAGTATGGAGAAGGTAGACGTTGAATGTCCAATGACTGCAGAAACAGACAGCATTTTCTCGCAAATAAAATTGGGGACTGATTGCCCTTGGCCTGTTATCATTTTGAGACTCCCATCCAGTTCTTCTTGTGCTCCCACACATGAGTCATAGACTTGGAAGCCCAATGTTTTGTTTGGGAGCAAAGATGGGTTTCTGTTAATCAAGTCTACAGCATATATTGTGATATGGAACTGCAGAAACGACTTATACCTAAAACTAAGTTTGAAATTGATGAAAATTTATTTTATTTCCCCAGTGTGAAAATCAAGAACAAAAATAGTTCAACAGGATGTGGCATTGTTATTCATAACGTGGCAAAATTCTTGATGACTTGAGTGGAGTATAGGTGTAGAGTGGAGATATAAGAGCAAATTGTGCACAAGAAGTATATGGAATAAAATGTATAATGAGAAGAAATGTATTTAATGAAGCATATGAAAATAATAAAAATTTAAGAGAAACAGAATGCACGACATAATGATAAATGTGGTGGTTTTTTAAATATATGTGGAGAAAAAAAGGACTAGAAACACTTACATTTTACAAGGTTCCTGATGAGGGGGCTCCATAAATGAAATGTGAGTCCTATCTAAATATTTATCTGAATGAAAGGGGAGCACTGCACCGAATAATATGTCTCCATCCTTTAAGTATCCGATCAAATCAGATCCATGCAATCTGCATCCCTGGTGATTAAAATTGGAGGTTGGCAAGAGGTAGGACAGGACAATGTACCATATGGACCTATAAACAGTCATTTTCACTCTGAAACAAAAAGAAAGAAAACATACGTATAATGTGTCATTGTAAAGAAGTGTAAAGGAACAGTTTGGAGACAATAACAACTGAATCAAATGAATGGTTTAACATTGCTCTGCCCTATATCCTTCTGCTTTTTGCAATTTCTCATAATTGAAGGCTCAGGCAGGAACTCCAATAATGGGCTTAAAGGACCACTATAGTGCCAGGAAAACAAACTTGTTTTCCTGGCACTATAGTGTTAATAGGTCCCCCCCAACCTCATGGCTCCCCTCTCATTGGGCTCAACAGGGGTTAAGGGGTTAAACACTTAATGTCATCCGTTAAAACTGGGCATATGCGGCATGAGCCACGCGCGCATTTAATCAGTCCATAGGAAAGCATTTCTCAATGCTTTCCTATGGACAGCAGCGTCTTCTTACTGTGAAAATCACAGTGAGAAGCGCGGAAGTACCTCTAGCGGCTGTCAATGAGTACCTCTAGCGGCTGTCAATGAGACAGCCACTAGAGGCTAGATTAACCCTAACCCTAATGTAAACATAGCTATGAAACTGCTATGTTTACAGCTGCAGGGTTAACCCTAAATGGACCTGGCACCCAGACCACTTAACTGAGCTGAAGTGGTCTGGGTGCCTATAGCGGTCCCTTAAAGCGGTCAGCTCTAAGGCTCCCAATTCATACACATTCTCTATGAGGAGATGCTGATTGGCCAGGGATGTGTTTGGCTTGTGCTGGCTCTGCCCCTGATCTGCCTCCTTGACAAGCTCAGACAATTCAGTGCTTTCCTTTGAGAGGGTATTGTGATTGGCTTTAAATAATGCTTCTGATGATGTCAGCCAAGCAGGTAGATCGGGGCAGAGCCAGCAGGAGCACCAGACTGGAATAAAAGTAAGATTTTACTATATTTAGGGGGCAGGGAGGCTAGATGTGGTTGTAACACTACAGGGTCAGGAATAAATGTTTGTGCCCAAAATGTCTCTTTAAGACATAGATGAGCAAAGCAAAGGTTCACATGACCTTTTTATAGAGGATTTTCAGCTTAGGAGTATCACGAACAGGACAAATCTATCTGCCAACAACATTTCAATGGCCATGTCAGACTGTTGGTCATCAATACATAGAGCAATGCAAACTCGGCATTCCACTCATGGATGTTTGGAATCTCATGAATCTTCTCAGTTAAATACACATTTTGTTTTGTGGGTGATACATATAAGTTGCAGTAGTCTTGATCTGTGTGAATAGGTCCACCTCCCTTGAGTGCAACTCCATTAGCCAACTTGCCTTGTCAACTTAGCAAAGCATTGATGTAACCAGTCGAGAGTTGCATGAGGGAGTATAGAGATCATCTGATAAGTAGCCTTGAAAGAGATAGTTCTGCTCACTGTAGTTATTCACACCAACGTTTTATTAAAAAGCACTAGTTTAAAAAAAAACAAAAAAACTCCATTAAGTCTAAAGACGGTAATTTGTAATATTTTATTGTTTTCATTTTTAATAAAGTATATCTGCAGAATATTCTGTGAATGCTACTTCGAATTCCAAGGATATAAAATGGGTTGATGTCACCAATGATTAACATAAAAGCTGTTTACCGTGAGCTTGGTCTAAATGAGCACTTAAGAAGGTGAGAAGGTTTCACTTATTTTACTTGGCCGCCAGTTTAAATCTATAATTTTACATGACAAGATGCTTCATACTTTGCATGATATCTCTTTACTAGCTCCACACAGCAAAGAAACACACAGAAAAAAGAACCAATCACAAGTAAGTAGGATGTACATGAGGTATAGTCACCTAAATACCTCCTTTTTATTTGTTGCTCCATCAAGCAGACAGGTCAGACTATTACACTTTATGCTCTTATTGCCCCTCTTGGGATTGTTTCTTTATTGTATTTGGTATATTTTATTGTTGCTATCTGCAATATACTTCAAGGTATACTTCTATAGGCATGCTGTTGCAGCGGCTATTAACTGTTGGACAGGATTTTCAGGACATACTGCTTATAGGAATATCTCCCATAATCTTGAATTAACTGTCTGAGCACAGATTAGTGTTCTATGTCAGGGATGTGGCCAGCACTTAAGGGTTCATAACGTGTGCACCTGGGGTGAGCCCCCTACTATATATATATATATTTATACTACTGTGCTGCTGAGTGGAGGCATCCTGTTAAGATTACCACCCTGTTTCCAACCCTGTGGGGTTTCTGTGAGCTTTACCTGTTGTAGTCTGGTCTGTTTGCCCTGCATCCTGAAATTGCCTACTAATTTGTGCCTACTACATGGGTGTCCCATATCATAATAAATCTGCCTGTCTACTTATTTACAATTCTGTATCACACGATTTTCCACTATGGGAGATTCTCTGGCTAGCCCTGTGGACTTTCAGGCCATGATACACACAGCGCTGGCTTCATTTATGGAATAAGCACTCTCAAATGTGCATGCAGGAGGGCCGGACCCCTAACCGGCACCGGCCACCAGAGGAGCTTACTATGTGGCAGAGTCTGATGCCTTCGATGACTCCACTAATGGGTCTCCCCATCACATCAAGCGCCACTGGAAAGGTGAAGGCACTAGACTAGGTGAAGTCCTTGCCAAATGCTGAAAGCTGACTCCAGCACTTGCCCTGACCCCATGGATAGACCCCTCCTCAGACGAGGACTGCAACTTGCCCCATTCCCTTTCCATCCTGAACAAATGGCGTGCAGTCTGGCGACAAATTTTGGCTCCACATTAGTGTGGGAGATTTTTCTGGGTGAGCCCCAGATGGCTGAGGGTGACAGAAACTCTGCCCAAGAATATATATTGCTACTGCCCATGAGGATGCTGAAGTGATCCTGGATCCTACTAGTAAAAAGCTATTTGACCCACGCAACATATGTCACCCATGTTCCAGGGACTGGTCCGCTCCCAAAAACACCTGGCCAATTTTGTGCACCTGTTTCTTTGCAAGCCTCTAGATAAAGATGTCCATTGCCACTTGCAGTGAGAATGTCCATGCCCTTCCCTCCCAGGCAGTGTGGCTCAGACACCTGAGTTCTGATCATATGATGATGACCTTCATGACAAGGGGTAAATGTAACCCTGCAAGGGAGTAGAGAGAGGATTCAGAGGCGCCCAAAACAAATTGCTGGACTCTATTGGCCCCCTCTCAAGGATAAAATATCTGGCAGATGACACGTTCTTGAAGGCCGACTCCTTTGATGCCAACATCATCCATAAATGGTCTCATGATATCCATAAATGGGCACAGAGATGTTTCTGTTTTATCAGAAACACCAATGTTTACCTCTCCTCTGAGAGGTGCAAAGCAGCAATCCTCCGTATTGATGGAAAGTTGGCGGATCTGGGTGCCAATGAATTGGGACCCTGGGCACATTGCACGCTCTTCGATGAGGAAGCTTACAAACCCCCCATCAGACTCCTAACCTTGCTACTACAACCTTTTTTACCTGGAAGTGGATGGGAGACAACCCTTCTGGTACTCCAGGCGATCAGACGGAGGACAGGGAATGCGGAGATGCTCTAGATCCTGTTTTTCCTCAGGTAAGCATCCCTATGGTTTCACCGACTTTGCTTTCTACAGCGCCCACATGAGATACCGTCACTTCAAGATGGAAGCCATTCAAACGTATTAAGGGACCTTCTTCATTTGGGAGCTGGTTTGTGAGTCTGAAACTGAAAGACATATGCCTGTCGGTCCCCCGATCTACCCCTCTTGCAGACAGTATGTACGTCTCCTGTGGCATGGTCAACCTTGGTGCTTTATGAAACTACGGAAACCGGTGACTGCTCACATACAGGCCAAGGGGATCCGGTACCTTATTTACCTGGATAATATCTTTCTGTTCGGTTCCCAGAGGTCAAGACTACATCAACACTACATCAACACACATCAACACATGTCAACACACTATGATTCTCGTGATCCTGCTGGAATTGTTCGGTTTTATAGTAAATCAACAGAAGTCTCAGATGGCCCCTTCTTGATGGTCAAATTCTAAGGATTCGAAATTGACTCCGCATCATGAACCATGAAGCTACCCACTTCAAAGGTCTCCACTATCCAAAAATAAATTTGCTAGGTCCCCCGGATCGTGGGCGATTGTCCTCCACCCAGGCTATCTTTCCGGGCCTTTAATGACAGATATAAAAATGAGTTAAGTGGAGCAAAAGTAGAAAAAATATGTGAGATGGGTAGAGAGGAATAGGGAACCTATTACATGCCTGATGGTTAATGATCCATTTTTTAACTATGATTATTTATTGATACAGTTTAGAGTATGCATATTGACTGTATATTACTGCCAGACTAGTTTTGAAATGTTAAGCAAGTTCTCATAACAGCTGGTAATTAAAACTGTAAAGCCCTTATAAGAAGCAAGCCACAAGTCAGCTCAATATCCATTGATAAAGCTGTAGGAGCGGAGAAACGCGTTTGGAAGCTGACACCTTACCATTCTTATCCAGGACCTTTACGCAGCAGCACATCAATCTTCACAGCCATCCAGTAACCTCAAATAGCTTGAAAACCACTCGGGATGCCGAGAATACTTATCCACAGGATTTTTTTGTTTTATTCTTCAACGAACAACAGACTAACCATGTACTAGATACATATTGTAACTATGTACTCCTTCTGTATTTTGTAACTGACAAGACTGCAAGCATTAGTTTTATTTCATTATATTTGTTTATTATATTTGTCATCTTTTTTAATGAAGTATTGTATTTTTAACTATACTGGATCAGTATCTTTATAGTTATAAGGTTACGTACTTTATTAAGCGCTTATACAAATCTGCATATTGGTGAAAGAATGTGCATAATAGCTGTGAATACATAAGGCTGGATGTAAGGATCATTTTATACAATACACTGCATTAGATAATTCTTCTATATATTTAGATATTTTTATAACTTAAAATGTATCTTTTATTTTTTACAAATTTTTATCTGTTGTACTTTTACTCATAAATTGTATTTTTGAAATTTTTTTATTTTTTTCAATGTTTGAACACTTTTACTCATAAATTTTTTATTGGATTATTGTATTATCCATGAGGCAGAGTCATCACATGATGGAGAGAGCACTTCAGTCAGGTTTGCTCGAGCGAAACCCACCAACGACCAACCTGTTCCTGTGACAGACGAGATGTGAGGTGGACTCCAATGGTGGTTGGACAGCATGCTGGCCTGGACCGGCCACACCATTTTTGGTGACCAACCGGAGTTGGTTGCCAGCCTGTGGGCCTATGGGTGCAACTTGCAAGAGTGCACCCTCGGAAGGCATGTGCTCAACTCAGGAACTCTCCTTTCAAATGCACTGCCTGGAACTCTTGGTGAAGGGGTAATCCATTTGTTGCATCCTACTCCGGATGGTCAAAGTGTCGGCAGCCCGGTATATCAATCGCCTGGGCAGCGCCCGCTCCTGCCTCTTATTAGACATCATGAAGATCACCTTTGATTTCTACCTACCTTGCAGTATCTCCCTGAGGGCCGAATATCTCCCGACACCACAAATTGGTTCTCCCACCTTTGAAGGGAAGGCAGCAACTGGATGCAGGATCCTCAGGTGTTCTCCACCATATCATCTCTAAGGGGCCCATTTTACCTAGACCTGTTTGCGTCCTGCAACAACCACCAGACTTCAGCGTTCTTCAGTTGGCTACCAGATCTGGAGTGCATGATGGTGAATGCATTCCTGCAGGCTGGGCCTCCTCAAGGGGCTTACGCTTTTTCCGCTTCTAATTATTGCGAGATTTCTCCATCGCCTCCATGTTCACCAAGTAACACTGACCTTGGTCACCCTGCTGTGGCGGATCCAACCTTGGTTCCCGGACTTTCGGGGACTGTCCTGCGTTGTGATTGGCTCAGAACAACACTTGGTCTGCAAAGCAGACTGGAATAAAGGTAAGATATTACTAAATTTACGAGGGCAAGGGGTGCGGGGGGTTTAGATAGTGGTTTTAACACTATAAGGTCAGGAATACATGTTTGTGTTCCTGACCTTATATTGTTACTTTAAGGAAAAATAGCTATGCTTCCAGTTCAGCTACTTTCAGCTAACATTTGAAATTCACTTTGAAGTCTCACTTTAGTGAAAAACCCTGTTAATGTGAAAGTTGCATTGCTCTGTACTAATGTGAAACAAATGGAATCTCTTGAAGTGAAAATATGAGAATAAGCACAAGTGATTTGCTGAAAAGAACATGTTTCTTAGATATGTTATCACTCAGTAATGGATGCCTTAATTTAAGTGGTGTGAATAGAAGTGTGGTCAGAGGTGTGGCTGCTCACAGATATTTTAGGTAACTTACTAATAATTTAAGCAACTACAATTTTATCACATGACAGGAGGCTTCGTATTTTGCATAATCTTTCTTTACTAACTCCATAGCAGCAAAGAAAAGAGTGACATAACTGAGAACCAATCACAATGCGGTATAGAGTATAAGAGGTGTAACGTATGACATCATTTCCTCTTTCTTTGCTGCTCCATCACAAGATAAGTACAGACTTGGTTTTCCTCTCTGTCCTTACACTATTTGTCATCTATATCTAAGAACTATTGTCTAAATATTTCTATTACTATTACATTTATTCATTATGTTATTTTAAGTGCTTCTGTATTGTTACCTTTGGGGGCTCTTCCCCCCCACCCCTCTGGCTCTGGGACCTTTTCCACTGCTTTTATTTGGCATACCCCTTTCAGGGAGTCTTAACGGCATTTTCGCCGTTTTCACCTATACTTCCTAGTGTCAGTTAAATTTGCGGGTTCTTTCCCGCCTTATCGTCATTCGCACGTTTTTTCGCGAACGGCACTTCTGTTCGCATAGACTTGTTCCCTTTGACGAACGCCTAGCGTTCGGCAATTCCCGCGAACGTCTCATATTAGGCGCTTGCATTCGTGCGTATTAGCCGAACGCTTCCGTTCGGCTGATTCGTACGCACTAACGCCCGCCGTTCGGGTAATTTTTGCCGCTCAAAAATCTAGGGGAGGTACTAAAACCTCCCATTTCCTACTACTTTCAGTCCGGCGGACATTTTAAATGGCTACTACTATCCTGCTTACTACTCCAGCCTATTATTACTGCCAGAATACTCTGGAATACTCTTTGAACTCTGCAGCCTTATCAGCTCACTGTGGGACCAGTATCAGGTTAGTGCTTTGCACTTGGGGTCGGTTTCAGCCAGTGGGAATACCCTTATTCTGGCAGGGGTGAGCCCCCTTTTATGTGCTGCTGAAAGGACCTGTTTATGCAGGATTCCAAATTCCTGGGTGAGCCCCAGTGACAGCCCTCGCTTGACCTACCAGTCGCATAGCGCTTTCAGGTTAACCACTACCTATTATACACCACCCCCTGGTCCCCAGGCCTCCCCATTTTGTGCCACAAGTACCACAAGTGCCCTCACGCATATTCACCGGGTGAGCCCCGGGTGTGATTAACAACATGGAAGAATCCCAAAATCCCTCAGATCTCCAGGCCATGATTGCAGCAGCGGTTGCTGCATCCATGGAAAAAGCTTTGGCTAAGTCGTTCCAATTGGAACAGGACGCATCTAAGCCCATTCCCAAATGGGCTCATTATGGGGCGGATTCGGAAGACTCCGATTCCTCCAGGGAACGCTCCCACCCCCCTAAGCGCCATTGGAAAGGCGAGGCTATGGGACCACGTAAATCCAAAGGAAAGGCCCCTGCTAAACGCAGACGAGACACAAGCAAATCATCCCAAAAACCCGCTCAGGTTTCCTCTGGGGAAGAGGACGCAGGTCCATCACACGCGTTAGCCGTGGTTGACGAATGGCAGGCGGCAGCCTCCGACCAGGAGGAATCCGACTACTCCGCTGCCAAATCGGACCCTTACTTTATAGGGGAACAGACCCTGGGTGAGCCCCAGGACTCCGGGACCACATCCCTAGACACCCCACAAGAGGGTTCAGAAATATTTTTGGACAACTCTGGCCTCCGAATGTTCGATCCTAGGACACCACCCGAACACTTGACCAGATTCATGCACTTCTGGCTCCGGAAGTCTCTGGACAAAGAAGTGAGAAAGCGTATGAGATCTGAATGTCCTCGCCCGAGCCTACCAGATAAGGTAGCACACACCCCCGAATTCGACCCGCTCATGACCACATTCATGTCCCACGGGGGTCGGGACCCACGCAAGGGTGTGGAACGTGGTTTCAAGGGAGCTCAGGACAAACTATTAGATGCCATCGGGCCTTTGGCGAGGATCATGGATATGGCAGATGATGCCTATGAAAGGGCTGATGACTTCTCCCCAGATATGGTGCGTGAGTGGGCACGAGATACCCGAGAGTGGGCACAAAGGTGCTTCTGTTTCCTCGGGAACACTAATGTGGCACTCTCTTCGGAGAGGCGCCGAGCAGCACTTTTCAGAATCGATGACAAGCTTGTCGAACTGGGGGATAAAGAATTAGGCCCTTTGGCACAGGGCAAATTGTTTGGCGAGGCCTTCCTTACTGAGCTTAATAAGAGGGTCAACATATTCACTTCCCTCAATAAGGCACAAACATCAATGCGGAAAGTGTTCCGCGGCCACAACACCCGTGGTGTTTTTGGGAGGGCTGGTCGGCAGAGGGGCCGTGCCACCAGCCGCTTCTGGCCATCCGGCCCCCGCACAACCAGGTCGCAACCATTCTACACAGATCCATCTGCACGCCATCAATTCCATCAGTTCAGGGGATCGGAACGTGGCCGTGGCAGCCGAGGACGCTCCCGAGCGAGATTCTCCAATGGTAAGTTACCATTCTATACTACCTCTAACCCCTTGCCATATCGCAGGTCGTATTTCTCTTTTCTTCCAGAATTGGGCAGACCTCTCCTCCGACACATGGATACTTCGGACGGTGCGGGGCTATCAAATAGAGTTCGAGACAAGGCCACTCCAACAGGCACCACCTCGCCCGATTCAGTTTTCACGGGCAGACGCTTCTTTGATAGACATGGAACTTCAGGACTTACACTCCAAGGGTGCCATCCAACCAGCTCCGGACTCAACCGGGTTCTACAGCAATATCTTCCTAGTCAGGAAGAAAACTGGGGAATTCCATCCCGTCATCAACCTCAAGGAGCTCAATTCCTATGTGGTGTACCGCCACTTCAAAATGGAGGGTATCCATCTTCTCCGGGACCTACTGCGAGACAACGATTGGTTCACGCGTCTAGACCTAAAGGACGCATACCTTACCATACCGGTGCACGAAAGGAGCCGCTCATATCTCCGCTTCTACTGGCACGGGACACCTTGGCAATTCACCTGTCTCCCGTTCGGCCTCAGTTCGGCCCCATGGTGTTTCACCAAAATGATGAAGCCGGTAATGGCGAGACTAAGGGCCCAAGGCATAAGATGCATCGTCTACCTTGACGACATCTTGATATTCGACGAGGATGCAAGGACCCTAAAGAGACATACAGACTATGCCGTACACCTCCTCGACTCACTGGGTTTCGTTATCAATGGCCCCAAGTCATCACTGACTCCTGCTCAGTCGATCGAATTCCTTGGGTTCGAGATAGACTCAATATCGTGCACGCTACGCCTCCCGGCCGCAAAAATTGCCACCATCCGCTGAGAAATTCAGAAGGTACTTCGACTGACATCCATACCTTTACGTCTACTAGCACGAATCGTGGGCCTTCTCTCGTCATCCATCCAGGCCATCTTTCCTGGACCCCTGCATTACAGAGCCATGCAACGCCTCAAGACAAAGTTCCTTCGCAAAGACCCAACATACGACCAGCCGGTCCCCATGTCGGACGAGGTTCGGGAGGAACTGCACTGGTGGCTGAACTGCATGCAGGCTTGGAATGGCCGGGCGATATTCGGAAACCAACCAGACTTCATATTGGAGTCAGACGCCAGCCGCTCAGGTTGGGGAGCAACAGACGGCACCTCCTCCACGGGGGGAGTGTGGACTCCCCAAGAACTTTCGATGCACATCAACTGTCTGGAGCTCCTGGCGGGATCGTTCGCCATTCGCAGTCTGGCAAAAGAACGATCCAACTGCTGCATCCTTCTCCGGATGGACAACGTCTCGGCGGTAAGATACATCAACCGACTCGGAGGCACCCGCTCCCAAGCATTAGTAGAACTCACGAAGGAAATCTTCGATTATTGTCTGCCTCGCAACATCACGCTATTAGCGGAACACTTACCAGGAGAGACCAACACGACAGCAGATTGGTACTCACGCCACTGGAGGGACGCCAGCGACTGGCAACTAGACCCTCACGTTTTCACGATGCTAGATGCACAGAGGGGCCCCTTCTCCCTGGACTTATTCACCTCCCGCAACAACCGTCAGACGAAGGACTTCTTCAGTTGGCTCCCAGATCCGGAGAGTCTAGCAACCGACGCGTTTCTGCAACAATGGCCACAACACGGGGCTTACTCCTTCCCTCCATTCTCAATGATTACGAGGGTTCTCCACCGAATCCGCAGGCAGAGGGTGATACTGACCCTCATCACACCTCTATGGCAAAGCCAACCATGGTTCCCGGATCTTCTGGAACTTTCGAACAAGGATCCCCTCCTCCTACCAGATACTCCATCCATTCTCAGGAACCCGATGGGACTACCCCATCCGCTGGTCCAGGAAGGCCGACTGCCCCTGGTGGCTTGGACTCTTTCAGGGGTTCCTGGCGAACCGAGGATTTATCGCAGGAAACTCCTATGGGACTCATGGGCGCCAGGAACAAGGAGGTGCTACTTATCAGCATGGCACTGCTGGACTACTTGGTGTCTGGGACGGGATCTCAATCCCTTTACGGCACCTATTCCATCCATCATGAATTTCCTCACCTCTCTGTTCACAACCGGGAAGTCATACCGGTCCATTAACGTGATACGTTCAGCCATCTCAGCGGCTCATACGCCGACTCAAGGGACACCAGTGGGCCAGAACCCACTCATCTGTAGACTCCTCCGTGGCATGCGCCTTCGGCGCCCCCCGGAACCCAAATACTCGAGACTCTGGGACGTTGGCATAGTCTTACAGTTTTTACGGGACTGGCCCCCTAATGAGAACTTATCACTCCGCCAGCTTACGGCAAAGTTCACCTTCCTACTCTGCCTAGTTTCCTTTCGTCGGGTGTCCGATGTACGCGCTTTCGATGCCGACGCATTTACCTTCTGCCCAGCGGGAGTAACCTTCCAGATCTCTAGACGCACGAAATCTGACTCTTCCTCTGTTTTTTACCCCTTTTTTCCCTCAGACCCACAACTCTGTGTGGTCTCTACTCTTCGTCGATACGTGGAAGCCACCGCGACGTTGCGGCCTACTTCTAATCGCCAACTTCTCATCTCTTACGTCCGCCCCTACGCTCCAGTCTCGGTTACTACGTTGGCCAGATGGGTTAGATGGCTATTAGCCCTCGCCGGGATAGACCAGGCTTTTGGTGCACACTCAGTCCGAGGGGCCGCGGCCTCTTCTGCCTACGCGGCGGGGGCCTCCCTTCCAGATATTTTACGAGCGGCGGACTGGACCAGAGAATCCACCTTTAGGATGTTCTATTTCCGTCCTCCATCTAATCCAGCTTTTGCTCTACTTACTCAGCGTTGAAATTGCAAAATACGAAGCCTCCTGTCATGTGATAAAATTGAAGATTATGCTAGCTTCAGTGTACAGATAATCTTAATTTTAATAATGACAGGAGGCAAGTATTTTCCCACCCTGCTCTCTTTCGCTCTTCCCCACCTCTGCCTTCATGTATATTTCTATCTCTTTATTCACATGTTATTTGTGCTAAATGCCTAAGTTGTTTTCTTACAATTAATACAGATATTTCATATGGGTGGGATGGCTTAGGTAGCATCAATAGATGGGAGGAATGTATTCGCTCTATTGCAGTATGATGGTTACTTAATCATAAGGGATAGACATCTCGTTGTTTTACACAACCATCTCCGGAATCTAATACCCTTTTACATTCTCGTTTCAGTTTAACCAGATGAATCAGGACACTGAAGACTTCCTTCAAGATATCATCATCGTCTTGTCATGGAAGATCGTCACTTGACATCAAGAACTCTTCCCTGTCAAGAATTCTTCATACGTTTATGTTCTATTTTCATGTTATACGTTATCTTTATTGTTTCTGCATTGTGATCTTGTGATGTCGCATGCTTTAAAGAGGAAATGATGTCATACGTTACACCTCTTATACTCTATACCGCATTGTGATTGGTTCTCAGTTATGTCACTCTTTTCTTTGCTGCTATGGAGTTAGTAAAGAAAGATTATGCAAAATACTTGCCTCCTGTCATTATTAAAATTAAGATTATCTGTACACTGAAGCTAGCATAATCTTCAATTTTATTTAGAACAGAACCATGTGTGTTATTTACCCAGAATGATTTCTAAACACATTAATTGTAGTTTAAAGACATATTACTGGGAGTATTGTTGCAGTGGATAGCCTCAAGGAAATACGGAAAATCGTCAGACCTACAACCGATGTTAACAGAAGATGAGACTCTGAAAAACATTTTCTCTAAAACACCCATTTTGGCCTTCAGACAACCACCAAACCTCCAACAAAAATGAATCAACAGGAAGCTGCCCACTGATGGTAAGAATGAAGAAAATGGGACCAGTCAATGCAAAAAACCTTGCTGCAAACTGTGTCAGCACATATGCACAGACAACACAGCCACACACAACAATAAAACCTACAGCATTAAAGGTTCATACTCCTGCACATCCAGCAATGTGGTATATACGATTCAATGTACCAAATGTTACATTGGGGAAACCACCCAGCCATTAAATGGCAGAATTAATAAGCATAGACACTCCATTAAACACCACAAAGAAGAATAACACTGCACTCCTGTGGGACACCACTTTACACAGTCTGGCCACTCAATATATGGAATAAATAAGTTAATATGTTTAAATATATCTGGGTATTTATAAAGCCTTGCTTCCCAGATCTTAATACATGCTTCCATTTTATTATTTAGGGCAGTCATCATTTTTTCTATTGTATACACATAGTGCACTTTTTGAAATATATGGTCAATTGCTGGAGCTAGTCCCTTCCAAGCCTGTGCTACACAGCCAAGCAGCAATATTTATTTTATTTATCTATTTAAGAGATGGTTTTGGAAGTCACCTTGAAATGCCATATAATTAATAAGACCTGGGCTATTAGCAAAAAATAACAATCATGGATGGCATAGACAGCCATGTACAGTGTATTCTATTCAATCCCTGCAAGTCCTGTTATGGGAAAATTCAAATATTACAAGTTTTAGAATGCAAAGTTGTATTTTTAAACAGTGTACATTGTCTTTAAGATATTGCAAACTGACAAGGTGTTAGAAATGGAACATATTGTTTTTCATACATATTTCTTTAATAAATAACTTCTTTCCTACTTTTGGTGCATAATATGCTGCGTAGTTCTAACTTACGCCATTTTGTCTTAGCTTAATACAATAACAATTAATGCATAAACAAACTTCAAGGCTATGCTACGCAAAAGCAATAACCTCTTACCTGCTTTCAGTGCATAATATGCTGCGTAGTTCTAACTTACACCATTTTGTCTTAGCTTTGTCTCCCATGACATGTGCACCCTTACGTTTTAGTTATGACATTGTTTCTTTGCCAAGTTAAGGGAGGTCCTAAAATGAACATCTAAGGTATAAATATGTACCTTTTCAATGTTAGCACACGGGAGAGATTTGGAGAAACGCTGCTCCATCTTATAATGACTGAGAGATGCTGACATGTTGACATGTTTAGGAGGGTATGTTATTCTATTTTAATGACATTGCAAGCATATACGTTAATCGTATAAACTCTGCTATAAATTATTGTAATGGATTGTATATGTCTATATTTATATTTTTATATAATAAATATCTAAAAGACAAAACTTTATTGCTTCCAAGACAATCGTTATGTTATATTGTATTTTCAATTATTTATATATTTTAAATTGAGAATCTCTCACTAACAATATAATATTTTAGCTAAGATAACTGTATGGTTAGCCCTACTAAGTTCTATGCTTTAAGACGTTATAGTGGTAAATAGGGGAAACCGGCTGCGGTTACACCCCCTCACTCTGTGATCTTCACACAATATATTTACTACCCTCTACGAGAATCATGTTTATTTTCTATCAAACCTGTGTCTTATCTGCACTCAGGTCGCTTTAACCCCTGTATCATAGCTCAACTTTGAATTCTATGTTTTGTCTTTGCTCAGAAATGCTGTAGACTTGCAAAAGGGAGGCTCTTTCGAAAGCTTGTCATTACAAAATTCTGTTAGTCCAATAAAAAAGGTATTGCAAGATACAAATGTTATCTGTTTTTTACAATAAATATTCTGGTATATACCTATCGATTTACAGTCCTCTAACATCTAATAATTGTAAGCTGATTACATTTGTATTGCTACAAATCTTGTGTTTAATTAACCCAGCCGTGGATCAGTGGTGGAGGGGAACCCAACAGCAAACACCCGCTTCAGAAAAGGGTATTTTTGACTAGCTATCAGCAGGGACTGGCTGGAAGGCTATCGGCCACTTTTTCCCAAATGCCTACAATTAATTTGCTAAACAAGAACTTTTCTGGAATTTACATCATTGCATAAAACATTGACATTGACCTTGACATGCTCAATTTTTATTTAAATATGACTTTTTAGCAAATTATATCATAGCCCAGTTCAGACAAGGGACAGCTTGGCAAACATTGCAAATGAACCAAAGACATAGAAACATTGTTCATTTTTTTCCCTCTTCTCTGTGTGTTTTCTCTATTCTGACTGTGAGATGCAAAGGACCAAGCTTATAACAATGGCTGACAGGGAGCTAAGATGGAGGCGCCCAGTTACATTATAAGGAGGTGTGAATTTCTACATTAAATTTTATTTTTTAAACCTCATAAAAACATATTTGTTAAATACAGGGGGTAAGTAAACATAATATTAAAAATTTACACTTGCAGTAATATTCCCAAGGCACTTCCATTACTTATACAGCAGTTATTTAATGATTTTTTTTTTGGCAAGAAAACCAGGCAGAAATGTCAGAGAATATCTGCAAAGAAGAAAAACTCCTGTATAAATGAAATTAATGTAAAACTGACCTACCTCGTATCCTAATTTCCAAGTTTCAGATTGCAATGTTCATTGTTATCCATGCAGGGTTTAGTGTCTGTACAGAAAACACATACATGCATGTACTTTCACACAATTACATTTATGAGAAATATTAAATCATTCGGACTTCATACTTCCTTTCATGCGAATCCCTGCAGCCTCTGTGCCAGGTATTAATGGTCACATTTTTATATTGAGCTAAACCCTCTTGCTGATGTAAACTAAGAGCAACTAAAGTTATACTATTAATAATTACATTTTCTGTTTTCTTTTCCCCAGCGATGGCTGTAAGGGACTCAGGGACAGACGCACATACACAGTCCGTGAGGTAACATAATTAAATATTTAACAATGTGACCGTAGATTCCCATTGAGAAATGATCATTTATTCTACAAAGACACATGCTTAAACCGGTAATGAGCAATTTACTGCCCTGATAACAAGGAATGAGGCTGGAATAGGAGCTGGACTGATGTGATGTCTATATATTGGGCTTATCTGTGTTGTGGGGTGTGGAGGCACACCAGTGATTATAGTGCCATTATTGCCCTGGAGCCAGGGCCAGCCTTAGGCCATTAGGCAACTTGTGCAAAAAATCTTCACAGCGCCCCACCCGGTCATACCCCTTCATCCATGTATAGTGTGTGTGTGTGTAGGGCTGCAGTGTTTCTCACACACACAAAGCTGCAGGTAGTCTAACATGCACAGTTACAATCACACATAGTTACAGGAAGACAGTCACACATATACACGCATTTACAGGCAGTTACTTCTTTCCATTATGGGCTACAGTGAGGAGTGGAAGCACTGCAGTTCCTGGTAGTTGGGGAAGCAGAGGCTCATTCTTTCATCCCACTTACAGAAGTTACAGTCAGCTGGTGCTCTTAGCATGGCCCCCGCTGTCTTTTTAGCTCTGCCTCTCATAAAGTTCTCCTACCGCTAGTGAAGCTCTACCCCCACATCCCTGTTAGGTTCTTTGATAGTCCCGGGTGAAGAATAATTTGGGTGGCCAGACCTGTCACCTGGGGCATGTGCAAGCTTTGTTGACAGCATGACGCCTCTGCTGGCATGGCACCTGATGCGGCTGCACTGCTCACACACCCCTAAGGGTCAAATTGTTTTATGCAAATACTGATAAAACACTCCCCATACCTGCCCACTAACAAGAATAGGTCATCCTCAAAAATCCAGCAACCAAGCAAGAAGGAGATTATCAAACTTATCTGTTTAACAACGTCAACTCGATCCCCTTCACATGTAGTGTGGGCCAAATGCACGATTCAGCCACACGGCCCATATACATGTGATGGTAAATACTAAAATACTTATCTATTCGATGCTGTTGATTCGCTTCTCCTCTCAGATCGCATAGACTGACTGCTCTGCTCGGCCATGAGGTCACACTGGCCATAGAATTTTGGATGCTGCCCTTTTGAATGAGACATCCTTATACATAATGAATTTGAAAACATCACATCTTACCTTAAAGTGTCCACGTCAACTAGATGATCACCCTGTTTTGATTCTTTTGGAGTCGCAGAGATGACATGGTCTATATAATGCTTGTTTTGGTCCTTATTCAGTGGTCGATCATGGTTTCTAACTTGCTTGCTTGCTTATTGACTTTGTACTTCTGAAATCCTGATCCAGCCTGTTTATTCTTATATCCAACCTTTTATAATTCTCACCTTGGCTATTTCTGACTTTGTCTCTATCTATATATAATATTAAGTCCAGTCACTGTGAGGCCCAATAATATGTTTATTATTGAAACTCCATTCGTGGGTTTCCCATTTCCTGTGAGTTAGGGTAATCACTCTGACAGAGACTTGTGGGAAAACCAAGGGGAGGTCAGTTGCTGAGACTGTGCACCAGTTATCAAATTCAAGAGCTCTGAATCAAACTGGCCTTCAAGAGAGGTTGGCAAGAAAGAATCTATTACTCAAAACCAGAGAAATGGAGGTTGCTAAAAAGCAAGAGACTGACTTGACAATGTGTGATGCAAATGAAACACTGTCCATACCTCAACAAACACTATCCTTACAATGAAGTATGGGGGTGGCAGCATCATGATGTGGGACTTAGGAATCATGTGAGAGTTGAAGGTAGAATGGATTCAGGAGGGTATTAGTGCAGGAACACCTTTCTGATGATGCTCGGAAGAAAGTTCACCTTCAGTAATGACCCCAAGCACAGACAAACAGTCGCTGTAAGTAGAACAAGAACAAATATATGAATATTCTATAATGGCTCAGTCAAAGTCCTGACCTCAGTCCTATTGAGAATCTGTGGCACTAATTGGGAATTGCAGAATACATACCGGAGGTGATTGTCCCATTAGACAGAGATGGCACCTATATACATACTTTTTAAATTTTTGTGGTTAAAAATAAATTTTAAAAATTTAGTACTGTAATTGCATCTTATAAAAAAATACAAATTAAACGTTTAGATTAAACTTGATAAGACTGTCCCTTTAAGAAGTATTTACATAAATTAGTATCCCATTAAACTCATTCACTAAGCGCTCCACCCTAACAACTTACAAATTTTAGATTTTTACAGTAATTTAAAGGATAACTTGACTGTATCTGAGTAGCTAATTAAAAGTATTAAAATGTTTTCTTACCACTAGAATTATAACACTTTTTAGTCACAGAAAAGGCGAGCTGGCGAGTGGAGATATCTAGCAGGTGCCTTGGCCAGTGCCCTCTATATTCATGTCTGAATTCTATGCCTGATAGCACAGCTACAGGAACAGTTACAGAAGGTGTACAACTCAGTGCTGCCCCAGCACCTCCAGTGTCGTACTTCCTGAGTAAGTTCACCACAATGGAGATGCTGAAAATTCCCCAAAGAGATGCATTGATTCTATGCATCTCTATGAGGAGATGCTGTGTGACGCAGCACAACGTGTGTGCAGCGCATGTGCAATAGCCTCAACCATTGGATTGTCTGAGATCATAACCGCACAGTGCTGGAATAAATGTGAACTTTAATCTGTTTTAACGGGGCCAATGAGGGAGTCGGCCACCTGAATGGTGTTTTAATACTGTGGTGTGAGAAATACAAGTTTGAATTCCGGAGACTGTAGTGTTTCTTAAACATTAAACCACCATGTATTTACACAGATGCATTAACTCACTATACTCACAGATTCAAACATAATACATTACAAGTAAAAATATGCACATACAGTTGTGCTCAAAAGTTTGCATACCCTGGCAGAAATTATGAAATTTTGGCATTGATTTAGAAAATATGACTGCTCATGCAAAAACGTATTTTATTGAAGGATAGTTATGATATGAAGCCATTTATTATCACATAGTTGTTTTGCTACTTTTTAAATCATAATAATAACAAAAATCACCCAAATGGCCTTGATCAAACGTTTACATACCCTAGAATGTTTGGCCTTGTTACAGACACACAAGATGACACACACAGGTTAAAATGGCAATTAAAGGTTAATTACCCACACCTGTGGCTTTTTTAAATTTCCATTAGCTTCTGTGTATAAATAGTCAATGGGAACTCAGAAGACATACAAGACGGTGTGGCTGTTTCAAGGAGCACAATACTTAAACAGAAATGAGCTGCCTGGTGGAGTTGCCAGAAAGAAGCCTTTACTGCGTCAAGGCCACAAAAAAGCCTGGTTACAATATGCTCGACAACACCTTAACACACCTCACAGCTTCTGGTACACTGTGGAGTGACAAGACCAAAATAGGGGGGGGAGCTCTAAAGGCACAGGAAATCTTATGAAAAAAGATTATCAGAACATACCATTCTACGGCCTTTAACACTAAACAATCTACTAAATCTAACCTTAAAGGGACACCATAGTCACCAGAACACCTACACCTACTTTATCAGAGACAATTTGCATTCCTCTGCATGACCTGGAGGCATTTTGACAAGAGGAATGACCAGCGATACCAACTGCAAGAATTAGGGGCCTCACAGAACTATTACAATAGACTGCACACTGTCATGGATGCTAAAGAGGGCAATACACACTATTAAAGGAACCCTATAGTCACCTAAATTACTTTAGCTAAATAAAGCAGTTTTAGTGTATAGATCATGCCCCTGCAATTTCACTGCTCAATTCACTGTCATTTAGGAGTTAAATCACTTTGTTTATGTTTATGCAGCCCTACCCACATCTCCCCTGGCTATGATTGACAGAGCCTGCATGAAAAAAAAAAAACTGGTTTCACTTTCAAACAGATGTAATTTACCTTAAATAATTGTATCTCAATCTCTAAATTGAACTTTAATCACATACAGGAGGCTCTTGCAGGGTCTAGCAAGCTATTAACATAGCAGGGGATAAGAAAATCTTAATTAAACAGAACTTGCAATAAAGAAAGCCTAAATAGGGCTCTCTTTACAGGAAGTGTTTATGGAAGGCTGTGCAAGTCACATGCAGGGAGGTGTGACTAGGGTTCATAAACAAAGGGATTTAACTCCTAAATGGCAGAGGATTGAGCAGTGAGGCTGCAGGGGCATGTTCTATACACCAAAACTGCTTCATTAAGCTAAAGTTGTTCAGGTCCCTTTAAGAAGTAAGGGTATGCAGACTTTTGAACAGGGATCATTTCATTTTTTTCTTTGTTGCCATGTTTTGTTTTATGATTGTGCCATTCTAAATATAAATCCCATAAGAAATAACTTAGATGTGTTTAGCCTGCTCAGTCATGTTTTCTTTAAAATTGGTACATGTAATCTCAATTCTCCAAAGGTATGCAAACTTTGGAGCACAACTGTTCATAAATTTATACATATGCAGCTGTCACATATAAATATATGTTTTAGAAGTTTTTAGACCTGCAATATCCATTTAATACATTCACTATAGTTACTTTACCTGCCTTTTTTGGAATTGGCAAGGAGGGGGCACCTTAGAATTGTGTGCCTACAGGCACTTGACATGTAAATCTAGCCCTGTGTATGTGCTATACACTGATCAGCCACAATATTAAAATATCATGTAGGCCCACCTCATGCTGCCAAAACAGCTCTAAAATTTTGAGGCATGAACTCCACAAGACCTCTGAATATGTCCTGTGGTGTCCGGAACCAAGAATTAGCAGCAGATCCTTGACGTCCTACAAGTTGTGAGGTAGGGTCACCATGGTTCAGAGTTGTTTTAGCGCACCACACCGATGATCAATAGAATTTGTAAGCCAAGGCAACACCAAAAACTCTTTGTAATGTTCCTCAAACTGCAGATTTCAATACATAACAAGTAGAAATAAACACATACATAAATACAGATGAAAATGTACAATATGAATACATTTTTTTATATTATATTTATGCCTGCAATGTCCAATTGAGAAATTAATTAAACTAATGTTATCTTCCTTTTTAGGGGGTGGGGGAGCAGAAGGCACCTTAAAATTATGTATAAAAACAGAACAAATATAGATAGCCATGCCAAAATAGATACTAACCCTTCTGTGAAATCACATAGTAGGTACATATACATACATATGTTGATAGAATTCACTGTTCGGATTTACACAGTAATTGAGTGTGACGAGACCAATCTCACCACATTGCATTGGAGGAGCCTGGTTGCCCACCTGCTGCCTTTGGATTATGGACCGGCAGCTAAAGGGTTAATTTTACTGTGCAGAAGGATTTATTTCTCCCTTTCTGCACAGCCGTTCGGTAGATTCCATCTACCGAACAAACAGTTTCTTTTCAGCCTCGCCAGAGCCATGGGAAGCCGGCCGGCGCCGTTAATTGGCCACCCAGAAGCTGGAGTGCGCCCTCCATTTACCTCCCTGAAGCCGCAGTTAACCGCGGCTTAACGAGCGTGTGCCGGCAATTGACCACCCAGTAGCTGCGGTTAACCGCAGCTTAATTGATTGTTACTGGGTGGTCGCGGTTACACGTGTTCTGGAGCTCCCCGGGCAGCCAGCGCTTTTCTGCCCGGCTTTCCTGCACCAAACCTGGACACTTTTACGTGCAGGCACCGCTGAACCTCCAACCCCTGGTTCTAATTCGTACGGATTTAACGAATGCATGTAAATTCGGTATTTTATGTTGGAAGAATGTTTTAACCCAGATAACCATGCCATGGAGCCTGTTCGTGGAATTAAAGACTTTGGCTCCATGGCAATTAAACTGTATTCGTGTGGTCTGAGTGCCATTCACCTAATAATGTGCCCTCAGACCTGAGCTATCTGGGGATATGTTACATGTATATATTTACTGTACCATTTTTCCCATTATGTATTTTAAAGTGATAGTCTGTCTTTGTGTCCCCACGTGTGTAATGGAGTTTTGCCTTTGTCCTGGGAGATAATTGAATTACTTCTCCAGGGCAGAGGGGAGGAAGCCAGGATGCATTGTGGGGATGTTTTACTTCTGTATGTCTGTAATTGGTACATGTCTGTCCCTTGTCACAGTCTTCCATCTGGTCCCCTAGGGGAGTGTCCACCAGGTGGGAGACCTGCATAAATACTGGGAAGGTAGCCCTCATTAAACAGACCACTGCTTGACCCTCAACTCGGAGCTCTGTCTCGTCTTTGGGGGGGATTTACTGTATGCTGATAGAGACTGATTGCCAGGAGTGTAAGCCGCTTGGGTGCTTTTCCTGTTCGTCTGCTAGCAGCTATTCGTGAGGTTCCAGTTCGGGTGTTTGGAGCATTCACTTATTGGCGGTTCGTGTGTTTGGTGTTCTGCAGTAGCTGTGCCTGCATCTCTGGAAAGGGGGCCGAACGCCTAAACGTTTTTTTCCCCTTTTGTGCAAAACGGTCCGTTACATTGAGTATCTCAAAGAAACAGAGAAACAAAAAAATAATAATGCAATATGTCAAATAACAGGAGAGTGAGATGTAATATTATGCCAAAAGCACACTCACACTTTCTAGAGTTTCAAAGAGCTCTGCTGTTTTAAACGTTGATGGTACAATCCCCATCCCAGAATATATTGGCAGCAAAAGTGGTGGTAAATCTTTCCAATATGTTACATGTATAAAAAGACAAATAGGAGAAAATCCAATGGTGCAGCCAGTATGGTAAAGTGACTGTGCAAAAAAGGTATAAATAACCTACTCACATGAGACAGAGCATGGACCTGCCCTAGTGTTGTAATGCCTTGGTGATATAATCCCCACCTGGGATATATAAAGATAGGAAGCCAAGAAAAGATGCAGGGTGTAATCCCCCCAAAAATCCAAAATAAATTAAATTTAAAAGGATTAACTTTATTTAATATAAGCAAATAAATCAATAAAAGTATATACTATAAAACAATCCACATAGGTGCAAGATCCACATTTTACGTATTTTACCTTGGGGTTTCATCAGAAGTGTGGTTTCAAAGTGTTTGGTGTCTGTTTATATAGGTATAAAATTAACATAATCATTTAAAACAGATGTGTATTGCAAGTATGCATTGGCTTCTATCATTACTCCAGTTTTTTTTTTATGTTAACCCAGGCAGTGATGTCATCAGGGGTGTCTTAGATATGTGTTCTCATTGGGTGTCCTTTAAAACCTAATCTTATTTCATAATTATTATTATTGTCATTTATAAAATATTTTACCAGGAAGGATACATTGAGATTTCTCTTGTTTTCAAGTATGTCCTGGGTTCACAAAACATTGTATTGACAAATAATCAATAGGGGCGTCACGTTAGGGTGTTGCCCATCAACATATTGTATTATTACATGTAGTCCAATCAAATTCAAAAGAAAAGATGTCCCCCACAAGGGATTTTACGTGCATGTTCATAATCCATAAAAGCATCCATGGCCAAGTTGTTGCCAGTCTCTTATATCTCTTGCACATATCTCTCGCGCATACGCATCAAATCAAGCTGATCGCGCATGTGTCTCATTCGGATCTTATGTTAATGTTCTTGTGCATGTGTGAAGACACTGTCATACATTCACGCGTATTCCGGAATGTAGATAAGAGAGCAATAAGTGTTAGCGGCCATATTTAACAAGGTATAATGGCCAATACTCAGAGTCATAGAAAGGTTGAAATGTTGAATGGAAATATTAATAGTGGGAAATAAATACACTGTATATATATATATACGAACAGATGTAACCTGGGTGCTAAATAGTTTTCAAAATTGTTTTCAAAATTGCTTCACACTCTGGTGTAATCCCAAAACTCCACCAAAAAGAGAAAGTAATGTGTGCTAGTGAGTGGAGCAATTTATACCATATATAAGACAGAAGAAAGAGTATATATATACAAACTGGTTTCGATTTTAAGTGTAACTTCCAGCAATAATGGTATATATGTAAAGAAAAAAGGGAAAAAAAAGCAATGATAGTGCAGATTGTATAAAAAATATATAAGCATATATACTTATAACAATTCATAAATTGTGAAGTATCACTTTAAGAAATATTTGGTGAAACCCCAATAGGAAAAAGCTGACATAAATTTATTATCTGCCACATGCAGAAAAAGCAGTACATATATACATAAAATAGAATAATAAAAAATGATGATAAAAAATAGGGTGACAAGCCCCTTACTAGATAAGGTGGTGAGTTTGACACATATATGTCAACTCACTATCAGAGTTCAATCATTAGGGTGGTAGGCTGCTCGTCCGGCGTTCTTCCTGTTCGGCTGCTAGAGAATCTCCTCGTGTATTGTCTGCTGCCAGAAAACAAACGCCTCCGGACTCCGTGGTCTGTAAGCTCCTCCCCCTTTGTATGACGTCAACGCGTTTCGCCAATCGGCTTCCTCAGGACGTGCTCACAACCTTCATCTTGGTTGTGGGCTTAAATAGGGCAACAATCCCTCATGATTGGTTTATCACTAATTCAATTGAAAAAGTCCAATTGTTCAATTAAATTAACTAAATATCTTGACATAAAGTTTAATGGGACTTGGATTCAAATCTACAGCTGTCATTAAAGACTCATTTAAGACTCTTTAAAGGATTGTGCATGGCAGAAAAATAAATAACATGGCAAAATTAAACAGCAAAAAGGCATTGATAAAATCACAAAATCACAAAGATACACAGCAGAAAAAAAAAAATAACATGGCAAAATTGAACAGCAAAAAGGCATTGATAGAATCACAAAATCACAAAGATACACAGCATATTAATATTGATTAAGATTTAAATTTAGTTATGATTTAAAGCAATAATGCCTAAAAAGGATAAAAAGAGAGAACTATTAATTGGCATATCTCAAGACTTACTCTTATTGTAGTTTTGGCAAACACAATATAATAGATAAAACATGAATAAAATGTAATAATAATTAGAATCAACAGTGGTAATTATTTATTAGAGAGTGTCCCAGTGGGAAAGGTGCATAACAAAGTGCAATCACAAAAAAGTGCAATCACAAAAAGACTTATCATCCATATAAATGTGAACAATATAATGGTGAAACAAAATAGGAATAGAACTGAGAGCATGAAAATCTGAGGTTCAAAAAATAATTGATGAATTGGAAAAAATTGATAAGTTTAAAAAAAAAAAAAAAAATTAATTTAAAAATGCTTTTGAAAAGCAGTTATAAAACATTTAAGGATAAAAGTGTATATTTAAAAAAATTAATTTAATTAAAACTATACGGCTTCCTGAGGTTCCTAGTTGGTCTCCCATACAAGTACTAAGCAGGCCCAAGTCTGCATGACTTCTGAGATCTGACGAGATCAGGCACTTTCAGACTGGTATGTCCGTAGGCTATAATTAATTAAAAAATGTATTCATATAAAATGAAAAATATATAAAAAAAAATATATATATATATACATATGATTCATTATTTTAAAAAATGGCAAATTTCAAAGTCATTGTTCAGGCCATATGGAACCATAGTATTTAAAGTAAAAATCCATTGCATCTCAGCCTTCCCTATTTTTTCTATGAAATTCCCTCCCCTCCATGTTCTCGAGATTCGTTGGATTGCAATAAAACATAATTGTGTAAAATCAGCCTGATGGTGTTGTGCAAAGTGTGCTGACACTTGGTGTAGCGCATATTTCCTCTTTATGTTATAGACATGCTCACCTATACGTGTGTATAACGGTCTCGTCGTTCGTCCTACATAATGTAGACCACATGTACAGGTAAGTATATATATATACAATATAGGTAGGAACTTTCAGAAAGACCTCAAATAGAAATAGCAAAATGCTTGATAGATATACAAAAAATAGAAACATATATAGAAATATGTATATAAAAGATCTGTGTTTAACGAAACGCATATAAGGCATTAAATACTAAAATATAATTACACTTGATATATATACATTAGCAATCAAAAAGTACATGAGTGTATGACTAGAAAAGGTGGGATTAGAACATATACACAAAAAGGGCTTAATGCTGCTAAAAATAAAATAAAATTGAGATAGGAATTAAACATCTTGACAAATTCATGTCTAAAAAAAGAAATTAAAATAATAATTTAATTTAAAAAATTAAATAAATCAAAGTCTCCATTAAGTCCATTTGGGTGTAGACTATTGAGGTAGTATACCAATTGCATATCAGGTGATTTTTATATCCTTTTTGGATATTCTGCCAATGTTCACCTATCCTAACTTTAAGGGGTCTTGTGATCATTCCCACATATTGGAAGCCACACGGGAACTCCAATAAGTAGATGACATGTGTTTTTAATATCATATGTTTTATCACTCGTTTGACTTAAAATTAAAAAAATGTCTATTCATTTTGTGAGCTTTCTTACATGCAGCAAATACATCTAAAAAAAGTTTTTTTGTCATTTGTCAAAACATTTGTATTGTATTATTCGTTTGGTATAGTTTTTTGTTTGTTTCATTTTTAAATTAGGTGCTCCTCTAAAAATAACTTTCGCATTATCAGGGATTAGTTTACTTAAAATTGTGTCTTCCTTGAAAATATATCAGTGATTCTTTATGATTTTTTTTTAATTTGTTTACATTTGTTACTATAATCCAATATTATTTTGGAGGGTAAATTTATTATTTTCTCTTTTCTTAGTTTTTGGTTTAAAAAAGTCATCTCTGGTTATAATTTTAGTTTCTTCTATATTAGTATCTGTAGAATTAGCATTATAGCCTTTTTGTAAAAAAAAATACTTTCACATCTTGTGCTTGTTCATTGAAATTAGATATTTCTGAACAATTTCTTCATAATCGTAGTACTTGACTTTTGGGAACGTTTTCTAACCATGGTTTATTATGGCAGCTGTTTATGTCAGGAAACTTGTTATTATGAACTGTTTTTAAATGGGTTTTGGTTTGGATAGTGTCATTTTTGATATAGCTATCCAAATCCACTGAAATTAGCTGTAAGTTTTATCCCTTCATCATTTATATTTTAAAAAAATAATAAAATCATGGGCATAAGCAATAGGACCATTCCATATAAAAAGGAGATCGTCTATATATCTAAAATATGTGACCAGGTTTCCCACCCAGCCATGCCCCCCCAAACTGCTATTTCTTCCTACTCTGCCATAAAAAGGTTGGTAAGATTTTTAATTCCTATCTCAATTTTATTTTATTTTTAGCAGCATTAAGCCCTTATTGTGTATATGTTCTAATCCCACCTTTCCATTTTATCCCATCTCAGTCATATACTTATGTACTTTTTGATTGCTAATGTTTATAAATCAAGTGTAATTATATTTTGTTATTTATAATTATTATTGCCATTTAGAAAGCGCCAACAGATTCCGTAGCGCTTTACAAAATTATAAGAGGGGGGATTTAACTATATATAGGACATTACAAGAAAACTTACAGGAACAATAGGTTGAAGAGGACCCTGCTCAAACGAGCTTACATTCTATAGGAGGTGGGGTGTAAAACACAATAGGACAGGAAATAGCAATCAAATAAGGGGGAGTGAACCAGAGCAGGAGGAGAGAGTAGAGTGCTGCCTAGTGATGTCGCGAACCCGAAATTTTCGGTTTCTCGAACGGCGAACGCGAACTTCCGCAAATGTTCGCGAACCGGCGAACCGGCCGAAACGCCATTGACTTCAATGGGGAGGCGAATTTTAAAACACACAGGGACTCTTTCTGGCCACAATAGGGATGGAAAAGTTGTTTCAAGGGGACTAACACCTGGACTGTGGCATGCCGGAGGGGGATCCATGGCAAAACTCCCATGGAAAATTACACAGTTGATACAGAGTCTGGTTTTAATCCATAAAGGGCAGAAATCACCTAACATTCCTAAATCACAATCAATATGGATTGACACCTGACATATGACATATTGACACCTTGACATATGGATTGACACCTGTCCTCAGAGCCCCTGATGCACACGGACACAGAGCAGAATAGGGACTGGTCCCCCTACATAGGGTCACTTGGCAGATATGGATTGACACCTTGTTACAAACTGCTATTTGTAACGGGCCCTTTAAATGGCAAATTGCCCTGCTTCCCTGGGTTGTGGAGAAGCCTACTTGCCAGCCTCCTCCCGCATGACTATGGCCCCTGGGAGATTGTGAAAATGTATGCACTTTT